AGGCACTAGAGGGTTTAATTAATAGAGAGCTTTTAAAAGAGGATAACTCGGAAAGTAGTAATAGCGATATATCGGAGGTTAATTATTAATCGGATAAGTCGGAATAGATTATCGGTATAATAGGATTACGTTACGTTCTAATACTCTAATAGGACTATATATATCGGGGATATATAGCTAATATGCTTCTATTTCTACTAGTATTAGCGGCCCCGGCTATAATCTCTATAAGAACTCTATAATAACTATATAACAAATTTATGCGCTTATATATCTATATAATACTTATTAAGTAGTGTACGCTCTATCCCCCGTCTTTACGTAGTTATACCTATAAAGCGATAAAGGGTTACCCCTTTACTAAAATCCTCCTCTAACTCCCTTCTTATAGACGATATTTCTTTCTTTATACGAACGTATACGACGCTATATCTACGAGTCCGCTTTATACCGATAGGTTCTAAGAAGTAAGCAAAGAAAGTATAGAAGCGTATATACCCTACTCGGCCCTAATTCGACTATATAAAGTATATACTAGATAATAAGAAATATTACTTCTACGGCGATTATAACCTAACACCGCCGGTACCTTCGAATAAACCGATTATACGGGCGACACTAATACCGCTACGGACGAATACGCTATCCTTAAGTACTATACCAATTATTATTAACTCTAATAAAAGCGAGATATTAGACGACGAGGTTCTTAACGAATAAATTAGTAGGAGCCTCCTAGATAAAGCGTAGCTTACTAGTATAAAGGCAACCTATATGCGATAGATTAAGATCGAAAAGGAAGCGGTAATAAATCTACCGAAGCATAAGTACTATATAGGTAATCCACCCCCTAGCTAACGGTCGAAGGATAGTGTTATAAAGGCTATCTCTATAATAGTAACCGTATAAGTTAGGTTTATTATTACGATTGTTATTACGAGATACTATATTACCCTAGATAATCTAGATAAGATACTAAAGTAGAGTAGGTTAAAGAAAGGTAAGGGGTTCTCTAAGTATACTATATATATTATATACTATTATTGTATTTATCTATACCGCCGTATAATTAATCGCTAATAGGATATAGGAACGCCTAAGGACATCGCGATACCGGATTATAATATTAAAGATATAGTAGCTACTATTCGTAGCTTCGGTAATAAACCGTATATTACTAAGGAGATAGAATATCCGGATAATACTTATATATATATTACGTAGTCGTATAATAACCGAGATAGGCCTATTTAACCTCTAGATATAGACTTTAAAAATAGGAAGCTAAGTCGTATCTTTCTAAACGATATTAATATAAAGGGCTAGCTATCTCGAAAGTAATATAAAGTGTTCCTTATCTTTAAGAGACGTTCTATATCGTAGCCTACGGATAACCTATTATATAAGGCCGAGGTTAACGCAAATCTTATTAAGGCTACTACTACTCTAAAAAGTAAGGGCTCTTAGAAGAAGAAGAAAAAGGTAAAGTAAGAAGTTAAGGTAAAGTTAAAGCTAGTAGTTAAAATAGAGCCGATCTTAGAAGTATATATACTATCTTTCTATATAAACGTTAATAGATAAAGTCTAATACTAAATTCGATAGGAGAGTAAAGAGTAGATTAATACTACTATAGAGTATAACGCTACTAATAATAGTAACGATAAGTCGCTACCTTCGTTTAGTAAGATGTTTATACGTTTCTAACCTATATAATCGTAAAGATAGCTATTTACTCGATTATAGATTAAGGGAGAGCTAGAAATTAAGGGAGAGCTAGAAACCGAGGAAGTAGAGTAATAATATCCTACCCTAGGAGGTTTAAGCTATAAGCGGACGATCTCGAAGGTTTCGTAATTATCTAAGAATATAAGTAAACTACCTATAAATTATACGTATAATCGGTCGAAGCGTTATTAATCTAAAAGGTTACGATAAGAATAAAGATAGTAGGTACTTTATAAGTTTAGAGAGGAGTTATTTTTAGTAGTTTCGTTCGTTTCTTTAATAGATATCTATATAGTACTACTTTAATAGTCGTAAACGTATTATACGGGCGTATATCTACTTCTCGATCTATCTACTATATAAAGGAAGTGCCTAATATATAGTTATAAATATAAGCTTTAGATAACTTTACTTCTACGATTAATCTATCGATTAGGACTATATCTATATACTAGATAAAGAGGCTATATCGGAAGCGCCCGTATAATAACTAAAAATTACCGCTAACCTCTCGGAACGGTTATGTTCCGAGGTAGCRTAAGTAGTGTACCTTAGTTCTACTAAAAAAAGATTGTTGCAGAGTTGTCGCTAAAAGCGCACCGTAAGCCACGCCACAATCCCGACCATATTAATACACGACCCCTCCATCTTCACATGTCTATCCCTCCATCGCGGGAAATGCGGTACACCGGATTTGTATGGTAGAATCAGACTGGCTTTCAGKTCGAAACGCATTCTAAAGTACACGGCCGCAAATGGACATACCCAAGCTAGACACGCTTTCACCATGGGCCCAGTGCTTTGTGCCGTCCTTTAGGTATGTATGAGACCGTTTGGGAGAGCTGCACTCTCTTGGCCGTCTCGTCCTCTACTTTCTTCCTCCATGTCAGATTCATGCGACCCCAATACACACTCCGCAAACGAGGCAGCAATCGCACGTCTTCGGCACAATACTGCAAAGCTTCTGCGTCCAGCGGCCGCTGAGCAAAGACGCGGACGAGCGTGCGAGCGTCGAATCTTGCCTTGATCTTCTTCTTAAGAGCCTTCCACGCAACGAGCTCGCGGTGGAGAAGCCCAGCATCGGCCTCGATGCATTTCGCGAGACTTGCGAGCATTCGCCGAAAGTGTCCTCCTCGGGTGAAGTCCTCGCGCGATGCATTCTCCATCAGCTGGATATCCTCCACACCTGCCAGCGAGATGCCATGAAGAAAGAACAGCGCATTGGAGTCATTCCGGATGTCGAAGAAGACTTTCGGGATTTGGGGAGACTCCAGAATTGACTTGAGAGTGATACCATTTGTCCCAGCGATGCTGAATATTGAACGCTGAAGTTGTTGGACGTCCAGGATGTAGACTTCGTTGCGAGGATGGACCATCACGGCGAGGATCGTTAGAGTGCCGTTCTTGCTGAGTTCATCGCCTTCGAGGTCAAGGTAGAGTGATGGAGGGTTGATGGGAAGATTTGCAATCGAGCCCAAGAACCCCACAAGAGCTTCTGGCGTATCGACAAGAGTGCAAACACTTTCTAAGCACCAAATCGTTAGTTTTGATCGTCCGGAAAAGGCTCATGTTGTCCTACTGCTCGAAGCATTGCTATTCATGTTCACAGTGGTACCAAGGAAGCTATGACTGGTCCAGATCTGGGATCAATGTTGATGGAGTCAATAGCACCACATATGGAGGATGAAAGACGGAAGGACGGCGGGAGACACATATTTCCGTCCAGAGGATTGTCGAGTGCAGRGGTGCAAACATACGCAAGGCGTTGGTGGTTACACGGCATACTCCCGCACATACCATACCGAATGGACGTTGACCAAACACAAAGAAAGTACACACGACGACCACTTACCGCAAAACAATCGAAAAATCGACCACTTCTGGACCCATCAGCCCAGAACTTTCTGACTTTAGCTTGATGGTGAGCGATGGAGTCGAAAAGAACATCGAAATGCCATGGATTTTATGAGCGGTGCAATGATAGGAAGATAAATGAATAGCACAACAGAGACGGCCCACAGTTACGCTACCCTAACCCTAACCCTGACAGTTATCTGTGAGCAGTGAAGGATGTGCAGACCTCCATCAAGACAACATCGWTGATAAAAGTGTGACAAAATCAACACTCCAACGATCGTGGTCAACACCGCTGCCACGGAACCAGACATATATGCTGTTACGTTCAAGTGTACGATTAAGTGAATCCGGCCAATCACAAGCTGCGAGAATGACACCCAGGCGACTTCCCGCCAAGCCCACCTTGATGGATTCCTAAATAGGAAGGAGGTACGAACAGCACGACCCCCTCTCGTGTTTCCGAATCTTCATTTCTCTTTCAATTCTCTTCAAAATATTAAAGAAATGGCAGACATCACAGCCTCCTGGACCAAGGTCGCCACAGCGGAACAACTTCAGCGATCCTCCCACAATGTCAGTGCGATTGGAGGATCGCTCTTCGTTTTCGGTGGAGAACTGAAGCCACGCGAGCCGCGGGACAATGATCTCCACAAGGTCGACTTAGAAGGTCGGGATGCTACAAGTAGGTTGAGTCGCCAATGTTCCGCGAAGCATCGAGATGAAATCCAGCCTGACGTCCTCAGTAGAACCTGTCCAGTCGATCCAAGGAAATGCAAGTTCTCCTGCTCCCAGGGTTGGAGCAGCCACAGCTAAGATTGGCCATGTGATGTATATGTTTTCTGGCCGTGGAGGGCCTGAAATGACGCCCGTCGACGAGCATGGAGCTTTGTGGTCGCTGGACACGACGTCCAATGAGTGGAAGCTGTTGAAGCCAACTTCGGCAGTCAAACCAGAAGCTCGCAGTTTCCATGCACTGACCTCCGACGACAAGGACACGATCTACCTACATGCTGGATGCCCCGAAAAAGGCCGATTGGCAGATTTATGGTCGTTCAATTTGTCGACATCATCGTGGAAGCAACTTGCTACAGCGCCGGGTCCCTCTCGAGGCGGAGCTTCCATTGCCTTTGCGGATGGAAAGCTTTATCGTATGAATGGATTTGACGGAGAGAAAGAACAGGGCGGTGCTCTTGATGTTTACAGCCCAGAGTCCAACTCCTGGGAAACGACGGTGTTCCCGGCAGACGGGAAGACTGGGCCTGGTGCACGAAGTGTAGCCGCGCTAGTTCCTGTGAGCATTCAAGGAAGTACATCGCTGGTTACCCTATTCGGCGAGAGCGATCCGAGCTCACTGGGACATCAAGGAGCCGGCAAGATGCTTTCTGACATCTGGGCGTACTCCATCGGGACTGGCAGGTGGTCTCCCGTGCTCACACAAGATGAAGCTCTACCTAATGCCCGCGGATGGTTTGATGCTGATGTTGTCTCAATCAACGGAAAAGATCGTATCGCAGTGGCCGGTGGTCTTGGAGAGTCAAATGAGAGGCTTAACGATCTCTGGGTACTCAGCTTCTGATACTCGAAGCTCCWGTTTCAACATCTAGCACTAGCAAAGCAGTTTCCAGCCTACCGACCGCAACCGGGCCGTGAGGGATGATCGACGCTCTACAGCGCCTGAGCACTTGGACACACCACATGCAAGCGTTGTATGCCAACTCTCGGGCCGTGTCTAACGAATCACTGCCATTGGCTGTGCGCCACAATTTCCAACAGTTGCCGTCGCTTCCGGCTTCCACGTTGGTATGCGGCAAAAACATATCCACTCGACGTTGCAACTGCTCAAACAGATCTAGCTCGTTATACATGACAGAAGGCTACGAACTACGTATTCACCAAACCTGCCAGAAGTACCGCGTTCCAAGTGCATCCTGTCGAACAGATTATTATACAGATATATGAAGCCGGCATATCTTGAATAGTACATCAGCAGTCAGTTTCCAGTGATTCCCTGCCATCAACTTTCATCAAATACCTGCGGTTCGCTGCGGTTCCAAGACCAGGATAAGATGAACAAGATTGCATTGCAACGTCGGCTTCGCATTAGTTTCTCTTGATCAGACAACAACAAATGGCTCCGGATGCTGATCGATGATTGGAGAAGCGCTTCATTCGCATATACTTCCATGAGAAATCCCGTGYTGATCAGGGATCAGCAAGGTTGATAGAGTCAGATAGACATGAGCGTGGTGAAAGTCTAAAGATAAAGTACTGTGCGGTCACCGGTGGGATTCTACTAACAGCATTTCAAGTACACTGATATCGACGCACACATGTTGACTCACTATAGGGTACTGGAACAAGTGACGAAGCTCACACAGTCGAGATCGAATAACTCGATGAAATGGGAAAGATGATGATATTGCTTGCAAACCACAGTGAAAAATAAGCTTTATAACGCAGTTACCCCTTTGAGAAGATATGACTCGTGCACGTGTTTGCGTCCTTCACTGTGGATACCCCAAATCTGAGCATCTCTCTGATGATCGTCATTCTCGGTATATCGACTTGAATGACATGCTCGCGTAGGCYCGTAGCAACCGCAGCAGATACGCTGGTCCTGTACGAGCACCGTGATCGAAATCGCCATCGGGATCTGCCCAAGCACCGGAAGCACGCATTTGGCAGACGCTTGTAAGAGGATATCGTCTTGCTGTCAGGGAGTATATATCTTCGCATGGTCCTCTGATTCCCCATTGCACTCAAGTTCTCAAAAACACCTACAACCGCCTACACCTACCCACATTCGTTCCAAACAAACCCCCAAACAACACACAACATGAAGGTCTCTTTCTTCGCTATCCCAGCATTCATTGCCGGTGTCTTCGCCGGCCCCATTGCTCGTGACGCTTCCTCTGCGGAAGTCAACGCTCTTGTTGCCAACCTCCAACAGAGTGTCCTTGCTCACGATGCTCACATCAGTATGTTGCCCACCTCTTCTCTAGCCCAGATCCGAATATTTACTGACCTGTCTCCCACAGACTCCACCATCGCTCAGATGAACTCCGGGTCCACCGCGGAGCAGAATGCAACCGCCATCGCGTCCATTCAGAAGGATCTCGATGCCATCTCCATTAGCTTCGTCCAGGCCAGTCAGGCTGTCCCATCCCAGAAGACCAGCCTTTCTGGACGTTCGGACCCTACGAAACCAATCGAGAATGCCATTCCAAAGCTCGAGAAGACGATCGATGACCTGATCTGCACGATCAAGGCCCTCCTTCCATTCGTCGGTAACGGTACGTTTATCCCAGTCGCATACCTTACATCTCCAAGAATACAGCGTTGACATTTCATTCATTCGCAGGCGCCCTTGGCCCAACTCTCGACAACCTGAACGCACTCGTCGATGGCCTGCTCTTCACCCTCACTCCTCTTCTTGCTGGCCTCCTCGATCCACTTCTCACCGGTGTCGGCTCTCTCCTCCAGTCTCTGTTGACTTAGAGGAATGATTGACGAGACGAACTTTACGCTTCATGAGACACTTGGTGAAAAGAGCTTTCACGGCTTGTACAGATAGAGTCCTGATACATGTAGAATAATACCAAGCTTAATCACACCATTTTTGCGTTGCGACCGCGTCATATCTTGTGTTTGGGTTGTGTCGTCGAAAAGTCGTCGAATAGCTCGACTGGTGGAGATAGGCCATCTCGCCTATCGCGCGCTGATGACACGTCAGACTTGCATTTCATAGATAATAGTCTTGATGAAAGACGAACGAAGGGTGCCTCTTAGAGTATCGATAGCTCAAAGAATCGACATGGGTGCCATCAAATACTCCGATCGAGCCATTCCTCGAATCAGCCTGGCCAACTTCGATGATCGCATCGACGAGATCACAACACAACTCGTACACGCCGCTGAGACGGATGGCTTCTTCTCCTTGACAGACACGGAAATCACAATCCCTGAAATTGACGCCATCTTTGGAACATCAGCGTCCTTCTTCGACCTCCCAGATGAGGTCAAGGCGACTGTACCCTTTACGACCAACAATGTCGGCTGGGAGAAGAAAGGACAGATCAGACCTTCTGTAAGCATGCCTCTCAACCACTAGAACCTCTTGCGACAGCTCATCGGGGAACCTATCAGACTGGCGTCGCAGATCAGAAAGAAAGCTACCAGCTCCAATTCGGAGACAACATGACCGATAAATGGGTCGCGGAGGAAGCCTTGCCGCATTTCAAACGTGATGCTCAGCTCTTCATGCGGAAAGCACAGAGTCTGTCAGAGAAGCTCATGTTGTGCTTTGCAAGAGGCTTGGGGTTCCCCGATGACTACTTCATCAAGGCTCATGATACGAGCCGACCCGACTGTCAGTCTGTTCTGCGCCTGTTGCACTACTTTCCTGTTGACTCTACTGCGCCATTGCCCGCGGATTATCATCGAGCTGGAGCTCACGCAGATTGGGACCTGTTGACTCTACTTTTCCAGCGGCCTGGACAGAGTGGGTTGGAAATMTGTCCAGGACGGGAAGTCGTGACCGAGTTTGGCATGGGTGATACGTGGACTCCAGTTGAATTTGCTCCGGGCGACATCGTCTGTAACATTGGAGACCTGATGATGTCTTGGTCGGACGATCGCTTCAAGTCGACCTTCCACCGCGTCAAGGCACCGACGGATCCGGAGAAGGATTACTTTGGTCCGAGGTATTCCATTGCTTTCTTCAACCAGCCATGTACGGACTGCGAGATTCAGGGGCCGTTGAAGAAGTATCCCAAGGTCACGGGAGCAGAGTTCACCAAGAATGCCATGGCAAGGAATTATCAGGCGTTGAAGGCGAAACAAGCGGAGAATGCGGAGTGATGTGTCTGTGCAGGCGGGCTTGTGATGGTTTCTGTGATGGAGATGGAAGATGTACGAGGACCTTATGGCCAGAGAAAGCACTTTACGCGTCAAGCTCGTTGGTCAAAAGTGGTGACTGAACGAGCCATCACGACTTCATGGTAGAGCCAGTAACGGGAGCAGACAAGTGGGAGGATACAATCATACAGCACTATAGACGTAGAGACACTCTGTTAATACATATACATGTGTATGTATATTTGACCGATTGAAGTCTGGAACTGGCCTCATTGATTGTGGGTTCTCTTTCATCCCACCTTTTTCGCCAGCATGGCGCGTCAATTCGTGTGTTGGACGCGAGAAAGCGCCCTGGAGATTTCCCGCCCGCTCCAGAATCCCCTCTCTCCTCCACAAACCAACGACAATGAGGTAGATGGCCTCCAACGCATGACTAACAGCAAGATCTGACAATCTCCCAGCTCTCCACTGCGATCCAACATGTCAGCGGCAAACCGAGGAAGAAATCCGGCCGGCGGACGCAAGAGGGCCAGAGACGCCGAGGACGATGGCCCGTCGTCGTCTGCAGCACCACCATCAAGTCGTATGTACGGAGGTGTGTACATCAGGCGAATCTTTCCTGACAGGATCTATAGCTCCCGCGTCATCACCACCCGTGTTCCCCGCTGGCGGCGACGACATTGAAGAGGACGACAACATTGACCCCGAGGAAGATCTCATCCACGACATTGACGATGCAGACGAGATGGCAGAAGACGATGCAGGCATCGACCTCTTCGGCGACAACTTTGATCGCGACTACGACCGACAAGAACAAGCTGGATACCGCGGCGCCGACATTGATGATGATGAGGACTACGACCAGCTGGATCCGGCGGCCAGAAGAGCGCTTGAAGCACGCCTCAATCGCCGTGATCGAGAGCTGGCACAGGCACGCAACAGACCGGCTGCCTTCTTACCCGACGATGAAGAGGATGTCATGGATCTCACCCGCCAGCCACGCAGACGCAGGCATCGCTTCGACGAGGATCAGGACGATGTGGACATGCATGAGGATATTATGAACGAGGAAATCTCAGTCGAGGCTTTGGGAGAAGTAAAGGCTGCAAACTTGACGGATTGGGTTTCCCAACCGGCAGTGCATCGCTCAATTGCACGAGAGTTCAAGTCTTTCTTGACCGAATACACCGATTCTACAGGTACCTCGGTCTATGGTGTTCGCATCCGTACCTTGGGAGAAGTCAACGCGGAGTCATTGGAAGTCGACTGGGCGCATCTGGCGGAGTTCAAGCCTGTTTTGGGCTACTTTCTAACCAATGTTCCATTCGAGATTTTACCAATCTTCGACGCTGTGGCTTTGGAAGTCGCTCTTTACCACTACCCGGACTATGAGCGCATCCACTCGGAACTGCATGTACGTATTGCAGGGTTGCCCATCTCATACACCCTGCGTCAGTTGCGTCAGAGCCATCTGAACTGCCTATTGAGAGTGAGCGGTGTCGTTACTCGACGAACTGGAGTGTTTCCTCAGCTCAAATATGTCAAATTTGACTGCACCAAGTGCGGAGTCACACTTGGTCCCTTCCCACAAGACAGCAATGCGGAGGTCAAGCTGTCGTACTGTCAGAACTGCCAGTCTCGTGGTCCCTTCACACTCAACAGCGAGAAGACCGTCTATCGAAACTACCAAAAGCTCACCCTCCAAGAATCGCCTGGAACTGTCCCAGCAGGTCGCCTACCACGAACTCGCGAAGTAATTCTGTTGTGGGATTTGATAGACTCTGCTAAGCCTGGCGAGGAGGTGGAGATTTCTGGAATATACCGCAACAACTACGATGCGCAGCTCAACAACAAGAACGGTTTCCCCGTTTTTGCAACCATTCTCGAAGCGAATCACGTGGTCAAGTCTCACGATCAGCTTGCTGGCTTCAGATTGACAGAAGAGGATGAGCGCAACATTCGTGCTCTCAGCAAGGATCCGAAGATTGTCGACAAGATCATCAGCTCGATCGCTCCTTCCATCTATGGCCACACCGACATCAAGACTGCGGTTGCGCTCTCACTATTCGGCGGAGTTTCAAAGATGGCACAAGGCAAGCACTCAATCCGTGGTGACATCAACATTCTGCTACTGGGTGATCCTGGTACTGCAAAGTCTCAAGTCTTGAAGTACATCGAAAGCACAGCACATCGCGCCGTATTCGCTACCGGTCAGGGTGCTTCCGCTGTGGGTCTTACAGCAAGTGTACGGAGAGATCCCCTTACACAGGAATGGACGCTGGAAGGCGGTGCATTGGTGCTTGCTGACAAGGGTGTATGCCTGATCGACGAGTTCGACAAGATGAACGACCAAGATCGGACCAGTATCCACGAGGCCATGGAGCAGCAGACCATCTCCATCTCCAAAGCCGGTATTGTCACGACATTACAAGCAAGATGTGCCGTCATCGCCGCCGCCAACCCCATCGGTGGACGCTACAACGCGACAGTGCCTTTCAGCCAGAACGTCGAGCTCACGGAACCCATTCTGTCTCGTTTCGACATTCTTGTCGTTGTCCGAGATACCGTCGATCCCGAAGAAGACGAACGTCTCGCCAACTTTGTGGTGAACAGTCACGGTCGTGCACACCCTGTCAACAGCTCATCTCTTGGCTCACAAACTCAAACCACAGCCGTTGGCGAAGAGGGCATGGACGTCGATGACGAGGAGCATGCTCCTGCTTCCGCAGGACCCAAAACGGAGATTCCTCAAGAGTTGCTGAGGAAGTACATTCTTTACTCTCGCGAGCATTGTCGGCCGAAACTATATCAGATTGACCAGGACAAGATCGCGAGACTCTTTGCCGATATGCGGAGGGAGTCGCTTGCCACTGGCGCTTATCCCATTACTGTACGTATTTACACATCCTGCTTCTGTCCCATTGACTAACAAGCGCACAGGTCCGTCATCTTGAATCCATCCTCCGAATCAGCGAGTCCTTTGCCAAGATGCGTTTGAGCGAATACTGCAGTTCCGTAGATATCGATCGGGCTATTGCGGTGACGATTGACAGTTTTGTCGGCAGCCAGAAGGTTTCATGTAAGAAGGCTCTGGCGAGAGCTTTTGCAAAGTATACGCTTGGAAGACCTGGTGCACCAAAGAACCGGAATCGAGGTGGTAGGACTCGGGATGGAGTTAGTGCTGCTGCTTAGACATTCTTTGAGGAGATAGATGATGATGACGGCGTTGGAGGTGTTCAAGAAGAGATGCACGGAAGCGCTTTTGCATGAATGCGGAGACCAATTCCCCTGTCCGTGGTTGATTTGCGCCCAGCAGTAATGATGACAATCTTGTATAGTTCCCCCTTCTTTTCCCACCCAACTCCAACTCTTCCACTTCTGATATCAATCCATCAGTCCCAAGCACAAAACGCCAACCACCCCACCACACCCCCCAACAACCAGCACAGAAAACACCACATCCCCAAACTCGCTCCCTTTTCCCGGATCAATTTTGCCGGGTAAATGTTACATGTGATTTCCGCATCCACATCCACTCGCGCAAGGATACATTTTTGGAATTCTTCCACTTCGTAGCCCGTGACGCAGTAGTTGAAGCAGGAATTTGAGGTCACGGGGGTATTGCTGCAGCAGACTGATTTTGAAATGACGTGTTAGTTGGGGGGTTTGGAAGCTTTGAGAGGGAGGGAAGGGGAAACGGACATTCGAATTCCTGCGTGAAAGTTGTATTGGCGGATGAAATGGGGGAGTTGAAACCGCAGATTCGAGTTTGGGATTTGCTGAAATCTGAGGGGAGGTCTGATGGGTTGGCGAGGTGGGTTGGGAGGCAGGTTGCTGTGAGAGAGATGAGATTGTTAGTGAGTGTTCGAAGGAGAGGGAGGGAGGGAGGGAGGGAGATTTTACTGCTATCTCGTAAAAGGAGAGAAGTCATTATGATCTGTCAATGTCGTTCCGTTGGAAGATTTTCAATCCTTCCTGTTTCCTTCTGATCGAACGAGGAAATTTGGATTGCAAGAAGGATGTCGTTGGTTACTCGGACAAGAAGAAAAAATGGTGTATCAAGATGTCCAGCATCAAGTGAAGAAACAGGCAAGGAAATCAGTCAGTCACTCGACGGTGAATGAGCGGCTGCTTCTCCATCTATCTACATGACACCTGCACGAAGCCTTAAGCAAGCGCACACGCACGCGCACGCCGCACGCCTCGCATTGATAGCAGCGTGCTGCACAGGCACATCTGACATGTTTCAGATACAAAGTCGTTGGTATACGCAAACAGAAGTTCATCCGTACATGCCAGGCGCTTGGCATGTTTCAGGATTCGTTTGCCGCGAACAGAGTGCTCCAAACGGCTGGGCGCTTATATCTGGGGGATGGTCCTCCACAGCCGCTCGCTTGGAAGCTGGAAATAGATGGCATCGCTGGAAATGTCGTTCGTTTGATTTGGTCGTTGGCTGTTAACTATACATTCTGTTGCGATCGGGTGCCTTGAACTGCAAGGCTCCAAAAAGTTCCCAATACTCTTTACAAGTCATATCCACAATCCGCATAATCCTCGTCAAGCCTGATTAGCACCCGCAGCAGCCTCCCGAATAGCTTGCTCATCACCTCTCAATTTGGCGAAGAACGCGTTGATGTGTTCTGCACCTACAGCCTCTCCACTATCGGCGTACTGCTGGAGGAATGGCTTGAGCTTATCCTTGAGATGATTGTAAGCCATAGCGCCCTCAATAGCCCTCACGCGATCCATGGAAGACAATGCAGCCTCGCCGCGATCGAGCAACGAGCCAGATCCGACACTGCGAGCGCCATCAGCATTCTCTCCATCTTCGGAGACAGGAGGCTCGTAGGTGTCTTCTTCTTCGAGGAGTTGAGGGTGACGAGCCAGGCGGGGGAAGCAGGTGGGACAGCGGCAGAGGTGGTCGCGAAAGTCTTCTTGGAGGAAGAGGGTTATGGGACCTGCTGATGCGAGTGGGAGAGAGGCGTGTCTGGGTGATTCCGTAGTGGCAGCTGTGGCTGTTGGCTCTGATGCCTGGATGTCGTCTTCGGACTTTACTTTCTTAAGGGAATCCTGGACGACTTCTTGGTCATCGTCTGCCTTTCGTTTCTTGCTGTCTGCTGTTCCCGTTCCCGTGGGTGCTTCCGTTGCACCGTTCGTAGCATGTCCGTTCGCGGTGTGGCCATTGGTCGTTGGCGCAGATCCATCAGCGGCGTGGGAATTCGTCGTTGGCGCAGATCCATCAGCGGCGACGGCCGGTAGGAAGCCATTTGTGCCCGCATACTGCTTGATCCAAGGGTTCGCACTGACACACTTGTAGCAGATGAGATGGTCAAAGTCATCTTCAGCAGGGAAGCCGGGTGGGAGTGGAGCATCGTCGACTTCCGCATGCTCTCCATCGACGCCATTCGGCGCAGGCGCATCTTCGCCATCCTCGGCCTCTTCCTTGACCGTCTCAAGCTGACCATCGTCTTCCACCCTGCCTTCCTTCTTTGGCTCCTGCTTCACCCTCTCCCTTCCCATCAAGCACTCGGGATGCCACCAATCTTCGCCACACCCACCATCTTCAACACTCCCCAACCCCAAACATTGAAACATGGTTCCCTTCTCCAGCTCGGGATCGTATTCCTCGCCGCATCCACAGAACTTGCCGGCATAGTTGTGGTTGTATTTGTTCCCCGCATGTGCCTCCTCTCCCGTGACATGGCCCTTTCTTCCCGTACTCGAGTTGATGCGCAGACTACATGGAGTCCCCGTGTTGGCGAGTCTGGTCGTACCACAGTCGCAGACAAAGTTGCGCTTGGCGAAGAGTTCGACGAGGTTGTGTTCGCCGTGACAGCTGATACTACAGCTGTAGCACACGCCGGCGGGGGTGGATTGTTGGTGGATGGAGGCAGGGGGAGGAGAGCAAGTCAGACAGGCATAGACGGTTTGTCGGAGGGGACCCAGAGGGTGGGTGCACGTGTCGAATTGGTAGGGAAGGGCTTCTTTGGCCTCTGCTTCGAGGGAGAGTTGCGATGCGATGTACTCTCGCGCCGTTTGGGACGATTCCGATGCCGCGGTGATGGAAGATGCTCGCTTCACACTGCGATTCGGGGGGACCTGCTGCTCATCGGATGCCATTTTTGATGTGATATGATGTTGCTGGCCGGATCTGAAGTGATGAAAAGGCGAAGATTGATTGAGGGAGAAGACGTGGGACGCGTTGGCGTCAGGGTCGCGTTCTAGGAAGGTTGGCCGAGCCCAATTTTCGACTCTATCTCCCGTCCCATCACCTCACAAGTCCCTCAAATCCTTGTAGAAATACCTCTCATCCTTCAACTCTCCCGTCAACGGACAAATCCCATTCTTCGGCAAGACTCCATATGAAATGTACCCCAATTTGGGATACATCTCCTCTGCAGGATATCCTACACTCGTTCCCCTAGTATATACATCCTCGTATTAGCAATCCACCACCCCACCTCTCACACCACTACAACGGTTCGAAAACTTACAAACAAATCAACCGTCTCCCCTTCTCAACAACAACCCCTTCCAGCCTCGCCATCAGATTCCTCGCATACCCTTTCCTCCTCTGTCCAGGATCAACCATTAATTTCTCCACAAAAGCTCGAAATGGTCCCGTCTCCGACTCCGGCATGGAAATAGATACCACGCCCGCTAGACTTTGTTGCGAGTCATCTGTGAATTGTAACAAAATCTCTCGAGTTCCAGAGGAAACTTCTGAAAAGAGAGATTTCCAGTAATCGGTGAGTTTTGTCGGGTGCGAGACGTCGATGATGGTGGCTAGGAGACCATCTTGGAGGACGCAGGATTTGTGGATTAGCGTTATGGAGGGGAGGAGGTGAGTGTGTTGGGCGGGGGAGAAGAGGATTGGTTGGGGTGGAGGAGAGGAGGACATTGTTGGAGGCTGTCTTGAGTGTTGGATGTTGAGGAAGAGAGATTGAGACTGAAAGGACGATTGTTTGTAGATTTTGCTGACAAATGTGTGGCCTGATTGGGAAGGAGGAGGATTCTGACGGCCTTTGCCCCATACGATGTGAGCAGCAATGAGTGTCTAACATACCACACGGCTCCGCTTTTGAGCCAAAGTTGTGCATCAACATCCTTGATCCACCGGCCACGTCTTTTTTCCCCTTCGATTACGTAGTCCCACCTCAATCTCCTCAAACCTATCTTCCAGACCCAAACCATGCCACCTTCCTCTCCTCGCGTCCTTTTCCCAGTAATCATTCCCAGCTTTGATATCCTTCCAACAAGTGTGGAGAACCTCTCGTTCTGGCATCGAAATCTTGCGCATCTGCATAGCCACAACTCTCTCGGCATGTGCTGCTTGATAGTACCCGATACACTCCGCGGCAGAGCCTCCGAGATTAATGGCGCATGTCTGTGCTCTTGTTGTTCGCTCGAAGATCCTGTCGAGGAGGGATTCCATCTTCAATACTTCYCCAGCAAACCGTCGTTCGGAGTCCATGTCGACAATGAGTCTAGCTCGGACAATGCGTTTCGAAACATCCTTCAGCTGCTTCCGCTCGTCGGAATTCAGCTGGAGGAGATTGGCATGTGTTTGACAGTGTGACTTCTCAATGACAAGGTGAAGCATTCGCACAAGTTCGTTCCTTCTGTAGAACTCCTTGTTTGTGGTGCCCATCAACTGGAGACGCTTTGGATGTGGTAGCCACGTTGGCAAAGAGGCCTGATCATCGTCGCCGACGGCGTCTTCGAGGGGACCAATGAAGGTCTTAAATTGGCACTCAAACAATGCACAGAGTCTGGCGAGCGGGTACGCGGCGTTGAGATGTGGAGGACGCTAGCCATGAGCCGCATATTCACGAATTGACGAGGTCGAGATCGTTACGCTCTTCAGCTTATCACTTGTCTGGAGCATAGACATGAGCGAGTGAAAGATGATCTTGTCCGCTTCGTTGAATACGTGGCCGTTGAAGAGAGCAATGTGAATTGAGCGACAACCAAGCAGACGCTGTGCCCATCTCGCTTGGAGAACACCCATGTGTATCCACTTGGGCAGTTGCAGGAACGTGGTCATGTTGAGCTCTCCCGGCGTGGCTATGTGGCAGACGGGGAATTCGAATGGAATGTAATCGAGTCGGAATGTGTTCATTTCATAGAGAGTTTTGGTTGCCTCCCGATGGATGGCCTTGCAAGTGGCAAGGATCTCGGGATAGCAATACGCGGCTTCACGATGGCGTCCGAGTGCAAAATATCCCCGGCTGTCATTACCCGCCGGCCTTGTCCGTAGCAGGAGGAGACAGTCATAGATCCCATTTCGCAGCTCGCCCGGCAAATCCAAAAATTTCACGCTGATATTAGCATTGGCATCCGCAGAGCGCAAAGCATTGATATAAGCCGCGGCAGTTCCAGGCTGACTGAGAGCCTCATCCTGAGACCGACCAGGAACAATGGTCCGCATCTCATCGGGAGTCGGAGCGGAATCATCAAGCCGATCGGAAGCTGTGGCGGGAAGAGTCATCGGCGCGGCGACATGGACTTGATCGGCATCGGCATCGGTAGCATGAAGCTCCTTTGAAGGCAAGAGCTTTCGATTCTCGCAGAACCGCCGCAGTTCCTCCAGCGAGCAGGCATTGTAATCGAGAGCAAATTTTGGCAAAGTCATAGCGATAGGATGTCGAGGTATGTCGAGCGTGCGATGTTTTTGAAGAATTGAATTTTCCGTGGAAGAAAGCGAAGTTGATGTTCTAGCGGTGGAGTAGGGAAGTCAGGAAACGAGAGGAGTGAGTATCAAAGGCAAACGTGAGGCAGGTCCAGTTGCCCGGATACCGGCATGGCGTGTGATTTACTCCCGTCGTCGAGGGATTCCTCCTTGGACTGCGGATTGCCACGAGTGAGCAAAATGCACGGGAGTTCTACTCGCCTGGACGCAAACAGGAGTAGAAAGTGTTGACATTACCGACATAGAAGGGTTTCTTCCCGGCTTCTTCCCAGTTCGCACCGCTCTCTGCGCGATGGCCTTAGGGTTATTTTGTACATCCTCTCCATCTCTCATCGAAGCTACTTTTGCACACGCGGACCGATACCGCTCATACCCACCGCGGTCATCTAGGCTTTGACCGCTTCCTGTCTCTCAAATGCCACGTCACCATCCTTGGTCACACTGGCATAGCTCATCTTCGTAGGCAGCGCTTTGGGCATTCCAGGCTCCGCACCAGCCTCGGCAGGCGAGGTTACAGCCAGTGCTCTCGGAACAGCTCCCGCTGGGCTATCAGCAATCTCATTGACATCCTCGGAGGTTAGGACATCAGCGATTGCTGCTGAGCGGGATTGGACGAGGATTGTGGCTGGGCCGTGGAAGTGGAGGAAGAGCTGACAATGCTGTCAGTACAGTCCACGGCATGTTGTGAAGGAACGGCAACCTACTCGATCTCCCCAAATCGTCCTTCTCGCCCACGTTCTCAGGGTGAAGGTCGCATCGCGAGTGAATCTCCAGACTGCGCTTTCCCGCATGGTCCGCCAGAATCTCGTGTCGGGTAACCAAGTCAAAGGGTTAGGGATTTGTAGTCGCATGTTACTTGACTTGAATCGGTAGGGTTGAGGTGCGTGTTGCATCATGCTGTATGCAATGACATTACTGGGTCGGACGACGTATTCCTCGCCGGTCTTGAGGGTGATTTGATGGATGAGACCTTTTCCAGACAGAGCAAGGAGGCCACGGCCGGTGACGAGGGTGCTACCCCAGTGTGCGAGGCTCTATATAAGTTAGTTCATGGACTGCTTGTCGACAGCAGAGAAGGGAGTTGGGGATACCATCTTCATATTCCATCGTGGCTTCAAGCTGAGGGTGTGACCTGTCCATGCTAGAAGAGCGTTTCGTTGTGCAACCATCCAGTCTAGTCTTCCGTCCAGGTGAACAACAACGAGGGATGTGATGGGGGATTTGGTGGCTATTAGGGCGGAGTAGGGCGTGGTGGATGTGATGCGTTGGTAGAGAAAGGGAATGCCGAGGGGCAGTCGGCGGAAGGGTTCGAGTACGGAGAGGGTCGAGACGGCCTGGCAACATCATATCAGCCTGAGTTCATGTTCATGTTCATCCATCATCGTATGGTCTTGCGTACATTCTCCGCCTTGCCATTGAAGCCGGCGAGGGTGCCCTTGCGGGTGTAGAGGTCCTGGGACGCGGAGATGGAGGCCGAGAGGAGACTGAAGGGACTGCCGAGAATCTCAAATCGTGCATCTGCTAGAGGGAGGAAAGGAATGGGTCAGCTGCGATTCATGAACCAGGCGCATCCGATGTGACAATGACATACCGGCCGTGGGACTTCCACTCGATGCGCGGGGCTCCAGGCTTTGCTGGGGCTCGCTGGACGAAGGGACAGAGCTGATCTGAACGAATCGCCGGTTCCCGATGCTCCGGACGGCATTCGTCGGTCGCAGTCGTCGAACAGCCCTCATCGCGCAGCAATATCCAACAAAGCTGCGCCGGGAGCTATACGCCGCGGCAAACAGGTGAGGTTTGGACGCGAGACTGCTTGGCAAAGAAGGTAGGATGATCATGTCCGAGTGTGCGCTACTTTTGGGATTTCATCAGTCAGGGAAAGACATTGATGACGGGGCGGACTTTGACGGGCAATTCCATTGCTCGCACGAGCACGCGATCGGACGTGGCTTGATACGCAACACCGACACCACCGATAGCTTGCATTCACTCACTCACTGTTCCTTTCGGGGCTCGCCGAGAACATTGAGCATACAGGTAGTTCTACATGATAGATGATGGCCTGATTGAACGACCGACAACAGCATGTTACGCAGCAGCAGCAGATGTCTGAGGGCAACTCTGCCATACCCTCCCGGCGCCTCCACCAGATGCAGACCCAGACCCAGACCCAGCACATCAGATCCCCTCCAGACAGCATGGCATGTGAAGAGGGTGTTTGCGACGACCCCGCGGCATAGAAAGGACGAGGCGAGGATATCGTCCAAGGCGACGGCGAGTCCCACGTCCAAACATGGCCCACTTCTCGCCGAGCAGACCGTGTCCAACAAGGAGCAGCGGAAGATGGACTGGGCAATCATGAAGGACATGGTCCAGTACCTCTGGCCCAAGAATGACTTCAACACTCGCTTTCGCGTGAGCTTGAGTCTGGGGTTGTTGATAGGCGCAAAGGTGGGCAATACCATGTCATCGTTTCTTGTTCTCTGGTCGGGCGTTGATAGTCTGCATGTAGGTCTTGAATGTGCAGGTTCCCTTTTACTTCAAGGATATTGTCGATTCCATGAATATTGATTTCGCCGCCGTTGGTGGCACCGCCATGACTGTTGCCGGGACCGCCATCTTTGCTTGTGTGCCTCCTTCCGCATTCATCACATCGCACCTTCCTCCACTAACATCACAACAGACGGCGCCACGCGAATCGGCGCCACTCTCGCGCAGGAATTCCGCAACGCAATCTTCGCCTCCGTCTCCCAAAAAGCCATCCGTCAAGTCGCCGGCAACGTCTTCAAACACCTCCTCCGCCTGGACCTTCCCTTTCACCTCGCCCGCCAAACCGGTGGTCTCACCCGCGCCATTGACCGTGGAACCAAAGGCATTAGTTTCCTGCTGACCTCCATGGTCTTTCACATCATCCCCACAGCCCTTGAAATCTCTCTCGTCTCCGGCGTCCTCACCTACCAATATGGCTGGAAATTCGCCGCCTTGACCGTAGGAACCATGTCCGCATACTCCTGGTTTACTATCAGCACCACGGCCTGGCGTACCAAATTCCGCAAACAAGCCAATGCTGCGGACAACAAGGGTGCCACGGTCGCCGTGGACTCACTCATCAATTATGAGGCGGTCAAGTATTTCAACAACGAAGCTTACGAAGCCAAGAGGTATGATTCAGCTTTGAAGAACTACGAGGGAGCGAGTATTAAAGTTGCCACGTCTCTCGCATACCTCAATTCGGGACAGAATCTCATCTTTTCCACGGCCTTGACGGGAATGATGTACATGGCCGCCCAAGGAGTCGCGACGGGCAACCTCACAGTCGGAGATCTGGTCATGGTCAATCAACTGGTCTTCCAACTCTCTGTCCCACTCAATTTTCTGGGAAGCGTATACCGCGAATTGCGAMAAAGTCTCCTGGACATGGAAACGCTCTTCAACCTCCAAAAAGAAAATGTGGCAATCAAAGAACTCCCCAACGCCAAACCCCTGAATCTCTCTCGCGGAGGAGGAGAAATCCGCTTCGAAAACGTAACTTTCGGTTACCGTCCCGACCGCCCAATTCTCAAGAACTTGACCTTGACAATCCCGGCCGGGAAGAAGATCGCCATTGTAGGACCTTCGGGGTGTGGAAAGAGCACTATCCTCCGCCTCCTCTTCCGCTTCTATGACGTGCAAGAAGGGAGAATACTGATCGATGGTCAAGATATTCGGGACGTCAGTCTCGAGAGTCTGAGGAAGGCCATTGGTGTCGTGCCGCAAGATACACCTTTATTCAACGACACAATCGAACATAATATTCGTTATGGGAAGATTGAAGCTAGTAGTGAGGAAGTCGTGGAAGCTGCGAAACGGGCCCGTGTCCACGACATCATATCCTCCTTCCCTGATGGCTACCAAACAATGGTCGGCGAGCGCGGAATGATGATCTCCGGAGGCGAAAAACAACGTCTCGCCATCTCCAGACTCATCCTCAAAGACCCTCCACTCTTGTTCTTTGACGAGGCGACGAGTGCGCTGGATACCCATACAGAACAAGCTTTGATGGGCGAAATCCGGGGGTTCCTGAAATCGGGGAAGCGGACTAGTGTTTTTATTGCGCATCGTTTGAGGACGGTGTTGGATAGTGATGTTATTGTGGTGTTGAAGGATGGAGGGGTCGTGGAGATGGGGAGCCATGAGCAACTTGTGGATTGCGGTGGGGTTTATGGGGAGTTGTGGAGTGCGCAGGAGATGGCCTTTGTCGAGGAGGGGAAAGAGGTGGTGGTGGAAGAGAAGGGAGATGGGAAGAAGGAAAAGAGCTGATCTGAAGGGGTAAGATTTGGTGGGATATGATGATGTCGCTACTAGAGCAACCGTCGCTTATACAGATGCCTTTCGACTTTGCTGAGCGCATAGACGCTTGCAGCGCGAAGTTTTACACCCGCAAAACCTTTGGTAGCGGTGTTCCAGTAGAGAAAGAAAGAAGCTCCCTCTTTTAGATCGTAGACTTGACATCAGATTCGGGGCGTTGGTTCTGATTGCATAAACGCCGACTACATTTCTTCCATCCCATGGAATCATGGAATGAGGCCCGATGCGGAAGATATGGGTATGTCATTGCAGTGGCGTGGTGGACTGTAGAAAAGACGGACCTGTCGAGAATGGACCTCGTAACAAACAGTCCTTTAAGCTGCTCCTACAGATGCTTAGATTTTAGTGGCTTAGTAAGCGCCAACTATCACATGTTAGACTACAACAGCGCACTCGCTCGATTTGCTTTTGATGAGCTCGCTTCTTGGTGCCAGGGGCACCTTTCTACGCGGAGGCTCGTCATCGCCCCGTCAGCTTCTAGACCTAATTTTCAATCAACTTTCGTATCCCATAAGACTACCCACAGCGTCGAGAAGGGATTCCGAGAGATGAGTTACAGCCATCCCGCTAGTGCTAGCGCCAAATTCCAAATTTCCCATCTACTTAGATAAGTTTCTTCCCGACTTCCTTTCACTCTCTTTCTTCCTCCATCATCCACGATCACCACCACTCCGAATTGACTCGCGCTGCTCGCTATGCTCTACCATTGCTCTCCCCAACAGGATTGTTACGATGGCACAGTGCGGCGACGTACCAACCCAGTCTTCTGGGCGCGGGAAAGACGCAGCATGGCAGTGCTACACCCCGCTTCGGCGGCACAACTTGAGGTAGCAGCAGTGCGAAGTCACCATGTCACCACTCGAAAACTGCTACTCTGCTCACCGACGCATCATAGTCCTCGATACTCTCGGACATAGTGGCCAGGTGCATGCGATGCTGCGTCGAGGATACGGTATTGTACCTTCTAAGGGARCTCACGTTGGATGATGCGCGCAAACGCTAGTCCTGTTACCTGCTTCGGCGGCATAATCCAGAGTCGAGTGGCAGTTTTGAGTGGGTGGATCACGAATCAGAGAGCACCGCGCTCCGCAACAGCAGGTCCCGACAAGGCTTGCTGCAGATGAGTATACTATTTGAACATTACGCTGACCCCACGAGTGCAGTCAGCCTTTGTGCTGGCGCCTTGAGGGGTCTCTAAGAGACTACGCGGGTCCTTCTTAGCCCCATTTGCACTGAGTATAGAGAGCACCTCGCAGTTAGGGGCGAGGCGTCGTAGGGGAAGAGTTCGGTCGTGCATACAGCAGCTCCAGTATGGTCGTTAGCTTCTCCACCGGGTTTGCCCGAGAAACTTGCATGTGAGCTGCCAAGGCCTAAGCGAGCTGCGTGACGTCATGCCGATCTTTAACACAATGCACGATGCCAGGCTACGTTGCGTTCGATCAACAGACCGGTATAGATCGGAAATAGTACTTCGAGACTCTTCCAAACTTAGAGCAATCTCTCAAATGCTGGGAAATACAGCGTCGCGGCGGTGTTGAGCATGAGAACTGGAACTGGGTAGCATCCATCTAAGAAGCAGCAAGAAGAGATGCCGCTATGATGAACGGACAGTATCACTAATATGATACGCTGGTACCACCTATTGTCGTAGGTTCATAGGGTACGGGTAGGGCCAATACTAGCTAGCACAGACACTAAGAATACGTGCACTGTAGCCATCACATCAATGCATTACTTCGGCGCCGTCTCATCCCCTCGAGATCCAACAGAATCCCGCACAGCATCCCCCTGACGAGCAACAGCAGCATGAGCACCATCTTGCGTCCTCTCAATAGCAGCATGAGCACCATCTTGCGTCCTTACAATAGCATTCCCAACCTGATCCCTTCCTTCCGTATACCTCTCATCAAGCGCAGCCTTCGCATCATGCTCCAATTTCTCCCCAACATGCTCGATATCCCTCGCAGTACTTTGCACCTGCTCCACCACACTTTTCTTCTTCTCCTCCGCCATATGCTTCCCACTAGACACGATCTCATGTTCCAGCTCCTTGAGTTCTTTCAATTTATCCTCCAACATATCCTTCATTCCGCGAGCGTTGGAGAAGAGTCCAGAAGCGGTTCCTCGTGCACGATCGATTGCGGTGCTCGCTTCCGTTTCCTTCTCATTCCAATGTTTGCTCATTGTGCTGAATGATGGCTGCGGTCGGGCGAGGGAGATGGCTTGCGGTTGAGCTCGAGCCAAAGTTCCCGAACTTACGAAGCGGTCTGGTCGGTTGTTCTCGATGTCTTGTCGGAGTTCCTCGTACATCTTGCGGATCTTCTCTACTTCTTCTGCTACGCTTAAGCCGCTGTTTGGGAAGGTAAAGTCTCGTTCACGCTGCTCAATGCACTCTCGAATCTTGGCCTGAGAGAAGAGGATGATTGTTAGCCCTTCCATTGCGCAGCAGAGCACATAGCTCGCAATCAGACGAAGCGGAGCAGGCCTCTACGAGATCTCTGAAGCCAATTGTGCACTCACCCATTCGTGTTGGAAGTATTTTATACGATGAGGTAATCCGCTCCCGCGCAAGTAGGTCAAAAATCCCGCAATACAGGTATTTATCGCTCCAAATGCAGTGACCTGGGTTCGATCAGCGCCAACATTCCTCCCACTGTTGTACCATCAACTCACAGCTTTGTTGCTAGCAGCAGCTGCTCCAAGAGCAGTCAAGGCCGCCGCCACAATGATCTGCAATCCATAGCAGAAATTGATCAATCTTGATGYAGACTTGTAATTTCGTTTCGCTTTGATCTCGCAATCGCAGACTGTGGCATATATGCCCAGATTGGGAGACGGTCTGTCTGCTAAGGAAGCTTGCGGCCGTCTGTTCATTTGGAACCCATGTTTTGAGGTGAAGGACTATCACAGTCAGATGGGGCTCCTAGAGGAACAGAAACATCAATTACTTGCCTTGTCTTGCAATACTGTAAGAAATTTTGTCAGCATACAGTGTGATGTTGCGTTCAAACGTGGGAAGACTCACTTCCTACGAGCAGACGAAAGTCTGTCAATTGTGAATTCGTCTGGATGATCTCGGGATGCTCATAGCGAGATTCGCCATTTTCTGCGTGAGCTTGTTGGGCTGGTGCGCTGTTGTCGAATTTCGAGGGTTCCCTAAATTCGGTCCATGCGTGTCGAGCCCTGTTGACGAAGTCCAAGGCAGTGTTCATTGTGCGGTCTTGCAACAAAGCCTGGCAGGATTACTGAGAGAAGGACAATTGTGATGAAAGAAATGTGAACATGCAGAATTGTTCGGCGGGATCCTGATTAGATCGGCATCTGCATACAAGTGCTCCAAGCTCTGCGCGCATACATGAACTGTGCCAGCGTGCAGTAGATCCGACGATCGTCAAGCTTGATGGGGATGGATTGCAAAGTCCGATTTGTCTCGTGGTTTTTGACTTCTCGCGTATGTGCGCCACAGCGCCAGCTACAAGCCAGCTAAATTCGAGGTGCATGCTGTTTGTGGTTTAATGTGTTCACGGCGGAAACCGTTCTGTGTAGGAGGTAGATGACGGTATCTACAAGCAGATTGATGGCGAACGTTGCAGTGCAAACGTCTTCCTCGTCGCGAAGAGAGAGTTGCAAAGGTTCTGCATTGCTGTGTGGGCGTCAACTGCAGATCAGTTGAAGTAGTTCTTCGATCGGCGAGCAACGGCACGACCCTGATAGCGCCAGGTCGAATGGAGCAAACGCACCTACGACGGTTTGAAGTATATTGACGGCATCAAGATGTGCAGTGAAATGGCCAATCCTGCAATCCCGGAACAGCCCTTGGAAATCCAGCTTGTAGTCACTACGAAAGATGAGGGAAACACACGCGCTTGCATTGTCTTGAACTGGATGCATGTCCAAACGCGATGCACGATTGTGCATAGAGCCTAAATTCGTCGCTTTCAACGTCGCACTCCGCCAGTTCCAATCAGTCAACATTGCTCGTCGGCATCTCGTCCGGCGGAGCTTGACACTAGGTTCAGGGCGACATGGGCGCGCTACACGCGGTGATCGTAAAGTCGGACCGTGAGTGTATGCTGTCGCTTGTCGTTGTATCTTATCAAGCGAACCACCCATTGTGGGAAGCCGCAGCTGTTCGAGGAGTGACCTTTTGTATCATTTCTCGTAGTCTATGCGCTATTCTGAATGCACAGAGAGAAGCCCGTTCGTGCAGGCTGTTGGACTTTGGAGTGCCTGGAATGTCAACCTTGTAGCAGAGCTGAGGAGAAGCCCTTATTTGCACCTTGATAAAGAATGCGAGTGTTGGTCCATGGAGACATTCATTCAGATATACCTCAGGCTGAGCGTCTTAGACACAACAGACCTCTCGAAATGCGCATCTCGCCGAATTTCCGCGAGAGCAATCAGGAGTCCGGCACCAACAGATTACTGGACACGAGTCTTGCGGATCGCATGAGTTGCTCCTGCTTTTGTTCAAAGACTCAGTCCTGCTTCGAGTCTGTATTTATGCTGATGGCAACGGCCAGAGAAGGCCCGGTATCTTTTTACAGCAAATTCTGACAGACTTTGGAACGCCGAAGGATGGTGCAATTGGAGGGATCTTCAAAGGTTCCAAGGTACACAAGTATTCGAATCAAGGCTCATCTGTGTACGCAGGCGGTTCGTCGTCCTCCTCTCGCTCTTCGGGAGTGGATGCTCCCATTCGCTCGGCACTCTGTCTTTCCTGCTCGACATGCACACTCCACAGCGCACTTCCCGCTGCTGTGGTGAGCAGGAAGAACATGGCCAGAATAGGGACCAGCTGAAGGATCATGTGCACCGTTCCAATCCACAAGTACTCAAATCTCCTCTGCTTCGTCTTGATGAAAGCGTTCCGCTGCTTCTTCGAGAACTGCCTCAGTTGAAAGTAGCGCCAGTTCATGAGGGGACCCGCTCGATATCCCGTCAACAGCAAGAACAGCGGCACACCTGCGAAAGGCACGAAGTTGAGCGGCAGCAAGACGACAAACTCCACAATCTGCCTGAAGCTGAACGGTGCGAACTTTGCTCCCGAGTCTCTTGCGCCCAGCCGCTTGTATGGATCGCTTTCGTCGATGTCCTCGGACACTTCCCGGCGGTTCTTGACCAGATGCTCGTACCCCTCGGCAACCATGACCGCGTCGAAGATGTCAACCTGTGTGTGGTCGACAAGCATAGCTTCGAAGAGCACCTGGATGAGCRGCGAGCCCATGGCCAGGATGAAGAAGGTGGCGTTGACCCATGCCGAGCCCTTGTAGTGGAAGAGGGCGAGGAAGGCGACGATGGGAAGGTATGCCGTGAGGAAGAGGATGGCAAGAACGCAGGTTGACAGGAGGGTCAGTGGAACCAGGCGACTGCGGAGGAGCGGGTGGAGGTAGCGGTGCGTCGCAAAGTACCAGATTCCCTTGAGGGGGTAAAGGAACGAGGACGTGACGTTGGACTTGACCCAGGCGCGGATGGGCGGCGACATGGCGGCAGTACCTATTGTCAGCGCATGGGTGAGGGTGGACGATTGAAAGATATAAGGTAGAAGGTAAGGTAAAGCAGAGCAAGGCAGGGACAGAAAATGGCTGCCTGTCCTGTTTCACATGCAAAGCATGAAAGCTGCGCCGCAGATCTTGGATGGAAGATGACGTCTGCTGCCGATCGCCGACCATTTGTGTGTTCCGCCCCGCCATCACCGCACCTCCCTCAATGGCATCAATCCCACCCCTCAGCAGCTTCCGCTCCGCCCGACGAGGCCCGCGACTACGTGGCGGACGATCTGCTCCCCGTAGCGGTGAAATTCTCTCGGAAGAGGAGCTCGAAAAGTCCCGCGACACCATCATCCAGCAGACGGACAACGATGCCACGAGCAGTCGCATGAGTGCCGTCGCTCTAGGCTACCTGGATGATCAGTATGCCAAAGCCTTCTTCCCTCAAGGTCAAGAAGTGCCCAAACGTTATCCGATTATCAATCGCGGGACTCAGGTCCGCACTCAAGCCATCGACAAGCTCGTCTCACGATTTCTGGAGAGAGATCCTGCTCGGCGGAAGCAGGTCATCTCGCTGGGTGCTGGGTCAGACACACGTTTCTTCCGCCTCTGCGCCGGAAAGCACAATGTTATCTACCATGAGATTGATTTTGAAGAAAACGTCATCCCCAAGCGAACGGCAATCCGAGAATCCAAGGACCTTGCTCGCATGACTTTGGCGGAGGAGAATGGCTCCTCGTATCATCTACATGCTCTAGATCTGAGGGATCTGACGAAGAGGTCACCACCCATCATCCCTGGACTCGAGTCGGAAACGGCTACTCTTATCCTCAGCGAGTGCTGTCTCTGCTATTTGCCACCGGATATGGCGAGTAGTGTTCTGCAGTACTTCACCATGAATCTCAAACACGAAATGGCGATCGTTCTGTATGAGCCCATACGACCATATGATGCATTTGGGAAGACCATGGTCACCAATCTTTCCTCTCGCGGAATCGAGCTAAGAACGCTGAAGCGATACTATTCTCTCGGTGCGCAGCGACAGAGATTGCGACTTGCTGGCTTCCAAACCGGACAAGGTGCGAGAGACGTGCACCAGATTTGGAGTAGTGACGAGTGGGTGAGCAAGTCCGAGCGGGAGCGAATCGAGAAGCTCGAATGGCTGGATGAGGTTGAGGAGTGGAAATTGCTAGCGAGTCACTACTGTGTGGCGTGGGGATGGAGGGGAGAGGGGTTTGGAGCAGCTTGGAGCGATATTGCTGGCGCTGCTACGAGTGAGGAGGCAAAAGAAGAAGAGTTGATGTAGGTTTGGGTAAGCACTTCTCAATCCTACCGCTCTTCTGAATGTTTGTTCAGATCTTCTCACTCCACAGCACGGCCTCAATCGTCGAAAATGCTCTTCATCCCAACTGAATCGCCATTCAGAATGAGGGAGTGGCCAGAGGCAGAGATATCTTCATAAAAATGTCCTGGACCAGTCGGGACAGCCGATCCAGCAGCAATCTGGTCGCCATTCATAATATGCCCATTCTCTGTGGCACTAGGCAACAAGGTATCAGCGTCGAGTTACTCCAAAGTCAACACCATCATGAACTGTACTTACCGAATGTTCAGATATCGATGCCTCTGATCCACCATCTTGATGCTCTCACCAGCGGAGGCCTGCAGAATCGGGTCCACTTTTGCAGCAGCGGAAAACACCTGGAAGAGGTGTTGTCGCTCGTTCTTATCATCCGCGGGGACAATTCTCGCAAGGTCCAGGATCGCAAGAGCTTTCTGGATCCGCACGGTGTCTGGAAACAATTCCACCAACTGCGAGACATTGGCACTCACCTACGTCAATATCAGCTAACAACCCCAGGGATATCAGATCGTCCCTCGTGGGGCAGGTAAAGGCATACTCTCTCAGTAAGTGTCTGTAAAGCCTTCTTGTCGTGCACAACCCATTTCACCCTGTTCACCATTTCATTGCCCATCTGACGAGCTCTAGTGGCTGCTTGAGCCCTTGCATTGAGGATCTTCCTTGGTGATGTCTTCTCGTTGATTTCATCCTCATCGCCATCTGTTTCGTATCGTCTGGATGTCTTCWCGACGTCTCGAAAGGCAGATTTTATCGCACTAAGAAGCTTTCTGACCGTCTCCGCCTCCTGTGGCGAAGCGTACGGCAGGTTGTCAGGAGCCGTCGCAGCATTTGGTTCCACTAGCTTGACGGTCTTCTGCCAGCGCTGATAGGCGAGTTGAGCCAATTCAATCTGCAGACTCAGGTGCTTGTAGTCTTCTCCTTGATGCCTCCAGGCTGTAATCTTGTTGAAGATGTCTTCGACCTGCTATGTGTTAGACTAAGTTAAGTAGTACAAGACTTAGGAGACCATACCGTGCTCCCCAGAGCCAGTAAGCCTACGCCAGATACGACGATTCCTGCTAGTTCCATATCTACGCTTTAGGTGTAATTTGGCAATTATCTCGGAGTGGCTCCGCTTCAATTTCTTTGGGCAGATGGGATGTAGAAGAGCCGGTGCAATCACTGTCAAACGAACCGGAAATATGTGATAATACTGTTGAAGGGAGGCAGAACAGCCGGTGCAATCGGGCAAACGAGAAGTCGCAGGGACTCTCTCGCTTGAGCGAGCAACATGCATACACTACTGCGCTGCTCCACTCGTTAGCCATATTGAGCTTGATGTGCCTCAGCCTCATCGCTAAAGCAGCAGCTCAATCACCACGTATTGTTAGCACGTCGTGAGGTGCAAAACGACGACCGGCGAGCATTTCACGTCCGGCCTTCCTCCTTAACACACTGGGTTCCTCAGATTCACTAGTCATGATTGAAGCCAGACCACAATACGGCGTATGTACTTTGGACATGTCCTCGCTTCATGCCATGTTCTTATCCCGTATGCCCAACTTCCTCTCCAACTTCTCCTTGAACGCCTTCAACTGCACCGAGCCTGCTCTTCCATTCTCATCGACCTCAAACATGAAGTTGCCCAGCGGTACACTATCGTATGTGAAGTCGTCGATATCCAGCCAGCTTTGACAAGGGAAATAAAAGGACCCATTGGCAAGCGGCGGCTGAGGTCGTGCATATACTCCCGTGAACCCAAATTGTCCCTTACCCTTGGCTAAATGATTGGGAATCAGACGAAAGTCCACCTCCTTGTTCAAATCACCAAACACAACACCCATATCCGTGCCCTTGTAGATGTACTCTGTAAGTTTCAACCCCGGCAAATCATCCATCTCAACTCTCACAGAAGTATTCGATGACTGAGAATGGTACTGTCCGACAAAATTGTGATTTGCCTGTTCCCGACCAATCTTCTCGACCGCGTCCAGAAGTATAGGAGCAAGAACATTTGGGAAGTCATCGGTGAACTTGCCATAGGCTTTCGTGGATACCGAGAGCAGGGAGAAGCCAACGTTGTAATCCGGGATTACTGCAAAAACGGAACTGTAGCTTCCCCAGTTGCCACCTTTGGTATACAAGTCAACGGTATGACCACCGCTCTTCAGGCGGAAAATCTCCCAGCCTCGACCTACGGCTTGGTCGATCTTGTCGACGAAACTCGTAGCRGCGAACCAGCGACGGGTAATAGATTTTGAGACCAGAGTGCTGTTCAGAATCGCTTTTCCGATGGCTGCGAGATCATTGGTGGTTGAGTAGGCACCGGCTGCGGGAGCTATTGGTCCCAGTTCGTCGTCCCATCTACAGTATGAAGTGTTGCCGTCCGGGACCACAGAATGGCGAGTTACATGTTTTGGGGTCGAGTAGGTCGTTCCTGTGAGATTGAGTGGATTCACTAGGGAGGTGTTAAATATATGCTCCATGGGTGACTCAAGTAGATTGGACAGCGCAAGACCCAGGATTGCCCAGTTGGCATTGGAGTACAGCGGAGTCGTCGAGGATGGAAAGCTCGCACCAAGCTGCGAAAGGGCTCTGATGTACTCTGTCGAGCGTTAGAGGAATTCAGACCGGATGTCTGGTCACCTTACCATCTTGATTACACTCCAAGTATAGCCCAGCTTCCACAAACCCACATGTGGGTCGCTGCCGCGATGTTGTATCATTCATGAGATTCTGAGCCGCCAGCTCCGGGAGTCCGCCGGTTACAGAACCTGAAATGGCCAGATCGTTCAGCCCATCTTCAAGGAGTCAGCTGATGTGTACAGAGCTAGCCTTGCTGGTATACTTGCAGTCTCTTCCAGCACCTGCTAGGAAGCTCATCAAATCGCCAACAGTAATTTCACTCCAGTCAGGCAGAGGGTAGTCCACTTGCGAAACATCAAAGGTAGCAAGTTGCGGAATATGTTCGATGATAGGGTCGCTGAGACGCCTGTCGCCATCTCGTATGAGCCATAGGTATATGGTCAAGATCTTGGAGAGACTGGCAATTCGATAAATTGAATCCGCGTCGACTTTGTTGGCTCCAAGCTTGCTGGTGACGACGGTCTGGTCACCGTGGTGGTATTCAAACAGAAGACCTGCGTCGGTCGTGCTGAAAATCCCAACAGAAAATGTGGTCGCGTTGTATGGAGTTTGGGTKATATTCGCCTCCAGAGTATCTCTGAGGGATTTTGCTGTTTCTTGCCACACGGTCTCCTGTGCTAATCCGCTGGGCACGGGAAATTGTTGTCCTTTAAGAGGGCATAGCACGAGACCATCCCTTGTGGGCGTCTGTGCTCTTGTAATACCTCCCAATGCTCCAACGAGGATTGTAAAGCTTTGCCACATTGCTGACAGAAGTGCGATATTCAGTCTGATGGCCTACCACGGTGGCGCCCAGTCATATGAGTGAGGGTTTGGAAGGTCCAGGCTTAGATATTCTAGGTTGGATAGAGTTGCAGCTGGGTACTGCGCTGACACGGTTATGTTATGCAAGCAATCCGTTGCAATGGCGCTGACGCGGTTCATCGAAGCCGTGCGGAAATTTGAGARAAGAACAGCGGTGTAACATGGTTCATGGATCGCATGTGCTTTCAGGCATGGTTGAGCTCTGACATGGGAAAAGTATGGCAGCTTTCCATGCAGGCAGATCTTCCCGCCAGCTTCTCCGTACACAGCAATGTCCTGCCACCGATGTGCGGGAGTCCCAATGAGTTCTACTGAAGGTGCACGTTGAAAGCCTCTTGAGAGTCTTGACGGGCAGTTTGGTGCTCGTCCGACTTCCACGTAGTCTATAGGCCATGTTCGGGTTAAACTCAATCGACGTTTGATTGATCGACCAGTGACGATCGAGCAGAGCAGACGAGAGTTTGCATGGGTCAGATGTTGGACTATAGGATCCGCTGCGGATAGGCGCTGTGCATTCCCAGTTGGGATTGAAAACGCTGGTCGCGCCAAATCAAAATTCATCTGAGTAAGCTCTAAAAGTTAAAAAGCCAATCGATCCAGCGCATGCCGTAAATGCACGCTCAATGGCTCAATCCTTTAGCCCTGGCCTTTGCAACATCTCTCCAATATCGCTCTGCACTGGAAGCTCGCAGCTTCGGACCTAGTCGGACCATGACGAACAGCGAAGCGTTCCAAGCAAAGCCGATCGCCGCCACCTAATGGTGCATAGCATATCAGCAGGATAATTCCAAATGTACGATTCTCAGCGACTCACCATTATGAAGGTATTTCGATAGCCCATAGCGGTGAGCCAAGGTGTGATGCTGCGTCGAGAGATAGTCAGCAGTCTGTATGGATTCACAACCCCAATCCAGGACTCACCCATAATTCACTGCAAAGCTCATCGTATTACGAATTAGGATGAGCGTCGTGACCATGTCCCCGCTCAACTCTCTGTAGCAGCTGATGGCATACCCAAGACCACCTGCAACGCAGAGACAATTGGAGACGGCGAGCGCTCCTTGCGAGAAAACCAGAGCGAACCAATGCCTGATAGCGATGTACGATCAGTGCTTGTCATATGCCATACGAAGTCGCTGCCACGGATCACTTACACATGGTAAGTCACGCCCAGTCCGTAGAGCAGCATTGCAAAAGGGACCAAGATCATCGAGGCAACGAACATGTACAATGTGTCTTCGGGCTCAGAAATACCACCTCGACGGCGAGCAAGGCGAATGGTAAGCTCTCTGCCCATCTTGCCGCAGTAGTATCCGCTGCACTTTGTTAGCTCTACGTTACGATATCATGGTCTAGAGCATGGCATACCCGATGATGGCTCCGATGATACCAGCGGAGTATGCAGCCGCGACTCCTGAAGTTGAGAAACCGTATCGAGCTGTGTATACTGTACCGGTGGTCGCATTCTGCACACCAGACCATACAAGAGCATTAGCGCCGTACATGAGACCAGCGTACACTATACAAGGATAAGTGAAGCCTTTGAAAGGAGCCCAGAAGATATCCATCATGCGGTTTGGACGTTTCTTGTCGACGATGCCAAGTTTCTGCCAGTAGCTTTTCCGGGGATAGATTTGGCCGGCCTCTACCTCGGACGTGGAGTCGATATCGTTCGACGTCTCAGATTTTTCTTTGCCAGGCGAGTTGGATGCAAGATAGCCAGCGGAGTCAACAAGTCCGGGGACTGCAGCATGTGCATTTTGATGCGATCGATCGTAGTTGGTTTCTTGTCACATATCAGCTCAGCAATCAAGACGATCCTCGGAGCAGGTTTACCTTCCATCAAGAAGAAACAATAGACGAAAGCAATACCAATCCATATGGCGGTCCACCACTGACATGCGGTTAATAGGAGACCATCCGTCGGTGCGAAGATGTACTTACCAGCACCCACCGCCAGTCCTGCCCGTCGTTTATGAAACCGGCAAGCATTGGCGCAATCTTTGCCGACACTGAAAGTGAGAAGCCATACCAGGCCAGATACTTCGGCCGTTCATGAGCAAACCAGATGTCGGTGATGGAAATTCTGAATTTACGTAAGCGTGTTTTCGTGTCGCAGTATTGGCAATGATCAAGACGGCACTGAAGCTCGTTGCCTTGCACGCTGATTGACTTACTCGCAAAGCGCCTCGACCGGGGCACCAAAGAAGCCCTGCAACACTTTGTTCATGAGGTAGGTGCCTCTCGTCGTGCAGAGCGGTGCGGCGGCCATGACAGCGACCGAAGTGATCATGGAGAACAGATAAGCTGGCCTCTTCCCATACTGAAGTGCAAGAGGCTGCCAAATGAGACATGCCCAGCCGTAGGCCTAGAAGAACGCGAGATGTGAGCGATGCCATTGTAATTATTACATCTCCCATACCAAGAACATGACACCAGTGCCGGTGTTCAGATCGTTAAGCTCGAGACCAGTAGCAGCTTGAATGGGCTTGACGACCGAATACACCGATCCAGAAGGGATCGCGATCATCAAAGTGTACATTATAATGCAGCTCGTCGACAGCATTTTTCTTCTGAAGGACCAGTTCCTAGACGAGCACTGTGTTAGAGCTCCGAACGTCTCTCTTGACGCTCATTCTACTGACAAGGGATCTTCGGGATCCTCTGATGGTTTTGGGTGCAGGACGATGTCCTGATCGGCGCCATTCGCATGCTTTGTGTTCAATGTATGATCGATGTCGACCAGGCGAACCGTGCCAGGCGGGAGCTTTCTTTCTTCGTCCATGATGAGCGAATTGGCGTGCAGTGTCAATGCAAGACAGCGATCGCTTTCTTGTAGACTGGACAGACTGTTGAAGTGAAGTTCATTCCCAATGAATTTAGGCGATAGCTATCTTGGCGCCCGATAGGCCTTCCATGGTCGTATCTTGATAGCTTAAGCCTTGATGCGGGTGGAGACTCGCCCACGATACCTGTACTAGAAGGGCTCCACCGCAAAGATAGTGCCGCAAAGAATGTATTCCATGACAGCAAGAATGGCTGGGGCCTTTATTCGCCGCTCAATTCAACGATGTGAAGTACAGGCGTGAGAAGCTGGCGGTCGTCGTGACATGACCATGTCATATTACGACGGACGCGCTGTCATTTCCTGCTCTGGCCAAGATTAGTTGCATACCGTCAATCATGTTTTGCGAGCCTGCAGATAGCTTGGGCCATGGCGATGGAAGGGTGTTTGGGAGGAAGGAGAGGAAATAAACGCGCCTTGGCGGTGACGTCGGGTCAATGCGGGGCGCTAGAACTAWCTTACCTCCCGTCATTGTTCAATCTTCCCAGGGAGCATTTGATCCATCCAACCTTTCACCACCGATTCATGCTCCCAATGCCAGCGAGATTTAATGGCAAGTGCGCAGAGGCCAGTCAAAAGACATGCCTTCCAAGATTCAAGATGTTGCAGGAACCTCCTAGATAGGGCCTTGTAGGCTTATACCATATTGCCTACACCTCCACCAAACTGCGCCTCCATGTCATTGATACACCCGAAATTGGGATCGGTCGCTTGTCCCAAGTATGACCACTCAGCATAAGTCTGAGGTATCGGACCATATGCATAGTCATGCCACTCGCCCTGTTCATCCTTCGTCCGGCGGTCGTCATGCGGAACGCCCTTGAGGTGAATATCATGAACAGATTCCGGACAAGTCAGAATTAAAGGGTCAAGACCTGCCATTTCCCAAGCCCTGGATTATATTAGCGAGGGAAGTGGATAATTTACACACAATGCTGATCACCTGTCTCGGGCTCGGCGAAGGAATCGCCAGGCTTGTGTTCCGCTACTGTGCAAGGGTCTTGGGTCCGGGTTGCCATTTTCGTGGGAGACAATACCGCAGTCGTCGGAGCCAATACACTTATAGATGGCGAGGTCTACCAGTCTTCTGGTCTCTGTAGCCTCCGGATCATTGGGGTGGTCTTCCAGATCAGATATCAAAGCCATAATGCTGTGAAGTGGCTGATGTTGACCGGGCTGGCGTAGAATGAAACTCATCAGTATTTGTCACCATCAGATGGTCCTAGGTTCCGGAAGGTACTCACCCAGCACCAATGCCACGGCTGAAAGTCAGGACGTTCTRCAAGCCCGAGAAATTTGTGCACATACGTCCTGCAATACACGATCACACTGTGAGGTCCGGTCAGCGGAGATCTCGCGCTCGGTGTTCCGCACACGACGACTTACTTTGGCTCTTTCTTCCGGAGCGCTGGCAAAAGATTGTGCCTTCGCATCGGACCGTACATGACAGAGTATGGTTTCGCCGCCCAAAGCGCGAACAGAGTCTTAGCAAACTGTGCTAGCGCAGCGTTGGATTCCGTATGTCGAATGGCATCCACGTCACTACCATCGCAGGACTCGGGACTCGAGTGCATCTGCTCGATGGAAGAAATTTGCTGGGTTCTGCTATCCATGTCCAGCTTGATGTCCCTGGTAATCTCCAAGATCCGGTCAAGGTCTTTCTCTGACAGTAAGCTGCTATGGAGCAGGTGCAGAATTTCATTGCCTTTCTTGTAAAAGGCAAAGCGACCTCCAATGAAGATGCCAAGGATCGATTTGCTGGCATTCCCGTGTGATTCAAAATCTTCGCGGATTTGGGAACCGCTGAGCTCGCTAACATTTTCGACGTTGTATAGCCTGCAGTCCAGAATGGGTGGGAGACCGGCGGCAAATGCTACTTGTGCATCAATGGATACGATAGACCACCAGATCTGTCGCCGTACGTGCACATCGACAGGAGAGAAATGGCCAAACGTCGTCGGCTCTTTGTGTAGACCTTGAACAGGAGATTAGCAGAAATCTCGATGTCGACACAAGCCGTCCCCTACCGAGCATTTGAGCTACCCGCGTGGCAACTCCAATGAAAGAACAGCATGTCAAGGGCTGCTCCTCTCGAAGCCATGTCGAATCAACTATGACAAACGCAGACAATGATTGCAGTGAAGGAGACTGCGGAAAATCCGAAAGTCTGATGGCGCGTACTGCTCGTCGATACAGCTGGRATGTGACTGTCTCGCGATTAACATTTCCAAACACAGTCTGCAGCCTGTATCTAGGGCAAACCACTGAGCCGGCGAAAAGAACAGCCGTCAAGAGAGAGAGGAAGTGCACACTGAGGATGTAGTTCGTATCCCGCGTCTCTACCCTGTTTCGCGTCAGCCGGCATCRCGGATCTCGCGGACAAGACTCGCCATCTTTGAAACTTTCGGACCTGGACGATGAATGTTGGTCCGTGGAACAGTGATCTCTGTGCCGGGAGTAGGTCAGCCTTCTGCACCCTTTCCTACGGGATGCAAATCATTGCCCAGCGGCGATGCAACCAACCTTTGCATGGTAGCCGCCCATATAAGACCATATCAGCACCTCGCTCTGCTCTTTCGATGGCAAACCGGCCAAAATCTCATCGATCGAGGGTGCTTGAGATGTGAGGAGGGTGTTGTCTTGGGGCGTCCATGCTGGGACATTGGGGAAAAGATCGCCGTACAGGTCTCTCTCTGGACGCTCGGAAGGGGTTGTACTGTACGAAGAGTTGGCGGAATCGAACGCGATATCCGATTGTGGTGGGGAAACGGGAAACTTCTGACCCATTGATACTGCAGTTGTCTCTCGAGTGTAGCCCCGCTGATCTCGAAGTAGATCATTGATGGCTGCAACTTCCTGACTGATGAGGGCAAAATGTGCGCTGGAGATGTAGTGGCCCTTGGTGTGAGGTCCAACGTACAGGTGTCCAGTGTCTCTACTGGGGGTGACTGACTCTCTGGGTGTTGGTAGCGAGGTTGGTAGCGAGGTTGGTATTACGGGTGCTGCTCCCGCAGGCATCAATGGAGTTGGATACGGTGTGCCGGGAAGGTTGTCGCGAGCAGCGCCTTGTCGTCCTTGTAAGCTATACGATAAGTATTGGGATTATATGGAGAGCCGTACTGGTTGGAGCAATGCGGGCCTGTATTGGCGCCGACGTCGCTGCAGCTTGTGTGAGATCATACAGTCTGCTCGCTCGTGAAGCAAGCGATGTGTTCTCGCTTGCTGCTGGGAGCCAGCAATGTCAGTGGTGATCCGTATAGCATTGGTCGAGACATTTACCCATCGGTGGATAACACGACGCTGGCGAGGCGGCATCAGCGTAAGTGCAGCAAGTGCCAGCGCGTAGGCATCTGCCACACGCTGGTCGACCCTACAGCAGTCGTTTTTTAGGAGAGATGGAAAGAATGCTAATGTTTAAATCGACCAACCTTGTCACACCTAAATTGCAAAAGGCAGAATGATTAGCTGTGATGCCCCAGACGGTCTCAATACGGAAGACGTACCCCACCTTCCTGCGACCGCATTGAATGCATGATCTTGGGGCGCGAGGCCGGGCTGGTTTTGTTTCTTTTCCGGTGGACATGACGGAGGTGTGTTGAGGGAGGCTTTCGAGARGATGGACCGAACGTCTGCTTCAGCGAAGCGAAATTGATATCAGGCTATCTAATGACCAAGCAATGTACGCAGCAACTTTGCTTAAAGTTCGAAGAACAAGGTACTCCACATGGGTCACCCCTGGCGAGAGTCATGCGATGGCATCCTAGGTCACGATTCGCCCCATGGCACCCGATTCGCGTCATTCCGGTCCAGGTTTAAGTCACTCGGCTGTGCAATGCTGCAATCGGTCTCGTTGAAGCCGTATTCAGATCCAAACATCCAAGTCCAATTGGGTATGCCTTCGCGGGCGCCCGAGTTTGCCAATGTTCCAGCAGGTGGGGTAAGCAGCGGTGGGTAGCCTTGCGACATCGAATACGGCACGCTCGTCAAACCGGAATGAGGTGGGAACTGCCATTGCGCTTCTGGCATCGTCATGTTTATTGGAGTGTGCATATCACCAGCGGCCGGTGATRCTCCTTCTCCACTCGATGAACCACTGGTGCATGATCCTTCCGGGATTCGTGGATGCAGCGGGATTGTGGGTAATTCGGAATGGGCTGACGGCGGTGGAAAGCTTGAGCACCTCGGAGGAAGATATGGTGGCTTGAGGTATCTCGTTGACAATGGGGGAAATACCGAAGGCTGTATTGGTGAAGGGGAACCTGTATCGATCAGACCACCTGCTGAGTGTTCAAGTGGACTCGCAGCACCCTCAATCTTGTACGCAACGGCGCCCATCCCGAACGGAGCGCCGATTTGCTGCAGCTCTTGGATGGATCGATGGTCTACCTTGGCCTCGCGAAGAGGCACAAGAAGGTCTTGCGCTTGCTCCGTCTCCGGAAGTGCTGGTATGGTCTGGACATTGGCCTCTTTCAGTAGGCGGCGCATTCTCAAGAGAGCAATGGACAGTTGCTCTTGTTGCTCTTCCAGATGTTCCACGTACTCGCGCGGGTAGGGTACAGCAAAATGCCAATCGCTAGGTTGTATCAGTTGTGGTTCTTAGAGACTCTCGAGCGAGTTCACCAACCTGAAGTAACATGCGCTGTGGCTTTCTTTGCAACGCATGCATGGATTTCCACCGTCACAAGTGCGCTTTTTTGCGCGACATCTCACACACGCTTTCTCCGCCCGACCACGCAGCGTCTTCCGCACTTTCTCACTCTGACTTGGCTGACTGGTGCTTTCGCGCTTGCTCATAATGTCCATTGCGCGCCAGATGAAAGCGGTGGAAGCTTCCGGGAAGGCATCCTCGAAGACATCATGGAGATGTTATCGAAGCTTGCAGGCAGCCCATGAGTCCCCGGAACACGTCGGTTTAGTCATGGAGCCCATCAGCACTTGGTCACTGTGCGATAGTCAAGAGGCTGTATTTGAGAGAAAGCAATCGGGCCCGATTGTTCGCGGCCGAATAGCGAATCCAGGCCCCACGATGTTCGTCCCATCTCGAACACTGTGGCGATCAAGGTTCGGGCCCCAGCCTTATGGGTTTAGCTTTGCCATATGCCTCGTCTCAGGCTTCCCGTTTGCGTTCGACATGAAGCTCGACCCGAGCAGTGATCATATTCTGCGCCGTGTCGTGGAGCAATATTCGCATTTGGCAGGAGGTATCCCTGCGCTCGATGCTCCCCGAGCAAGGTTTCCTTTCGAAACGAGCTAGGAGCTTCCAGAAGTCTTCACACAAAGCATACTTCCCTACATCCTTACATGGCACGCATCACCTCCAAGGACCTGCCGGATCCCGAGGGAGCCTGTCGCGGTTTCTAGAAGCCTCGACGACCTACACGGCATGGGATCACGTCGGGACATCAGTCCACTGTCCCGTCGCAGGTGCGGCACGCTGTCTCTCCTCTTCTAGAACGGCSATGTCAAGCCATCTTGTGGTCCGCCCGGGCATAAAGCTCAGGTGACTCGCATAGCGCCGGGTGTATCGGCTGCCGGGGTTAGACGTGATATGTGCAGCCTCATGGATGAGTGAATTTGTGTAATGTGCAAGCCGAACCTCGAGGCGGCGCATGTGCGGATGCCCAACTTCCGGAGACCCAGTCACCGCAGGGTTATGCTGTACAACATACATATAGCCCGCAAGCGGGAGGCATCGAAATCCATTATCAAGCGTCTTCGACCAATCCGATTCGGAGGWCGCGTCGAATCTCCCAGCAAATTGAACGAAAGTGTCCTGCTGATTGGCCTCCTTCCCTTGCAAAAGCCTCGCGTTCTTGCTTGTTCTTATTGGAGCTTCCTGCATGCGGGTTACCCGCCGGATGTGCCATGCCCGTTATTCCCTGTTCCGTTCTRCCTCCTGATACATGGTTGGCGAATGCCTGGGTTGACCACCTTGAAATTGTGAGCTTCTTGCTTGAGACGACACTTGGACGTAGAGGAGTCCACGTCATGGCCTACCGTGGATAGTCGAGCTATGCGCCTCGGATCACACCAGAGCTGTTCTACCGCAAGGAAACATCAATGGCAGGAGGTTCTGTAGAAATCTCCAGGACGGTTCCAGACCAGCCATCTTCCGGGTCAACAAAGTCACCAATCGCGTGAAACCCCCTAGACTCGTAATATCTTCCTGTGTCAGCCCGATTCAGCACAAAGGCACTTCTGCATCGACTCACTTCACAAGTCGGCGTCCATTTCCATTCCAGCAATCAAGACAAAGCCTACGCAGGCCCAATTCGTTGGCGACATGCTTTGCTTGATCGAGAAGTACCTCGCCCGAGCCCTTGCTCAGAAGTCCGGCATTCCTGTCAGTGACAACCAATGAGACGTATAGAAATGGGTCCCTCTCATCCTGTAAAGGTACCACAGCTTGGGCGTATTCTGGGGAACTTCCCGAGAGTATCATAGCCGCGACCGGCAGCAATTGCGATTTGATGTCATCTGATCCGCCAGTTGTCTCGGGATCCGCAGTCGATCCGTTGGCTTCTGCGATGTGTATCTGGATCCAGTCTTGGCTCCACGTGTGACCCGCTTCGCTATGCTCTACCTTCGCCCGATATTTGTCGAGCGATTCTCCTTTGGTGCTGAGAAGCGTAGAGCCCCATTGCCCTTCTGCTCCGAGCTGCGCAAGATACGGTATTTGGGAGTCGAGAAACTTCAGAATACGCCCACCGTCGCCCAAGGCGGTAGACGCCTTCCGAACGGTAAATGTCGGAGCCATAGCAGAGGGCAGATGTTCTGCAAGACGTGCGAGTAGTAGTGAGGTGTACTAGAAAGCTTGGGGCCCTGCGATGTAGAGCATCGGGTGGATCGGTGGATCCCACGTTGAGTCACACTCACATGGATAGACGAGGAAATTGAGGAAAACGCGTCTAGGAAGGAAGAAATGAAGCCGGCTCCATTGCTGATGCCAGCTTCAAGCGATGTTCTTCGCGATGGAGCGGCATGCTTCTTGCAGTCTTCTCGATCCTCTCCCATCCGAAAAGATATTCTGAATGATGATGTCGTCGCGTGATGTCTGGGGGTCAAAAAGTCGCGTTGGCATTGGAAATACCGTAGGTAATGTGGGGGCGGGGAGGAGTCATCATTCGAATGACCGGACTTTCATGGTGACTGGAAACACTCCCCTCTTATCTCTCCACAAACCACACAACACTCGCCAGGACAGCCACCCAGCATGGCGGACGCAGAGAAGAAGACGATTCACATTGACGAGGAGGTCGGTCAGGACGGTGCCGAAGCCGACGGCTCGCAGACCAAGCCATACAAATCCGTGCAGTTCGCATATCTGCAGCAACACACGGAGCAAACCACATACCTGGTGCTGAAGAAGGAGGGCGATGAGACCGAGGCAACATGGAAGCCTGCTGCAAAAGCCGCGCTGAAGAAGGCGGCCAACTACGCAGCAGCGCAGAAGAAGAAGGCCGGCAAGGAAGAGGAGCTGGCTCTGCGCAACAAGCAGGAGGAGGCCGACCGGCAAAGGGTGTACGACGAGGCCAAGAAGATCATACTCAAGGAGGATAGCTCACTTCCCAAGGCTGTGAAGATTCACCTGGGCGAGAAGCGACCCGAGGTGGTCAAGCTGGGAAGTGGTGAGCGGCCCAAGGACCTCGACTACAGCAGCGGCGCGCGTGGCACCCGGGTGCGCGTTATGGGCCGCGTGCATCGCTTCCGCAACCAGAAGGAAGTGCTCTTTGTGACTCTGCGTGATGGCCACGGCTTCATGCAGTGTGTCCTGACCGGCCAGCTGGTGAAGACATATGACGCCCTCACCCTGACCCGCGAGTCGAGCATGATGATCACCGGCGAGATGTGGGAGGTGCCAGCGGGTGCTCATGCTCCAGATGACCGGGAGTTGCACGCCGACTACTTTGAGGTCGTCGGCAAGGCCCCTGGTGGCGACGACGCCATCACCAACAAGGTGCAGGAGAAGGGTGACCCACAGACTCTGCTCGACCAGCGCCATCTTGTCCTCCGCGGCGAGAAGGCTTCTGCGGTCATGTTCGTTCGCGACGCCGTCGAGCACGCCTTCAACGTCAAGTACCATGAGCTCGGCTACTGCAAGGTTTCCCCACCAGCGCTCGTGCAGACCCAAGTCGAGGGCGGCAGCACTCTGTTCTCCTTTGACTACTACGGCGAGCCAGCCTACCTCACCCAGTCCTCGCAGCTCTACCTCGAGACGGCCATTCCCTTCGCCGGTAACGTCTACTGCATCGAGAAATCCTTCCGTGCCGAGAAATCGCTTACCCGTCGCCATCTGTCCGAGTACACGCACGTGGAGGCTGAACTCGACTTCATCACTTTCGATGACCTGCTGGTTCACCTTGAGGATATCATGTGCGGTGTCCTCGAGTACGTTATGGCCCAGCCACGTATCGCGGCGCTGCTTAAGGAGCTCAACCCCGATTTCCAAATGCCACAGCGTCCCTTCATGCGCATGAAGTACGCAGACGCCATCGAGTGGCTGCGGGAACACGACATCAAGAACGAGAACGACCAGCCTCATCAGTTCGGAGACGACATCGCCGAGGCGGCCGAGCGAAGAATGACCGACATCATCAACCGTCCCATTTTCCTCACCCACTTCCCCGTCGAGATCAAGGCGTTCTACATGCAGAAGGACAAGGAGGACCCGCGTGTGACCGAGAGCGTGGATTGTCTCATGCCCGGTGTCGTGAGTTCTATCCATTTCCCTTTCGATTGCATCTACTGACCACATTCTCAGGGCGAAATCGTTGGCGGCTCCATGCGCATGGACTCCTATGACGAGCTGATGGCCGCCTACAAGCGTGAGGATATGGATGCTGGCCCGTACTACTGGTACACGGACCAGCGTCGCTACGGCACCAGCCCTCACGGTGGTTACGGTCTCGGTCTGGAGCGCTTCCTCGCTTGGCTGTGCAAGCAGCACACCGTTCGCGATACATGTCTCTACCCGCGCTACATGGGTCGTTGCAAGCCTTGATCGGGTGAGCAATGGAACTTGTCCTTTAGCTGTCGGTGTCAATGTGAGTCCTGCTTGCGATGGGGTGAGATGATACCTCGGATTAGCTAGTGGAATCTGCAACCACGCGCCGCGACGTAATGTTGCAAATGCGAGATGAAATAGCAGTGAAGCGATTCCCATGGAAGCAGGCACTCTGCTCGATAGAGGGTATTCGAGAGAGACGAATGGAAAAACCACTACAAGACTATCATTGCTTTCACTGTTTTCACACATGGTCTCAAACATTGCTCGTATCATRTAATCAGAGGATATGATACAAAAACGGACTCGTGGAGCAACCAAAGAACTCCGCTGTAAACACGCAGGCTCCTCAACGCAATGCTTTCAGTCGGGCGACAATCCACTTGACGTCGCCCGCCCGTTCCCTCTAATCGCAAGATATATGTCTCAACTTCATCTTCCACACACGACTACCCAAGAACATGGCTTAGTAGTGGATGGCCTTGCCATAAGTAGCCATCGCAGCCTCCTTGAACGCCTCGGCGAGAGTAGGATGCGCGTGGCTTGTTCRTCCAATGTCCTCTGTGCTGGCGCCGTATTCCAACGCTAGGGTACCCTCAGCAATCATCTCGCCGGCGTTGGGTCCGACAATGTGAACTCCGAGGATGCGATCCGTCTCAGCATCCGCCAAAAACTTTACAAGACCGTCCGAGTCTTGGTTGGTCTTCGCACGCGAGTTGGCCGAGAAGGGGAATGTGCCGACCTTGTACTTTACGCCTGCCTCCTTGAGCTCCGCCTCATTCTGGCCTACCCATGCGACCTCGGGGTGGGTGTACATGACGGAAGGAATGGCACCGTAGTTGACGTGTCCGTAGCCCTTTGTGATGAATTCGATAGCTGCGACGGACTCTTCCTCGGCTTTGTGGGCAAGCATAGGACCGAACGTGCAGTCGCCAATGACTCGGATGTGAGGTAGCTTAGTGCGGTACTCGGAGTCGATCACTAGGCGCCCGCGGTTGTCGGTTTCGAGTCCAATGTCCTCAAGGCCGAGACCTTCGGTGTATGGGCGACGGYCAATGGCGACGAGGACGACATCTGCTTCAAGCTAAGGATATGATGTCAGTGGTTTTGTGCTTCGCCGACATCGATTAGTAGACTCACAGTCTCGTTCTTTCCGCCCTTGGCAGCCTCAACCTCAAGCTTGACCAGCTCACCACTGTCATCGCCGGAGTTGACCTTGGTGTTGAGCTTAAACTTCATGCCCTGCTTCCCGAGCGTCTTCTGAATGTTCTTGCTGATCTCGGCATCCATGCCAGGTCCTCCGATCTGGCCCAGGAACTCAACAACGGTCACGTCAGCTCCCAGTCTGCTCCAGACACTTCCCATCTCCAGGCCAATGATTCCACCACCAATAACGACCATCTTCTTAGGCACCTCCTTCAACGCAATGGCGCCGGTGGATGTGATGACCCGCTTCTCGTCGATGGTAAGGCCAGGGAAAGGCGTGGCCTCGGATCCGGTAGCAATGATAATGTTCTTTCCACGTACACTGGTCTCGCCGCCGTCAACGAGGTTGACAGCAACAGTGTGCTCATCCGCGAATTTTCCGGTGCCTTTGATGTACTCGACGTTGTTCTTCTTGAACAGAAATTCAATACCCTTGGTGAGGCCGTTGACAGAAGTCTCCTTGGCCTTCATCATCTGAGCAAGGTTGAGCTTGACATCGCCGACGTCGATTCCGCGGTTCTTCGTGTCGTGGAGTACGGTGTGGTAGAGGTGGGAGTTGTTGAGGAGTGACTTGGAGGGAATGCAGCCTACGTTGAGACATGTGCCTCCGAGGGATCCACGCTTTTCTATGCACGCAACCTGCCAATGTTAGGAATCTTGTCCCGTATCTGCAGCTGCAGTGTCTGATGTCCTCACCTTGAGACCCTCCTGACCTGCCTTGATGGCGGCCACATATCCCGCCACGCCGCCTCCGATGATGACCAAATCCTTTTCCTCTGCGCAGTATTAGTCTCCACTCTTTCATTTCATCTGCGAACATGTTCATGCGCACCAGTCTCAGTGGCGTAACCTCTCCGTTGTCTTAATCGGTCCTGCAGGAGGGATGTGCTGCGGAAAGTAGTGGTGGAACTGGTGTTGGAGTTGCGGAGCGCATGGCGCAATGGCGCAGAGCGCGCGGGTATCAGGCTCTTGAGCATGGCGACAAATGCCACCGGTGAGAAGTATTGATTAGGTGAGGAGAAAGGTGGTTGTTTGTGCAAGGTGAATGGTGAGGTACCTGAAGGTTCGCCGCAAAGCTGACCTCAATTGATCGCCACGTTTTGAACTAGCGCTAGTCAAATCCACAAGGCCGTCTCTGACCGGCTCTTTCCCCGATTTCTTCCATCAGTTCTCAACACTCTTCGTTGACGCACATTTCTCTCATCATCGCCTCGTCGAAGCCCATCACGCGTGTTGATGCTCGCACTTCTTTTGACTGTCGTGGAAAATGCACCCGTAGTGCAGCAGTACTTCGGCCGAATAGTCCTCCACCATCTTTTACTTTCCATCCATCTTTCTCACCAATACACATGTGCCAACTCCAAGAATCTTCATCCTCCAAGCATGCCACGAACTCAGGGGGTACTCTTTTGAAATCTTCCGTGCTCAACGGCTGATCCCATGCAACTCCTGCAAACATGCTATCGACCAAGTCGTGTTCTCCAGGACTGGTCCCAGCTCTGCTGGTGTCTTGCAGGCTTTCTGCTCAATGCTGGAGTTGTCGAATTTTTTGCTCTGGGCGCCTCTGAGAATGTAGTCCCCTAGAAGTATTCTCGCCACTGCTCTCAGCTTCATTCATGCTGGCTTCCTTCTCGATGCGGGTATCGTCGAAGGCTTTGTTCGAGTGCTTTTACAGTCCATCTCGAGAGAGGAAGAGCGTACTTCTACCATGAGGGCGGTCTCGCCACCCACGTCTGGTTGGTTCTCTCTCGTGGTTCTTTCGTATGCCTTCTCGATCTGCGAGACGCCCACCACCTTGCGAAAGGGGGCGAAAACGGGCGGATTGCATGGGTGAACCCACTTGGACGGTCGCGCAGGGTACTCGCCGGCCGGCGGGCTGTTCGTAGTTGTGGCGGTGATAGAGGGAGTCAGAGGGAGCAAATGGTTAAGGTTAGAAATTTGTTTGATCAAATTGTCTGCTGTTGTGTGCTTTACTCTCTCCTCAATGGGCAAAACAATTGTCGTTTTCGTCTGGCTTGGTCGAGAACCTAGGATTTTTAATCTCATTTTTGTTCAAGCCTTTTTTTTTCCTCGTGTCATTCATTCACTTGTACTTTGCCAAGAGGAGTACGCCTCTCTATCCCTGTTTGAGCCAAGCGCTCTCTGTYTACCCAGTGGTTCACTGTATCAAGACGCCGTCGCTACATTATAGTCGTACAAGCCCAGCCATCAGTCATCGTCCTCGTCTAAGCTATCCCTCAGCAAGCCCAACGCATGCTCGTCGCTTTGATCGTAATCTTGCATGCGAATCGTAGGATCAATCTGGGCGCCATGCTTTGACAATGCTACCGCATCTGCCCTGCCCTTCTGCACGTCCACAATGTAGATCAAAGGCAGCGGGAGCAAGATGAGTATTGCCAGAAATCCAAACGCAGGCCGAATGCTACCGCTGCGATCAACGATGATGCCAACAATGGCGGGACCCACAGCCGAGCTGCCTTTGTCAGTAATCGCATACAAGGCGTAAAATGCGGCTTCGGACCCCGGGGGTATAATCTCTCCATAAAATGCACGACAGTAGCTCGACAAGCCTCCCATAACGAATCCGAATACGATTCCTAGAGGGTAGATTTCCCATGCCTGCTGTAGGCCGCCAGTGCCCAAAGCTTTGATGAATGGCAGGAAGCCAATTAGACCGTAAATTGGTATTATCTCCATCATGATGATACATGCGATGATCGTTTGCTTCGTCTGCAAGCCATATCGAGTGGAGATTCGTGGCCAGATAAAAGCGCCAGCGATACCAGAGCAGGTGACTGTGATTGATAACAGAGCGATGGCAATAGTGCCCATATGCAGCTCTATCCGAGCAAATAAGATCGCGGTGCCAGACACAGTAGCGATGGAGTCTGACAGCAAGAACCAAGCGATGAGAAATACCCAGGTCTGGCGGAGCTTGGCAGCTGTCTTGACGGTCCTCCAGACCGATCGCCAAGCGAACTTGACGTATTGGAACGCTACTGGCAATCTGGATTTCCAAGGTTGGCTGATCTGCAGCGAAGGTCCGGGTCGGTCGCGGAGCCAGAGAGCACCTGGTAGCGTAAGGACTAACCAGAATCCACCCACCATCAAGAGTAGCATTCGTAAGGGTGTCGATTCAGACGCAAATTTGGCTTTCTTGAGGAGGACTAGCAAAAGGATAGCAAGAACTTGCACCGAGACGGCAGCTGCATACCCTAATCCCACACCCTTGGAAGAGATCTTGGTGGACAATTTCAACGCAGGGGATGTTGCATTGCTCTTGTGGATAGCGTCCTCTTCAAGGCTGTCGAGTCGTTCCAGCTCGATTTCTGGGTGATTTCCGGCCAGCAGAGGCAGATATGAATTCAGCAAAACGAATATCGATCCTAGGCATACCACCGCGATGATTGTGAAGAGCGATCCCAAGAGGTATATTTGAGGCCACACAAAAACCATGGCCATTGTGACGGTGGCGCCCGTAAAGGCAAATGCCAGAAGCAACTGCTTTCGATATGTTCCTGCGCTCATATTAGCCACTGCTTCGCTTATGAGACGAAAGATTTTCACCAAAGTCAGCGACCGGGCTGAATGAGATCAACACCAGCGCCTGAACGAACACGGCTGTCGAAAAGGTGTACATTGCAAAAGAGGCCGTCGCCATGGGCTTCCCGAAAGGTGATATAACGCATTGGCTGTTGCCGTCCTCTTCTCGTGATAAGATTGAGCGTACAAGCATCATGGAGGCGGATTCGCCTTTCGACTGGATGCATGGCGTCTTGCCATCGGATCTCAAGACTCCAGCTTCGCGGGCCAATTGTTCAAGTGTGACAGGTCCAAAGGAGCCCACTCCACAMACAGCCTAACAAGAACGATGAGTGATGTCTCAATGGGAGAGAACCTATGCCATCATACGTAGACCTCTGCAGCCAGTCCCGAATAATACCATCCCTTGAGTTCCTGATTTGTTGTAGGAGTTACGTCCTCGCCTGAAAGTAAAGAAGAAGGATTAGCAATGTTTTGGGCAATATGTGCTAGCTCAATGCTCTCCGAGATCTTTTCAGTTTACAAACGTTGAAGACATTGCCATTGGTATCGTCCCTCACAATGGGCCTCGGATGCCTTTCGCCCTCCACTTTACTTACCATCWTAGCGAGGTGATCGCACTTGTCCCTCACCATCCATCACCAGGTTACACGTGTGTCGAAAGGACGCGTACGCGAGACGTGAAGTGTTMTTGCAGGTGCATTATGTAAGCCACGCCTCCAAACGTGGAAGTCTGCTCGGTCTGGTTCTCTACATGTACTTCAACTTTACTTATTACAGAGCATACTAGGTACCTTAGCTGGAATCCCAGGTCATGCTCGGCAATACAAATTGTGAAGGAATGGTATTGATAATGTCCAACATGTACTTTTACCACCATGCCTGGAAGCTCCGTGTCTTCTCTTTTGGCGTTTCTGTCGAAGCTCAATGCAGGGCAGGGGCACTTGGAGTTGGAGACGACATAGCATTTCACAATTATGGCTCAAGACGATCGTTCTTATTACTCCTATTCGACTGCATCCAGGCATATCTTGATGGATCGAATCAAAACTATACACCTTGCCGAGATTCTAAGCAATGTGGGCTGAGTTCGATATTTCCATCGTCATCGTTCCCCACCTCGACAGCTTCCAATTCAACGCTTCGCAGACCTTTCGAACATTGTGCAATCTTGCCAGCGGATGCCCCTTTCAACACAACATCATGTCTGCGATACCATTCGGTGTTGTGGGTACCAATTGGATATCCGATTCATGGATCCAAGCCGCCGAGAAGACGGGCAAATGGAAGCTACACACGGTGTATTCACGTTCGCAAGATCAAGCATCGAAATTCGCGGCCAAGTATGGATGCACCAACACTTACACCTCACTCGATGAGTTCGCCGCCGACAGCGGCATGCAAGCCGTATACATTGCATCGCCCAACAGCCTACACTACGTCCAAGCAAAGCGATTCCTCAAGGCGAAGAAACATGTTATACTGGAGAAGCCAGCTACTTCCACTGTCGCAGAGCTCGACGATTTGTTCCGGACAGCGAAAGAGGAGGGTGTATACCTGATTGAAGCATTCAGACATATTCAAGAGGCCAACTTCAAGCTACTGAAAAAGTCCATTGTACAGGATCAGAAATTGGGCAAAATCTACGGGGCGAGCTTCACGTATGCCTCGTACTCCAGTCGCTATAACAATGTGCTGGCGGGTGAGACACCCAACATTTTCAGCCTGGAGTTTAGTGGAGGCAGTTTGGTGGATATCGGCGTATATCCCATCACCTTTGCTGTGGCTTTGTTCGGCCGTCCCAAGGCCCAGACGTATGTTCCTGCAATCTGCAGGACAGGCGTGGATCTAGGAGGCGTGGGGATCTTGCACTATGATGGTTTTGGCGTGCAAATCAACAACGCCAAGGGTTATAACAGCGCAGCCCCATGTGAAGTTTACGGAGAGAAAGGCACCATTACGATCAATGCAACAACAGACATCAGCACGGTAAGTCCTACTCGAGCAATGGTGAAGAGAGAGGGGTCCCATCGACGGGCAATGTCCATAATTGGCTAGAGGACTCTTGTTTGAGTCGCCATGGGGAGGATGTCCTCAGAGGCAGCATTTTCTGTTCTGTGCTCCTTGGCAGAATCACTCAAATGACCGCGGGCTCAAAGATTGGAACAATGAGCTCTTCCCCGTTATCATTGTCGTGGTCAAGAAAAAGTTCCCAACGCGCCTGAAGATACGCTAATCTAATTGTCAAACGTCGCAGATCAGCCTACTGGATCCGAGAACAAAGAATTCGGAAGAGCTTGCAGGGCCATGCCTACGAGTCGAGAAGCCCAACGTGAACATGGAGGAGGAGGCAACTGAATTCGCCAGGGTAATTTTGGAGAAGGACACGCATGCATTGGCCGAGCTGGAAAAAGTCTCCAGAGATGTTATCCATGTCACGACAGACATGCGTAGACAAGGGTCGGTGGTGTATCCTGCAGACCAACAGTGAAACACGCCTACTGACAAACCACCCGCAATTGCGAGAGCGATTCACTTTGACGACAACGACCTAGGCCATGCAACCAAGGCACTGTTCAACGAGTCGGACCAACCACGTTCGTGTCCCTTGTACTGCTTTTGTCTGTTGGAGACGGTTTCAATGCTCCGCAACTCCATTCATTGCTTTCCCCGTCTGAGCTTGAACTGCTCTATCCATTCCGCCGCTTTAGCCTTGGGAACGACAAAGATGCGTACGAGACCGTCAACAATTTCGATCTTTCCACTCCCCACAAGTTTGATGAGAGGGAGTTTCTTGCCAGCTTTGATCAACCCACCTGTGACGGTCTCCATGTAGCATTCAACTCCCTCCAGGCTATATTCCTGATTGTTGTCCCAGGGCAAAGGTAGCATGTATTGGAGATGCTGGCTAAGGTGTTCTCCCTCGTCAATCGCTTTGATGAGGTCCGTTTGTGCGTGGAGCGGATATAGAAAGAGGACTGGAAAGCTCAACGCAGACGTCGCATCTTGGGCATCTGCCAGGCTGATAGCTGCGTCTTCCATGTCTGGCGGTGAGTCTGTATTCCGTGTGATGACATTTCTCGATGCAAGCGCAGTCCGCAGTGCGGTTTGCTCAATTTGCAGCTGTTTCTCGTGCGCGAGTCGCGATTGTTCCAGCTGAGCCAGGGCATCCCTACGCGACTCAAGCTTTCCTAGGAGTGTCCGCAAGGCAGCGTTGCCTGCATCGAATCGCAGGCCAGAGGAGCAGGCATCCATGGCCTCTGGAATCTTACCAAGTGCGAAACAGGCGGACGCTGCACGATACCAGGCTTTGATATTGCGGGGGTTCAACCGGAGCGCTGCAGCGCAATCTCTGTTGCACGAGCCGTAGTTTTCTGCACCAAACCATCAGTCAAGCGAAGGTGAACAATCATGCGCGGAGCCGCGATACTCATCTCGAGGTTACAGAGCGCCCGGTTCGCTAGGCAGGCTTCCTCGATGGAACGCTCTTTCTCGGCCTCGGCCTCTTCGTCCTCAATTTCCGTGACCTTCATGTCTGGGCCATCCTCCACTTGCACCTGGCCGCGTACAGCCTGGATGCCTTTGGTGTAGAATTCTCGAGCATCCTTCCACTGTTTGGTGCGTGCAGCCTCATTGCCTTGTTCTCTGAAGTTCGTGGCCACTTCGGCTCTGGTCCCTTCGTATGCCAAAGCCTTGATGGCGTCCAGTAGCGCATTGTCGCCTCCCTCACCGTCGGTTTCATCCAGAGTTGTCATGAATAGTGGAATCCGATTGAGCTCAGTAAGAAGCTCATCCGCAGTGACCTCCTTGTGTTTCTTCATACTCGGCGGCATAGCAGCCGATACTGCCTCGACGAAAGCATCTGCATCCTGCGATGCTCCATCATTGCTGTTCTTCTGCATTGTTGTCTACCTGACACGACTTGACTCTTCCTCGGCGTATAGCCTGTGCGAAGCTGATCAAAAGAGCTCACTCACTTCTGCTGGCGATGTGGAGCGTGCTTCAATGCTGCGCCATTCGCATGAATTCGACGCGCTAGGTACCGTAAAGTACCTGGTATCCTTTCGAGGACAGAAATATTTTCTCGCTTAGTCAAACGTTTGCGCAGGCTTGCTTGATCACTCAACAAACACAAATATCATACAGTGTAGTGTATACGAGGAGCCGATTCTCTTGCAGATGTCTCGTCTCATGCTCGCTGGTCCGGGTCAGGCGCACGTGTCAGGCGCACGTGTGAGAAAGGTGCATGCCTGGAACACAAGTCCGATGCGCCTGCTCGGCCCAATCTCTGGGTTTGGTTGCGGTGCCTTGAAACATCATTGGCCTTCGAATTCCTGCACCCAAACGAGCTGGCATCCTTGACGAACAATATTTAATCATGATGAACGGGCAGCTTACATCAATTATAAGTACAGGCATCATCAATTTCCAAGGCAGGCACGAGCAGGTGCATGGTCTACAAGGCGATCTTCGACGGTGGTGGAATCTACCGAAAGCTTATCGTTCGTGTACAACTTTGACAATTGCATGAAGATCGATGGCAACGCGACAGGCCCTTCGAAATTGTACATGTTCGTGCGTGACTGGTAACTTATTGGAAATGGTACGTGCTTAGCTGGGGCAACGATGCAATACTCGCAAGGCAAAGGTGATGCAGTCCTACACAACTACGAACGTAAGGTAATCCTGTCTTCAGATCGTGTGTGAAGACAATTGCCGCTTTGTGGACGTCAGTGATGAGTGCAAGTGCTCAATTGAGATGCCGTCGTCCATTTTGAGGCTAGAGCCAGGAACGTTGAGTCTTGGGAGTCGATCATTCATCACAAATTGATGGAATTGATTATGATGGAAAGTTCTATCGTCTGATATAGATTCCAGGCCCCCTACTTTGAGCATATTGCCGTGCCATCTATAGACAGCCTCCATGAACCTTGGAAATATGAATCGTGTCCTCTGCTTTCAAGATGAGCAGGAGAGCATCCTTCGGACAAAGGCATGGTGGTACTCCGGTTGCTCGGATGAGCATACACACAGCACATCATAATTACTGCTGTCTCTGATGCCAGCTCGGATTCGACGACTTTTGCTCATCCGCCCCGGCACCTGCGAGGTTCATCTGCCGTGCCGCCGCCACGGGTCGAAACCCTGGTCGCGTGCAGTAGTGCATCCAACGCACCCGCGGCCGCTTCGGAAAGCCACTAGCCTTCTGCAGCTTCCCGCCCAGGACAATGCGCTGCCGACCGCCGGGGACTGGCTCCTGATTAAGTGAGGGCTGTTCATACACGGTGTATTATTGAACTTTCGCCTTTTGTACACGGTGTGTGCACCACGCACACGGCTGCTAGTACTAGTGTCTCACCGACATGGCTAGATCCACTTCCGTCTACGGGACAGGGGCTCTCTATGGATATCCTCCGTGTATCAGCATCTGAGGCAAGTGTGCACTGTGTGCACAATTTGTGGAGCGCTAGTGTGATTACCTTACACTACCCATCCCTGCTCCTGAAAGAAGCATGCGCCGCAATCGGTTTCGAACCAAAGCTCGTGCATAAGAGCTATCACTGGCCGAGAAGCGATATTAGCGGGGTGCACTACAGGAGCCTCACCTTGCAAGAAACGACCACTTCCTGCAGGGATCGTGCTAGCTGATGGTCATGGGCGAATTCAGGAGGAGTCTCATCACCCTTGGTGTCCATGCAGACTGGAGATTTGTGGCATCCCTCCAACGAATTTGCAATAGTGCCCGGCGCTACACATGCATATGGAAACCTAGTCATCTGCATATGTACGTCGCGACGGGGAACTGGATCCTTCTTAGTACCAACGTGGAGCGTCTAGCGAGAGGCGCCATCAATCTTTCCATCTCCGCTGCCATCTGGATGCCGCATCTTGGAGTAACACTGGAAGACGCCCGGCAATATCTTTCGGCTGCCTGGTCACCACCGGACAATCCGCGGCGACGAGGTTAATCCACTTTCTCYAAAGATCACGGCACGAATTTTGACTTCGCAGGGCACAAGGGCCAACCTGGAGCACGTTTTGTTCACGATAGCTTCGCACGGTGTCCGTCCCACGACCCTCCCCACTGCCGTCTGCTGTTGTTGCACGTCGCTGCGGCGATAGCAGAGCAAAGGCACACTGGCGAAGGAGGAGCCATGCTATGAACTCATCTCCACAGGTACGTTGACTACGGCATTGGCACGCTGACTCCTGAAGCTCTACCTGTTCCGACTCGAGAGCCTGCTCTAATGTCAAAGCAGGAAATGCTCGCCGAACAGAGGACGTACTTGTGACATTCGCAACACATTCCTTTTGCTGTTCGCTATACACAAGCCAACTCTTGCGACCGCATTGCAGAAGTTCCAGCCATGGCAGACTACTTTAGCGAGTATTCTACCTTTGCTGGAAACCGGCTGCCGTCACCAGCGAACACTCCATACGAAACACCGGCCTATCTCCGCTCGAAACGATCGTCCCGTGTGAGCTCCTCGCGAGAGCAATCTACAACGCCTCCACTGCTACACTCGGATTCCGGCGACGGTAAGGAAAGATCACGAGACGGCCATTATTCCGCCATGGATCCTCGTCGATTTACGCCCACGCTACATGCGTCTCTGGTCTCGGAAATCCTGAATCTCAGAAGAGAGATTGATTCAAAAAATAATCTCGTGGAGAATCTGGAGACAGCACTGTCGCAGACACGAGACGACAACGAATCCCTCGCGGGAAAGCTTTCAGAGAGCGCGAAGGAGCTTCGCAAAGCCAAGCACCAAGTGCAGCAAATGGAAAGGGGCACGCTGGATGCTGTCGAAGATCTGGCCAAGGAGCGCGATGCTGCAAAGTCAGCGTTCCATGAGATTCGGAGCAAGTTTGAAGTGACGCAGAGGAAAACACGGGTGCAAGACGATGACGCGGTGCGCGCCCAGAGCATTTGGGAAAGCGAGAAGGAGTCTTGGGACAACGAACGTCGCCAGCTCGAACGACGCGTCCACGTTACGGAGAGCCGACTGCGAGCTGTGCTGGATGAAATGGCCTCTCAGCAGAGCCAGGCCTTGCAGGCTGACGAGACGGGGAATGACAGTGCATTCAAGGACAGTGGCTTGGGGGAAGGTAGTGATACGGCAAGTATTCGGTCGGCTGCACCTGAGAGTCCCACCAAACACCGACGCAATATGAGTAGCATCAGCTTCAAGCCCAGGAAGATGCGCGCCTCGATCTCCTCGCGCGGTACAGCCGCGACCCCAGACTTGTACGGACGTTCGGGAAATACCTTGGCCGACGAACTTGGAATCGACGAGGAAGACGAATCCGATGCTGATGAGTATCCGGATGAGGAAGAGGATCTGGATGAGCYCTCTGGCGTACAGCAAACAGTCGACTCTGCACGGGGTATGCATAATGACATGATGGCTGCGAAGGCAAACCTTTCCGAGCGAACGGCAGACCGTGCAAGTTTTATGATGGAGATATCGAAAGGCTTGCCAAGTTTGCATTCTTCGCATGATGTTACGGAATCGGAGCACCATCGGCCAATTACACCGCCCGCGGTCGAAGCCTCCGGAACTGTATCGCGCGTCAAGTATGTGGATACTGGATACCAACCATCTCCACCTCCATCTCCACCACCTCGCGTTGTGGTTGCGCACCACGATGATCTCAAGGCCAGTGATGTGAAAACAGAAACGGCTGACCGTTCACGGGCAGCGGAGGTTAATCTTGGCTCAGAGCTGCCACTGCCCGCCACGAGGCGTGACTCACGTGTTGTGGCTTCGCCAATTTCGCCAATCAGTCCTCCACAGACGCCTGAGGTTGACGATGGATCTTGGAGCGCAGAGAAAGCAGCACCCGACGTCGCACTGGTGTATCGCACAGCGTCAACGCAAACGGAACTCGCGGAACCCCGGCCCCAGACGCAACAAGGTCACACCTCTGGACAGGACAGCTTAWCTCTGCCTGTATTTGTACCTTCCATCGCCATTCACCCCCCCAGCTCACGTCCTTCGTCCCCAAGGCCGTACGCACTTCCTCCGGGCACCAAAAATGCAGCCTCGCAGGCAAACATCAGATGTTCGTACCAGGACGCCGGCATGCAGACAGCTGAGATCAGGGTCGACCAACGACCTGTGAAACTTGCTGCTCATTTGCTGCCTTCACACCTACTGCCCAATTCACCCTTGTCTGAGGCGACCTCGCGATCAARACGGATGGCCCCTGCTGAGTTCCAAAAGACACTTGCCAAATCAACAGCTGGATTCCCTGATCCGGCCTCGGTACCCTTTCATTTTCCAGCGGACTCTGGCACAGAGATGTCCCGAAGTGTGAAGGACCTGCGAAATTACCCTCTCAAGGCCATGTCTTTGCCGAGACCAGTGCTGTCACCGTTGGCTTCGCCATCTATACCTCCACCGGAGACACACAACAGGAACGGCCCACTCAACCGTTCCCTGCAATACGGAGTGAGCCAGCCGAGGTTAGACCCGCAGCCCCTGGCTGAAGATGTTGATCCATGGTCCGCACAGCGCGGCTATGAAGGGCAGACACACGAACTTGAAGCTGATTTTGCTAGTTCTGTACCAGGGCTTAGTAGGCCACCCCCTGGGCGTTTTGGCCTATCAGAGCCGCCCAAAGCAGTGCCCGAAGACAAAGAAGTTTCACCGGAACGACGTCCGGATACTGCGGGATCCTGTGGGAACGCAACCAGACACTCGGTATCCAACAGCCGGCCGTCATCACAATCCCAACATGTGCGGCAAACCTCCAAATCTGGTAAAAACGACTCACGCAAAGACCCTCGCTCTCGTAGCCCAAGCTTTGGCAGCATGGCCTCTAGCAGTCAAAGCGCACCAATAGCAGCTTCTTTGCCACCCTATCCTATTCCCTTGAGAAGAAGTTCTCGCGCCATCACGAAGCCTCTTAGCGATGGATCGCAAAGTCCCCTGTCGTATGAATTCTCTGGGCACCATAGTGGCTCTTGGGGTCATTCAAGGCAGGTCAGTCTCAGAAAGGTGCAGTCTGCTACCGCTATGAGGACCAGGACTGGGCGAGTATCCCCGAAAAAGGGACATCGGCAGCGCAGACGAGCCCCGGAACTCACACCAGTTCAGTCGATGGCGTTTGAGGATCCGCCAATGGCCACCGACTTTCCTATTCCCGAGCTACCGACACCCCTTCACGATACTCTCAAGTACATTGAGGGCTCGGTGGATATGGGCACCAGTACGAGCAGTGCACCTCGGGTCTCAGAAGAAGCGGACCTTGTTGATGCAATCGCCGGTACTATGGTTGGCGAGTGGATGTGGAAGTACATCCGCAAACGCAAGTCTTTCGGTATCGCAGATGACGCTGATTTGCCCGTGACCGATCACAATGGTTTCATGAATAGCACGGGCCATGGCACCCGCCACAAACGATGGGTTTGGCTATCGCCGTATGAGCGCACTATCATGTGGGATAGCAGGCAGCCAACTTCGGGACCGGCCTTGCTAGGTAAAAAGGGAAGGAAGCGTAAGTCATACAGTTCTTCGCTTGATGGCCTGGGAACTAACACTCAACAGTCTCAATTCAATCGGTGCTGGACGTGCCAGATCTGACTCCCCTTCCCAGAAATCCGGAGCTTGGCACGGCATGGAACCGATCAATCCTCATCCTCACGCCAGAGCGTGCCCTCAAATTCACGGCCACCACGCAAGAGCGTCACAAATTGTGGATGGCAGCTCTCACTTTCCTGGCCGAGTCGCATGCGAGCTCTCAACCTCCACAAGGTGAGAACCGCATCACGAGGGCGATCAAGGCACCGCCACCCGACCCTTCCACGTCTTTCGACGGCGTGTCGATCAAACGTCGCCGCACGCCCTCTTTCGGCAAATCGACCGTKCGASACTCCATTCGCCTAGCCAAAGGAAAGAAACAGGATCTTTCTGTGTATTCCGATTTGAACTATGAATCAGGCAGAGAGGATGGCGCCGATTTCCCCTCCGTGCCGCGGTTGTACATTACCACGAGCCGACATCAGCGTAAACGCAGCTACACGAATCCTGGGATCCAGCCTTCGATCGAAAAATTCCGGAGTCTGACCTCCAGCGCCATTCAGTCCTCTCACGGTGGTTCGACGATCGCCTCATCTTACCGACCGAGTGCATCTTCCAAAAGCGGGAGCCGGCGTGACTCCATCGCGAGCCCAGATCGGCCGAACTTCTTCGAAGCGGTCGGGACGGTACGTATGGAGGCTTTTGTGGATCCCAACCTACGTGACGGGGTTCGATATGTGCCAGCGCCACCACCAACAGTGGGCGGATCAACTCGAAGACGCCGACATGAGCGGGATCTGAGCCAATCGACAGTCGACAGGCGAAGGGCAGGATATGTCTTTGATGGTTATGACGAGGATCCGTTCCACGGCTTTTAGGCGCAGCTTGTCAGAATGTGCGTAATATGATATACCCATTTAGTTTTCTGATGTTGCTTCTTGTGTACAAAGCGACATCCTATTGAAATAAAGGCCACAAGTGTACGACGACAATCTGACAAGAGCAAATACAAGTCAAAATGCTGTGCCATAGTGCCCATTGGTCTGCAATTAAGTTGTGAAGCGTTCTTGATGTGGCTTCCGCCAATGACACCAGCAAAATGTGATCGGTAACACTCAACTTCTGCCCAAGACAACGTGCAGCACTTAACGTACAGAGATGAATTCGTTTCGATCATTCCATACGTCGAGAGTAGCACATAGAGACGATTTTCCAGGTCCTGCAAAGAAGCATCAAGCGCGCGACAAGTGAGAATCCGCTACCCCAACCCTAACCCTGAGTCAATCGACGAATGAGCACTTCACGCACCGCGACGTTCACCATGATCTCTAGGAAGCAAGGTTGGTAGCATTTGAGTTCCAAGCAAGTAGATACAGGATACACAATCAACCTCATCATCAGAACTCGCTGGTAGGATGATGTCCTTCACCAACCAGACCCGACACGCTTTCGCCGCCACAAAATGTCATCCGCCACACGTGGAGATGGTGGCGATCGGATCGACATCGACGGTCCAGAGAGCACCCTGGTGGCCCTTGTACGTGCCGAAGGCCCGTTCTGACCTCCAACAGCCGGAGGGTGTTGTCTGCGCCGCCAGGAGCGCTTGCAGAAATCTCGAAACAGCACAGTAGTATAACAGCAAAGATTTCGAGCAGCGAGCCCYAGAACAGATGAGCCGCTGCATTGCCCACTGGCCACAGACACGCATCCAGAAAATAGGGTTGGGGTATGAAACCGTCAAGCCGAATGCTGAGAGATGGAACTCCTCTTGCGCTTGTGGCTGTTGGTCTGCACAGGCGCCTCGACAGGCGATCCATTCGGAATTCGCCGGGATTGCTCGGGTGACTGGGAGAGGGGCGCTGGGGGCCGATATAGCGGCAGACTGCTTTTGCTTTTGCCATTCTCCATGGAAGACTCAGCAGGAAGCCGTGGAGCGATTTTGGATTCCTCGTCGTCAGGAACCTGATAGGAAGCAAGGGCGGCTGATTGCTCAAGTGTCATCTCCACTAGATCTTCCTTTTGGGGATGGGCACCAAAGTGCTCCATGTTCTCTGATCCGGGAAGCGACACACCCGAGTCGACGCTTCCGTCCGCATCCGGCGGGTTCATGGGCAGACCGTGGGGCACCGGCGCATTTGAAAATTCCTTGCTGCTCGGCCGAGACTCATTTTGATCTTGATAATCTGCATTCATGTCCAGCACCTCACTGGCTATCTGCTCCAGAGATTGCATCTGGTAGAGATGAGGCCGGTCTGTAGCGGGATACGAGTAACTGCTGGCACCATACGGGGCATCGCCAGAAGAAGCTGGATAAGCGAATAAGTTCGGATCCAGAGGCTCGTGTGTTTCATGCTGCTCGAGGTGACTGTTCTGGGGGTATGCGTTGCCGTTGCCGTTGGACTGGTCGTTCGTAGGAACATCTGCCATTTGCTCCTGGTACAAATCACCATTGGATGGTGTCCGCAAATGTTGCCTCTGCAATTCAGGAGTGGTCTGGGCCTGATGGAACATGGGCACTGGGGACAGGTCGGCACTTGCGCTGACTGATTTGGCCCGTTTGGCCTGGATGTGAGTGTTTTCGCCCGACATGAGAGGACGCTTCTTGTGGGCGCCAGAGCCTCTGGCCACGGGAGTCTCTGACGCCTTCACCGGATCAATGTTACCATTGTCGTCGTGTACACACCGGCGCTATCAGTCAAGTCAGTTAAATGGTAAGCTGTGAAAGTATGGCTCTTGTTACTTTTGACCTTCTGCACTCGTAGCAGGCTTTAGTTCGCCCTCGTTTGGAGGAATCAAATATCGCGACACCATTTATTGCCATGGGAATGTGAGAGTTAACGTATGCGTTGGTGCCAGGCATGGGCTGACCAAGTGGGACATGCGATGCCAGACTGTACCCGTGGCCGTCGGTGGCGGGTTTGACAACGATGTTTTCATGCATGTCATGGCCATTGTATTGCATGTCCGGCGACATGTAGTGCATCGCATTGGAACCGTTGGGTGAAGTTTGCAGGACCATATCCTTGTGCTTGCATCGAATCCTCCGCTTGCGGCAGGCATCACACGCGACGCGCTTGGGCCCGAGTACTGAAGTTTTTGGCGAGCTGAGATGGGGTACGGGCAGACTGCCCGGCATCAGGCTTGCCGTCCGTGGAATAGAGGACGCCTGAGCAGGCATCGTGTGGTGCGCATAAATTTGTGCCGCGTGATTCTGGGGAGGTGTTTGTTGATGACTTTGATGTTTTTGATGATGCGTGTTAGGAGTTGAAGTCGAGATTGATGCACAGATCGCCGTCGGATCGGGAGTGGGACCGTGCGCAGACCCGCTTGCTGCTGTGGCTGTGGCGTTCACGGCAGAATTAGTGTTGCCTCTCACACGCGCGCTCTGTCGATCGGGTGCGAGTCTCCACGCGGCGATGGCTTCTTTGCGCTCCAACTCCTTCAACGCGCGCGCAGAGAGCTTCTTGGGAATGCCCTCTTTGGTATTCGGAAGCACTGCGTCGGGGTGTGCCCATGCCGGGGGATCTTCGTTTCGCTTCCAGGCGACCCACAACGCAAAAGTTTTCGCGACCTCGAGCGGCTCGCCATGTCCTTTCGGAATGCTCGCGTTGACGCGTTTCATGCGGTCCGCGGTGATGCCCTCGACACGCCCCATCACTAGCATGACTGTGTGAAAAATGAAGGTGACCAGATCTGGCAGACCATCTAACTCGGCTTGACCATAGTAACGAGCGTTCTTCGCGCCCGGCCGGGGGTCATTCGCAGCAAGCTCACCGTCAAAGTCGACCCAGATGGGCTGTTGACGCTCGAACCGTTGTCCTGCATACAACAGCTGTGTAACATCATCCGGGAGGGGATCCGTCTTCAGGTACTTGATCGCGGTGTACCACATGATCTTTTGGAAGTATGGATAACGGAACTTCATGGGCGTTTCATTTGCTTTCTCGATGTCCACGACCTTGAATTGGTTCTGGAAAGACATCCTTGTGAGAAAGTTGCCTCCAATCACAAGACTCGTCTCGGGCGTCCAGACTGCATGGATCCACCCAGAAGGAATGAGCATCGTGTCACCCTCACTGAGGTCCACCCGATAGCATTCATTGGTGATGCTTGGCAAGAAGGTGTAGTTCTGCTGGGGACTTTCATTCCACTCCTCGTAGGCTTTGAGATGTTTCGCCTTCGGAGGGATGAAGAAAAAAGTCTTCTTGCCCTTTAGAATGTGATAGTAGACGCTGCTCCCGCCAAAGTCGATGTGGAAGTCGGTGTAGCTGTCAGCAACGGACATGAGGCAGTAGAATTGTACTTTCGGCCACTTCCCAAGATCAATCTCTTTTTGAGGCCACACGTCGTCTTGCAGGTCGATATCGCGTACGATWTTGGGGCGCCGGAGAAGTCGTCCTAACTTGGTCTGGGACACCTCGAGGGATATTACGTTGCGGATCGGTTTATCGTCGCCAGCTTCCTCGTAATAGTCCGCCCACCTACTGAGTGTCCATTTTGAACCAGAGTTCTGTGTCTTTACGTCTATCACGTCGAGCGGCGTGTCTGGCCCAACCAAATTGCAGACCTGGCGAACTGTAAGTTCCTCCGGCATGACCATACCCAGTTTATCCTGCCCGTCGTCTGGTACAGTATCGTATTCGTAGTCGTCTGGTGACATGCCAAGTAGGCCACTTTCTTCATCACCGCCCGTGGTGCCGTAGTGGCTACCGTGTTCCGATGCGATGGCATGACCCTRRAGCCAGGGTCTTGGATTCCACGCCGCGGGTATGCATATCGGCTCTGTGAAAGTCCCACTTCTCTCGAACATGTCTCGAGTGACCAGCTCAGGTCGCATCCGCGGGAAACTCTCTGGATCGAACTGGAATGTACCATCCTTGATAGGTTGAATGTAGTGATGCTCGTTGCTCTCTTCGCTTGTTTTCAACACACCTCGTTGCAATTCTGCGTAGTCCACAGACGTATGCGCGCGAGTGCTCTTGCGAACATATGTGGTTTTGCCGTGGGTTGGCTCGCATGGAGTGCAGAAGTATTTGTCCACGTCTCGCACTTCAAGAGCTTTCTTAAAGCCCGCGCAGTCGACATGAAACCAGTTTTTGCAACCATTGCAGGATATCCACTCATCAAGCTCTCCGTTGAGGTGTTTTGCCTCTCGTGCTGTCGCGCAGCCCGCACATATGATATCGACATGATCCTTGGCCTTGCGRCGGGGGGCAGCCTTCACCGGTGAGATTGACCGAACAATCATTGGCGTTTCTCGAGGCACAGAACGTGCGCGATGCTCACTTTGAGCATCATGCTCGTCTGCCGAGAGATCGCTCAAACTCTTCCGTCGATTCCGGTTGAGCCCGTGTACATCCATGTCTTCGTCTGTGTGAAGTGCAAGAAGACTCTTTTTTGCTTTGCTTGCATCAGGCGTCTTCTTGCGAGCTGCTGCTCTTTTCGAAGCAGATTTGTCCGCAATGCTTTTCCTCCCGGCCACTGCTCGCGTCTTGCTCTTTGGAGCACCTCGCTTAGCTCTGGAAACTGCTATGTCAGACGCCTCACTCATGGTCACCTCAGTGCTTTGCGCTCTGGACATTTCCTCGTCTGGTGGCGTCTGTGTCTGCTGGGGCGCACTGCCCGTTTCGACATCTGAGTGCGGAGCAAATCCACTCATCAGCGCTGGAGATGTTTCCGTGGTTCGAAGTTTATAAGGCCCCTCCTTTGGACTCGAATGAGAATCGATGATGGTCTGCTGGGGAGAGGGCAGACTTGGTCGCGGTTGAGAGCTGTCCTGCGGGTTAAATGGAGGAAGGAGAGCTGCTTGCGCAGCAAGATCAAGAGGACGAGGTTGGTGGGCATCTTGTGGGAAGCTATTTGCATGTGGCCTATGTGCGTTGTGTGCATTGAGCGAGCTTGGGAACGGCGGCGGAGGGAGCTTCGGAGTCGTCCAGCCGCCGGTGCGGAAGTTGAGCAGCAAAGCGGCCTCCTCCACACGTCTATCGTRCACTGGCTCTCCATGTTGCGTTTGCTGTACCGGCAAAGTGTGCCACGCTGAGTTCTCGTAGCTTGTTGCTGGCCGAGATGCGTATTGCGCGATCAGTGGGGACGGAAGCATTTCAGAACGGCTACGTTTGTGTGGTGGTTCCGAGTGCGCAGGAGGCGCATAGCTGAGTGCGCTGGGGCTTCCACTGGAATGCACATTGTAGCGAGGGCTCGTGGCAAGCGCGGCTTCGGCGAGCTGCTCGATGGTTGAGCTGCGATGCCGAGTCCGTGGTGTGATGCTATGCGGCCGCTCTCCATTCTGGTAGCTGATACTGTGGTTCCTCGACTGGGCTGTCCCAGCAAAGGATTGCTCCGGCCTCACTGCGTAGTTGATGTTGTCGTTCAAAGCCGGATAGTTGAAGACGGGCTCGATTGGGCGTGGTCTGGGCGGCGATAACGGTTCGACAAATCTGCGCGGCGGCGACGGAGATCGTCCTGGTTGTTGCGCCGGCGTGGGTGGTTTGAAGGTCGGATTGTAGGCGAGCATGTCGGCGGATCGGGAAGCGCCGGGGGAGTGCGGTGAGTGCGGACACGGCCAGCGTGTGATGTTGAGCCCTCGACGCCCTCTCCTTTTGCGCGACGTGTTTTCCGACACTGCTCGGTGCGAAGTCGTTCAGCATGCAGTAATTGCGAGTGTGGTGCGTTCGCGGCGGGGTTGTTGGTTGGCAGGCGGTTCGAATGGCCCCTCTAGTCGCAGGTAGCGTCCGGCAGCTGGGGAGGTGCCGCCGGAGGTGGATTTGCTTTGCGGAGATGATCTTCGAGAACAATGGTTTCACTGTCAACTGTCCACGGCGTGCAGTCTCACTAGCAGCATTCCTTGAGTCGATTTTGGGAAGATAAAACTTGATCTCAAAGGCTGTCCATTCACTACTTGCACCACATTCCTATCATTCGCATGCAACAGCATCGCGCAAAAGTCGTGACTTCGCGCTAGTGTCATTTAGCGTCGTCAACCTTGGATGCACGTTGGACCATCATCTTCTCGTGTCTCACTCCCACCTAGTTCGCAACCCGCACATCGAGATATGAGTCGCAATTCCAAGCTCGCGCCTGAAGTCAACCGGTACGTCCTCGTCATGCGCCCGCCGACTGCAGGAGGATCTAGCTAACGGCGCGCAGAGCGCTCTTTGTCAAGAATCTGAGCTACAACGTATCCACCGAGGAACTCTTCGATCTGTTTGGCAAATTCGGCCCCATTCGGTACGATCAATACACTCCTAGACATGCGCATGATATGCGCATGCCACAGAAACTTCGTCATACTGACCATACTGACGGCGCTACAGGCAAATCAGGCAAGGAATAGCTTCGAACACGAAGGGCACGGCGTTCGTCGTCTACGAGGATGTCATGGATGCCAAGGGCGCATGTGACAAGCTGAACGGCTTCAACTTCCAAAATCGCTATCTCGTAAGTATAATGAAGGTCGGCAGGCATGCAAGATAGTTCGGGTGTTTCTTGAGCTATTGGGCCCATACAGGAACTGTCTAGGACGTCGCTAACCCTTCTGTCCTTCGCCGGTTAGGTTGTTCTGTACCACAGCAAAGCGAAAGGCCAATCCGGCCAATCCGATCTCGCAGAACGTCGCGAGAACCTAGAACAGCTCAAACGTGAGCATGGGATATCTTAGGGATGCGCGGGAGTTGCGGCAGGTGAAACCGACAATAGCAGCGCTCTCGCAGTGGACAATAAGTCTGTTGTAAGTCGCAAGGACTCTGGGATATCCATTTCCGCAGAGGCAGCAACTCCCAAGGCCAGAGATTTTGCCCAAGAGGCTCGACACGAGAATCATGATACCACAATGACTACGGCGAACAAGGAGAATTTGAGCATGTGGCGACGGATGAGGGCTTTGATTCCAATCAAGTTGGTTTGATATTGGAGGCGTTTTCTGAGACGACGTACGTACCTGCAGTAGCAATCGTATGAGTTCAAGGGGTGGACACTGATTGTGGCGCGACTGCACAGTTATCTTTCACACCTCTTAATCAAGCATAGATCTCTCACAGACAATCGGCAGCCGCGCCAAAGCAGACTATGTCAACACATGAATCTCGACTTCGCGATGCGGAACCGGGAAGGCTGTACGAGTTCACCTAGCTCCTGCTCAGAGTACCTACTTGGTTGAGGATCTGAGCTCCGACACTTCAAATTGCTACATGCCGCTACATAATCACAGCTTGAGTGTGTATCTGAACCTTAACCTCACCTGCAGTCACACGATTCGAGAAAGATGTCCATTGCGCGTGAGCGTTCACGATGATGTGATGGCCAGCCCTCAATGCAGCAACCCATCCGGCTTCCTCGCCATCACATGCGTCCCGTCTGTAATAGCGCTCGTGCAAATGAGTCTTGAGGATCCAGGAGCCACGCCATCCAAGGCATCCAGATAATCCAAATCATGCCCATGAAGCACCGCCACCGTAGAAAAGGCTTTTGCCAATCTCTAATGCTACCTTAGGCTCTCATCCCGTGCTTTGATACGAAAGAGGACTTCAGCCACGGCGAGGATAGCGTGCCAAGCCATGGGCACTTTCCCCTCATTTCCGTAGCGACCTCTCGCTCTGCAAGTCAAGACATAGTTAAGTAACTATTGAGACTCGTGCGAAGTAGAAAGATGTTGGCGGGCAGTTCGGAAAGTTCGAGCTTGTCCTAGTCTATTCCTATCTACATCTCGTCGTTTTCTTGAAAGATCGGCTCGCCAGTAACGACTTCCATCGATGCATCTTTACAATATCGAAATCAGATCTCATCGTCGACATCTCACATATTCCGAACGTGAGYAAATCATCAAACACTCGAACGTCTTGATCTGCAATCACAGTGTTTACTCTCCTTCACATGCACTGTATGGACATGAGCCAGCGACAAGTGCATTTCATCTCGTTGAAACGTCTGGGGGGTGAAAGAGACTACTTCGAGAATTAGGAGACGACGACCAACTGGCCGATACCTTCCTATCTCGACTGGAATTGTTGGTCTGTGGAGGAAACCAGCTGTGCTGCGACCTCTCACATCACGAAGAGCAACACTGGATCCGGTAATATCAAGTGCGCTGCATCTCTTATGGCGGATCGTCCGGTAAAGTTCGTGGCTCTTGGGGGTGTATGGCTAGATGAGATCAGGACGGCCGGTGAAGTGACGAAGACTGATGTGTTAGGCGGAAGTGTGACTTTTGGTAAGTGCATCAGGACTCGTCAGTGACTGACTCTGACGAAGACATAAGCAACTCTCGGAGCGCGGCTCTTTGCAGCCACGAATACGGCGAGTATCCGCTTGATCTTCTTTGCAGGCCACGATTTCCCGCAAGGACACATATCACTCTTTCGCAGTTGGCAAATCGCACTTACAATACACTATTCAGACTCTTTGCCATCTGCAAGAGGAGTGATTCAGTACGATGGTATGGATGAGAGCAGTATGTTCATACCTTTAAGGGCACCTTTAACGGATCTTAATGCAATCACAGGAAGAACTTACCAACGGTTGACTGCTCCATTGCCGCTCACATGGGAGCACCTCACCATTTCCGATATCTCCAACGCTACCTGCTTTCACCTCTTTGAAACTCCTGAAGCTGCAGCGATACAAGTTCACGAAGTACTTTCCAGACGCACAAACGTTGCAGATCGTCCTATCTTCATATGGGAACCCCAAGGCAAAAGTTGTAACACACATACGCTTGATAGGCATCTTCATGCCGCTAGTTTGATGGACGTCTTCTCCCCGAATCATGCCGAACTGGATAGTTTGTTCGAGGAGGATGCCAGTCTGATCTTCGACAGGGATCGTGTCGAGGCTCAGGCGAAATACTTCATGGATGCCGGCGTCGGACATGGTAATCAAGGCTGCATAGTAGTGCGGTGCGCAGAACGTGGATGTCTGATCATGTCCCAAGATATGGCGCCTACATGGCTTCCCGCTTTCTACGACGCAGGTTCAGAGCATGTGGTGGACGCCACCGGAGGAGGCAACGCTTTTCTTGGTGGATTTAGCATTGGCTACCAGGAGACTGGTAGCTTCATCGAAGCGGCCAAGTACGGTAACGTTGCTGCAAGCTTCGCTATTGAGCAGGTGGGAGTTGCAAAGCTCTCTGTCGAGGGCGAGTATGAGCTCTGGAATGGGCAAAAAGTGAGAGATCGCTTGGCTGTGTATCAAGACGGACTGAAGAGCAGCAACGAATAGATGCGCGCCACCAAAAGTTGCCATGAAGAAGAAAGCTCGAGGATAATAGAATGTGAATCATTATCTTACACAACCAAATCGAACTACCGGTCGCATCGAACCACGGAGACTTCCAATCATATTCATAAACCATCTGTCATGAATTCGCACCAGCTCATCGCTTCAAGTATGTCGCGTCGAATTTGACAGTGCTGGCGGAGATGATCTTGGCGAGGCGCAGAGAGTAATAGTGCTCAACGCTTTTGGATGGGTCTTCCTTGTGTTCATCCTCGGCAACAACTGACAGGCGCTGGAGACCTCGAGTGACATCTTCTTCGGCCACGGCATCCCACTTCGAAGCCTCGGGGTATTCGCCACCCATCTCCGMTTCGTTGGACTCGACGTGCTTTGAGTCGACGACTGAAGAGTCAGTCTTATTCTTTCATAATAGGTTACACTTATCAGGCCTCGGCGAGACATAATAATTGTACGTACCTTGTCCAGGAAGTTTTGAGTCTTCCGGGCCAACTTCGAGGCCTTGTATTTTGTTCACCATGAACTCGAAGCTCGGAACATCGCCAGCGAGAGTGTGCGCCGGGGTAGGATGCGGGCCTGGAGGGAGGGCGCGCGAAGATGTGATGGACATAGTGTCCTCGTAGGTTGTGGGGGTGGTGGCCGTCTTTAGACAGGGAGATGCTGGATGGAGGTCAGCGATTATTCAAAGCATGTCGCGCGAGGTATCATCTTACCGCTACCGCTATCATGCTGAGAGCGGTCCGACATTGTTGATGCTGTGTATTGTTAGGAGTTGGTCACAGCCAAGAATGTGTTTGTTCAGGAAGTGTCGGTCGTGAGCGGCGATTTGTACATCTGCTGGTTCCTTAGCGTGATGCGGGCCGAAGGAAGCAGGGAGTGAATGAAGTGTGCATTCACTCTAAGAAAGCAACTATTCACTATCTGTATACAACAATTAAACTTTTCATGCAGCGAACGCCCTTCTGAAACTGTACGATACTGATCAGGAGCGTGCGGCACTTTAATACTCGTATATACCTTCCTTCAATTGATCCAATTGACATCGGCGCGTGACAGCCCGATAGCCAGATAGTGAAGAGCGCAACCCGAAAAAGATTGCAACGAAGTTGTCTCGAGGCGTCGATGTCGGAAGCTCCATCGCGCTCTGAGACCGTCGTACTTCAACACTCGTTACATCGCGGAGAGAATCGTTCCATCGAGATGGGTGGCACTGCTGATATGTGGAAGCGATAGTTTCAGCAAACAGTCCAGGCTTGAGCGACAATGCCATCAAGACTGACGTTTGATTGCTATCGCAAGCACCAACGTAACATCTGGCAAGATCTGTCAAGTTGACTCTTCCATTCGAGTAGTAGCCCCACGGGATCGCACGTCGTCTCCTGATGTCCGAAATACTGAGGTGGAAGATGGTAGATCGTGCAGTGCTACTGAAGCTCCGTCGCGGTTCGTTTGATAGTGAGGCATTCCCTCAGGAGAGACACCCGTGTTCACGGCGGCTTTCGGACTACGACTTTTGACCCACGGAGCCAGATTGTAGTATCCACCACAGGCAAATATACCAATCCACAGCGCTAGCTCCGTACCATATATTACGAGGCCTAGGATGTCGAGCTCGGGCTGAAACAGAACAGAGACGATCGATAGGAGATCGCCAAGTGCGTCAATTCCTATGAATAGGAAGGAAACTCCACGAACATGCCTATGAATCCAGATGTCATAATAGTGTCGCAGAACACCCAACGCCAGGAACAAAGCGGCCAGGATTGCCATGAGAGTAACGGGCCAGTGTGTTCCCCGGTCAGTTCCGATGCGAAGAGCAAATATGAGACCAACCTCAATGGCTCCCATGACACAGGCGATCGGCAACACCACCGCCATTGACTTCGTTACGGACCAGCTGCGCTCGTAGTATAAACATTGAATCCAAGTCACCAGGCTTAGGACCGTCAATATCTGAGGCTGGACCTGCAGAGCTATATTGTACCCAGAAACGATGTTATAAATACCGAGTGGGACGCCAGCCCATGCCCAGAACATCATCATCGTGGGCTGCAGGCCGATTGCATTGTGACGACGGTAATTGAGATATATCTGGGGTACGAGCTGAATGGACCAGCATACCGCCCCCAAAGTGCCGAAAGTGGTGGCTAGGGTTGGTCTATCCATAGTGGCCCACACCCGATGCAATTGTTTCAACAAGCTGATGGAAGCCTCGAGATACAACAAATCACATGGAGTGGCAGATCTGGAGTGCTGCGGCCGAGCAAGAGTCCGACGCACTTCAACCGAGAGCGCAGTGTCAGGAGTGTCGGGTGTCTGGCTGTCAGAAGCATGGGGTGATGTGATGTGGTTGTCAGGAGCCAAGAGGATCTGCCGATGCACGTGGCCCCGRGCGCCGTTATTCACTCCCAAGGTTCCGTTCCGCGGCAAGGGTCCGAGCATCTTGAAATTCGCCAGCTACTGCATCCAGRCTTCCATTGACTGTACTACATACAACCTTCACCAGCTGCTTTTTACACATGCGGTGATACTACACGAAACCAAACCCCCTCAGTTCTGACCACCTACCTATTCGATAGCATCGCCGGGCTCCGATCAGCACGCACCATGGCCGACACTGCCACTCCTCCGGCAGCCTCTGTCGACAAATCGGCGCCTGTCAAACCTGAGAGGCCAGATGAGGGCCTATACAAGGAGAACTTGGCCAAGGCGGAGAAAGAGCTGAAGGCGGCCGAGGAGCGCATGGTATGTTGCAGCGACACAATGGCACAATCACATGCGGCTGGCCATCTCGCTTAGCTGCATGATGGATAAGAGCAGTGGCGCCGGGATAGCACGTGCTAACATCTTTGGGATCGCAGAAAGTGCTAAAGGGCAAGATTGACAATGCTCGTCCGAACAACAAGGACTCTCCGGCTGGCAAACGCCAGCAGGAGCTCCGCGCGGAGCTCGGCCAGATCCGCACGCAGCAGCAGTCCAGCAAATCCTCGCGTACCGGTGTGATGGACCAAATCAAGCGTCTCGAGGAGACTCTCAAGTCCCGCATCACGGAATCGAAGAATGCCCGCAGCAAGGTTCAGTTCAAGTCCGCCGCCGATGTCCAGGCCGAGATCGACCGCTTGCAGGCCTCTGTTGACACCGGCACGATGAAAATTGTCGATGAGAGGAAGGCTCTTGGCGACATCTCCCAGCTGAACCGTCAGAAGAAGGGATTTGCCAGTTTCGACGAGGCGCAAAAAGGAATTGACGATATCAAGGCCAAGATTGCTGAACTTCGCAAGCAACTCGACGATCCCGAATCCAAGGCACTGTCCGAACGTTACACCCAGATCACAACCGAGCTTGACCAGATCCGTGCCGAACAGGACGAGTCCTTCAAGAGCTTGAACTCTCTGCGTGATGAACGCACAAAGGCCCACGAGGATCAGCAGAAGAAATATGCCGCGGTCAAGGAGATCAAGGACGCGTTTTACCAGCAACGCCGCGCTGCTGKAGAATATGAACGCGAAGCGAAGCGCATCCGTGAGGAGAAGCGAAGAGCAGAGAATGATGCTTACCACCGCGGCCGGAGACAGGAGGCTGCTCAGGCGAAGCTCGAGGATGCCAGCGCTCCTGCTTACCAGGATGAAATCCGTACCACACAGGCCCTTCTCGCGCATCTTGACCCATCCTCCGTCACCAAGCAGGAAGCTGCTGGCCCCGGCAAGCTTGCGGCGACTAACTTCCGCACCGTTGAGGCAACCGGACTCAAGGGAACCCCTCTCGCCAAGAAGGGCGCAGAAGAGGAGAACTACTTCATCGGCGGCGCTGGAAAGAAGAACAAGCGTGCTCGTGGTCAGCAGCAGCCAAACGGCACGGCAGCCCCAGCTCCCGAGCGCAAGTTCCAGCTCGACCTCGGAACCATTGACAGCCTGGCTAAGATCAACGTTGATCCCCCAATRTCCCAGGCTGATGTGCCGGCCGTTGTTGAGAAGCTGAAGGAGAAGCTTGCATTCTGGAAGGGCGACCAGGATCGCAAGACCAAGGAGGTGAGCACAATGTTTTCACAATATGAGGATCACAGCTAACACGACAGCAGAACATCAAGAAAGCACAGGAAGAGATTGACCGCCTCGAAGCTGAAGCCAATGCTATTGACAACAAGGCCACGAAATCGGAGAAGCCACAGGTCAACGGCGGTGCCGAGCAGAAGGACTCTGTAGGTCAAGTCTCTGACAACCTTGAGAAGACCACCATCGAGGAGAAGTCGGCAGCAGATGCCACGACCKCTTGAACTTAACCATCACGAAATAAGTTTCCGGTTTATACTAGGGTGTCGGAGCGTTTGCGCGGTCCAAAAGGAAAAGGAAAAGCGAGTCAATCTTGGACACATAATTGCAAGTCCAGATTTAGCATAGCTATCGGATTCTTACGTATCTATCGAAAGCGGCACCATGTGAGGCGCTCACAATCCCGACAGCGTTACAATGAAGACACCTTGGCAGTGGCCGTTGATATCGGGACATCTCGACCAAGTGACAATACCAAAGATGTTATCGACCTCTCATGACATCCTCTCCGTCCGCTATATCAGTGCCCTGAGACATGGAGTTTATGGGAAGGTCTCCTTGTCGAGAGTCTTAGCGAGTGAGTGGATTTTAGCTGAGTCTCCCTACCAAATTCCACTGGATTGGCAGTCTCGCTTGTCCATAGTTATCCCGCGTGATGTGGGCAGTTCCACAGTGGCTGTGATCCGACGTAGGGTCCTGGATCCTACATGTCAAGACCTGGAGCAGTTCTCAAGATTTCAATTGAAATAACCGCCCTRCAACGGGCATCCACTCATCATCCCATCGCCGCTTGCACTCCTCCATAGCGCCCCTCCTGAGCTCGAAAAGCTTCTCACCATCATCTCCAAAGATGTCCTCTAGTATCTCAGCTAGCCGTCCCGCACTCTCGAAGCCCAGGCCATTTTTACCCTCCTGCACCAATTCCGGCCATGCCTCAAACGCACTCCACCCCGCAACAGGTAGACCAGTGCCGAACATATCGACGACTTTCATCGGAAGATCGACTCCCGATGATGAAGTATGTAGACTGACGCCGAGATCTGCGGAGCCCAGTAAGAGCGCGTAGTCCTCTGCGCTTAGCCACGCGGTCGTGACGACGACATGCTGTAGTTTTTCCGCTGCAGTGAGAGCCTGGATCTCGCGGAGGTAGTGGTCTCTCTGCGGTCCTTTCCCAGTGATGAYGGCGATGATGTTCGGCAGTTCTGGATTCGCATCTACCATTGAAGAGTACTTTACCAAGGCCTCAAGTAGTACGGAGAAGTCTTCATCTGGAGTCCAGGAGGTCGAGCTCACAACTAGTCGGCAAAGTCCCGCGAGAATATCTTCTGCATGCTTTTCTGTCCCTGGTAGGCGTCGTAGAAGATCTGTCCTTTGAGGGGTGGTAAGAGGCTGAAATATGGCTGGTGGTCGATCGTGCAAGGGCATAGCGTCCACATCCCAGCTCTCCTTCAGGACTCGGCACATTGCATTCGTTACCGCGAAGTGGGCGTGGACACCATGCGAGGAAAAGAAGCCTTCGTACCATTTAGCTAGTTTGACCAGAGGGTGGGAGGGGCCCAGCCGGAGAGCGAGGATCGAATATCCAAAATTATGCCAGTCGATGACTAGACGTGTGTTGCGGATGAAGCAGATGGCCTGGCAAACAGCCAATGTCGGTATGGACGGAGGGTTTTGGATGAGCATCCACTTGGCGGCGACTGTTCTGTGGCCAAGGGCACGGTAGAGACTCCAGATCTGCCAAAGAACTTTGAGAGGCGCCAGGAGGAGGAACAAGAGTCTGTTGGATGTTTGGAGCTGGGGAGGAAATGGTTGAACCGGGATGATGTCAATCATACAACTCCTTGAGATGTCTGGGTGAGTTTCCGACCCAGCGTATCCGATGATGTCCACTTTCGCCCCGTGGGCTGCAAGACTCAGTGCGTGGTATTGCATTCTTGGACTGCGACCAATATCTCCCAACACGACGATCTGGACGCTAGCATCGATATCAAGGCGACCGTCCGAATCTTTGTGTCTGAGGAAATAGCTGTAGCCGGATTTGATCGCGTCTTTTTGACTTTGCTCGGTGAATGCTGCTTCTGTGACATATCGAGGGTGATAATTTGAGTACGCAGTGGGGAGAGAAACCCAAAGGAACACGGCAACAGCAGTTGCTATGATGGCGATGATGATGGAAACATTCCAAGCCAATTCCAACCACGCCATCTCAGCGGGGACTATGCCAACCTGTGCTTGTATATTGGAGGGAAGTGGTTTTGATCGTTTGAAGGCTCGCTCAGCTCACCAAAATGGAGAGCAGCCGCAAGCGAACTTGTCTCTCCACCGACTAGGAATGCCTCTCACTGCAGAGAGACTGGCCGTTGCATTGCATGTAGGCCAGAAGGACTAGCTGGATGTCGGACCTGAACAAAGATACTTTTGCATGAGGTGGGAAACGACTGGAGTGTGGGGGTGGCTGAACATGGGTTATGCAGGGCCTCACAATTTACCCAAGGTTTCTTTGTGTGTCATCCTCGACCTGCGCATGCGGCATGAGGTGAATCTAAAAGGGGCTCGTGGCGCGAAACATCTCGAAGGTCTGTTTCACGTAGAACGAACTAAACGTTAATTTGCCGTTGCATACAAACGATCGTCGCCGACGTCAAGCGAGCGATAGCAGTTACGTATTCGCAGGCAGGATCCCTCCCAACACCATCACCACTTCCCGCCGATGATCAAGTGAGGCCTCCGAWCACCGCCCGACGACTTCTCGCGACCCCAGAGCCTCGCTTCGCTTCCCTCAGGCGCGTTCCCTCTTAGTGCGCATGGCTTCCAGCTATGTGTTTCCTCCAGCAGAAAGCGAGGGAAACCACCACCAAGGCCACTCTGGATCGCGGCTCTCGCCAGCGAGAAGCAATGGCAGCGCCCTGGCAGTCAACACGGCCGCATCCAATGGCAGCCTCTTCACTCATGCCGAAGTGAGCCAAGAGAGCACTCCTCAAGCATCGCCCAACACAGAACGAGAGCAACGCGCTCTCATGACCGACTACAAGCAGTTTGCTGTCAACGGAAATACACGGCATGCCCATACGCACACTCCACATCACGACCACGACCACGGCCACGACCACAACCATACCCACGCCCACGAGCCTCTTCACAGCCATTCCCACCACAGTCACGCGCACAGCCACTCGCACACATCGATGAAGGCCCGGCAACGAGGGGAATCTGACCTGGGTCGGCCAGCRTCCTTTACATATCAGCCTGTCGTGGGCAGCATACCTACAGCGTCGTCAGCATGGTTTTCCCTGCCCGAAGCCTTGACAAGTCTGCTCATCCCCCTACCGTATATGCTTGCATCTGCGGCATATTTAAAAGAAGACGGTTTCGAAGATGATGGTATGCCTCCCCTTTCGGCATACGCAAAGTTACAGCAGTCAATTCTGGAGGAGCAAAAGCATCAATCACACGGACTGGAAAGGATAGGGTATGGCTTCATCGAGGCTTGTACTCTCACGACAGGCACATTACTGCTGGTGGGGCTAATAGCCAAGATGAGATCCTCGGAGCGTATGCTAGATCGACGAAAGGACAAAACAGTTGCGCCCAGGCACGTCGACAGCGTGTTCACGCCAGCATCGGTCGTCAAGATGGTGGCAAGGGCGCTGAGTGTGGGTTTGCCATTTTACTCTGCCACTCAGATTGGAGGCATGCGAACAGRTCTTGTTCTGCTTGTGGCTGTGGCGTCCAACATAACAAATACCGACTCGGCACGCAGGTCGTCGCTGAATGATTGGGCCCAAATCTTCAAGACCAGGTCTGCCTCGCTCTTCGTGGTTATCCTCGCTGCTTTGTTAGACTTCACCGGCGTTACATTTAGAGCGGCTTTCCCGGACCTCTTGACAGGGTACTTGGCTTTGGTGTGCTCCCTGGTCCTTTTGCCTTCACCTTTGCCTACAACCGCGGCGTCAAGCTCACAGTCTTCGGCAGATACGCCAACAGTAACATCGCGACCGTCCTGGTCGCAAGTGGCTGCGTCACCTCTGGTGTCGTGCCCCGCTGATGGTAGCCTTACGCTCACCGCGGGAATTGGTATGGCGTTCCTGACAGTAGTTGCGTCTTGGATCCTCTCCACCTCGCCTCCCATTAACGCTACAGCCATCATGTTCAGCACTCTCTCAGTCGCATCATCGGTTGCCGCGATCTTTTTCGCTCGGCCTACATCCCTTCGCAGCCAACACAAAGCAGGTCTTGGAATTGGGTGCTTTCTTCTCGCGACTTGTGCATTCCTGTTTTCTCCATCCCTCTGGCCAGGGACCATTTGCAACGGAGGCATTTCTGCATTGTCATATGTCGGCGTTCTGTACGATACATCATCCGGTTCGACACATAGAGATCTAAACGATCATGTACACGACCATGCGCACAACGCCCGAACTCATAGCCAGTCGGCGGAGGGTAATCATTCCATATTGACAGGGTATCTTCTGAGCAGATGCGAGCCGGGCTCACTGGCGCACGGCATATTGGACGAGAAAGATTCTCGGAGGATTGCATACTTTACCTGGTACGTACATCGCCATCAAGGATGGGTGTCTCATTTTGCTAACACAAAGCAGCCTCAACTTTGCTTTCATGCTTGTGCAGGGTGTTTACGGGTACTGGAGCGGCTCACTGGGACTGCTGAGCGATACTGTGCACATGTTCTTCGACTGCCTGGGCTTGGTGGTTGGTCTCGGCGCTGCAGTCGCTTCGAAATGGCCCACAAGTCCAGAGAGACCATATGGATGGGGCAAGCTAAACACACTTTCGGGATTTGGCAATGGAATCTTCTTGATGCTGGTTAGCATTGAATTTGCTTGGGAAGCTCTCGAGGGTATTCGGGAGCAGACAGAGATTCGACATGTTCAGGAGTTGCTTGTCGTCAGTACTCTGGGATTTGCTGTCAATATGGTTGGTCTCTTTGCCTTTGGACACGCCCATCACGGACACGACCATGGCCACTCTCATGGAGGAGACTCGCATGGCCACGATCACGGTCACGATCACGGTCACGATCACAGCCACGATCACGACCACGATCACGGCCACGATCATGGCCACGACCACGGCCATTCCCATTCCCACGGTGGACACTCTCACCATCTATCCGTTGCGAGCATAGCTAGCGACGTGAGCTATGCGAGTAACGGTAGTAACGGAACTATCAAGAGCAAATACGGCCATGATCACGCGCCAGCTGCCTCTGGCGGAGACATTCATGGCTTCGCTAACAGCCATCAACAGCAAACAAGTGCATCTTCGCAAACTCATTCGCATGACCATCACAACGAGAACATTCATGGTATTTTTCTGCATGTCGCAGCTGATGCCGGCGGCTCTGCCGCAGTAATAATCAGCACAGCGATGACAATTTGGAAACCCTGGTATCTTTGGGATCCGCTGGCGACAATCATCATAGCGATTCTCATCTTCGCTGCTGCGGTACCTTTGGTGACCGGTTCTGCCAGGAAACTGCTTCTTGTCATCCCGGATGACCTTGAGTATAACATCAAGAACACACTGCAAGAGCTTGGCGAGCTTCGCGGCGTTATCGGTTATGCCGTGCCGAGATTCTGGCTTGACGATCGAGAAGACGCTCCAGATCCACACGGCCACGGCCATGATCACGGCCCGCCAGCTGGAAAGGCGAAAGTTATGGGTGTCATACATATCATTGCCGCACCGGCCGCTGATTTGGACGATGTGCGGCATCGTGTAGATGAGTTTGTAAAGGAAAAGGGCATGGACTTGGTTGTACATGTGGAAAGGGAGGGCATTGAAGGGGAAGGCCAATGCTGGTGTGGAGGAACTTGACACAACTGGATATTTGAATGCTGATTAGATGAAAGCCGTAGTTAATGTTTGGACAYTGGATGCTTGCTTGGACGACATTTACGATTCTGTCTTACTATGAAACCTTTTCCCGCAGCGGATTAACCCATATACAAATGAGTGCTCTGATCAAATTTCGCGATGCTCGCAAGACAGAAGAAGTTATGCAACTCGCGGTCAAGATCCAGAGCGTTCCCACGAGAAAAAAAAATTGCCTAGGCGCACTTGTAGAAGTTTGTAAATGATGTTCATTGCGTTCGTCACTTTGATGAGGCTGTGAATCTCGAGCTCTTGTACTCTTTGGAAWTTTTGGTGGCAATATTGCAAGAACAGGAGCTCTGCGCGGAGAAGGAAAGGAGATTGGAGGAATGGGAGGCTGGGCTGCGAAGAGGAAAGATGAAAGAGGACGCGCGACGATATGCTCGGAGATGTCGTATCTCTGGCTAAGGGGCAATATCAGGCTCTGCAATGGGGTTTGGTAAGAGGCATGCTGATCTGAAAATGCCTATAAAAAGCGTCGCTCAGGATGCTCAAGAGACACGGCGTTGAGTCCAAGCTTGCTAGATCGCAGCCAACCATGACCTCCAGTCCCAACATTCTTGTCATAGAGGATAAGGTCGCAATGTTACGGGATACCATTACAAGCTTTCCGAAAGGCTACGCAGTCATAGCTCAAGAATGGAGGAATGTGGTGAGCAAAACCTTGTATACATCCATCCATCCACCCCTTGCAGCACGAAGCAATGTAAGAGAGGTTGACTCGCCTCCCTACAATGGATTTCCATCATCACGATGTCGCTGCTTAACATCGCCGTATCTGTGCTGGCTTTGCTCGGAGCAGCCAATGCCCTCACCAAATCCCCAGGCTGCGGTCGAGCTCTGGGCACGAACATCCGAAGAGGAGGCACCGGGCAGTCGAACAGCCTTTCGATCACGAGCAATGGAGTGACTCGGACATTTCTACTGCACATTCCCACAAACTACGACGTCAACGATGCTCGCGGCTTGGTCTTCTCTTTCCATGGTCGAAGCAGGACTGCTGTGTCGCAGGAAGCGCTCTCTTCATTTTCAGATCCGTATTTCAACCCAGACTTGCTAGCAGTTTATCCCCAGGGGCTGGGTTCGACTCCGCAATGGCAGGGAGATCCAGAGGCTACGACCGACGACGTCCTGTTCACTTTGGATCTGCTCACGTACATCAACAACAACTATTGCGTCAACACTGAAGCCGTTTACTCCACCGGCAAGAGCAATGGTGCTGGATTCTCGCTGAACGTCCTGGCTTGTGATCCGGTTGCGGTGACAAAGTTCGCTGCATTCGCGGGTGCCGCCAGCGCCGATTGTAAGTCTCCCAACGCTCGACACAGCATACCAGCATTGACACCAATCTTGCAGACCAGGCCAGTATGACTGAGGCCAATTGCAACCCTCTGACGGTGCCAATTACCTGCAACCCTGGCAAGACTCGTATTCCAATCCTCGAGTTGCACGGAACCGCTGATGACACGATTCCTTATAATGGTGGTGGTCGACGAACGCAGTGCTTGCCATCGATTCCATACTTCATGCAGTCGTGGAGTGCTCGCAATGGTCTGGGTACCACCAACCAGTCTACCGTCCTGATTGGGGGTAATGTCCGTCGGGAGGAGTTTGGCCTGTCACAGGGCGTGCTCGGCCAGACCACTCACTACTGGATCAAGAATATGGGCCACTCTTGGCCTGCAACGATTGGCAACAGTGATTCTGCAACGCCAACCTTCATCAACGCAACTTCTCTGATGTACGACTTTTTCAAGAGGTATACACTGCCACAAACGTCAGCGGCGTGGTGCTGTGCGGTTTGATCATTCTGGAATTGTCTGGATTTTGACCTGATGAATGTACCGCGCAGTTCATTCGCCTCATCTAGACCATCGTTAATGGGTTCATGTCGTGGTGTTTTGCAATATTTATACAGATCAGGTCGAAATTGTCTTGTTCTTCATGCTTTCCCACTTTGGCGCCGGCACGCTCAATATTCTGCAGAGGTCCTTTCGTTTCTTCCTAAAGTTCGTATAGAGCCCCTTCCAGATATCGCGTTCTGCACAGCTTCCAGACGTCTCACCCCCACAATCAGGCTGCATCTCGGCCAGTCCCTCATGAGGCCACATGATCCAAGGCTTGGGCAGAGGCCAATCGCTGAAATGTACCAGGCTTGCTTCGTTGATGATCCTGTCCGCGTTCCAGTCATACTTGGAGTGGCGAGACCTAGGCCCATTGACGGTGCCAAGATATGCCGAGTGATCTTTGTTCCTGAATTCCGCGCTGAGCAGAGCATACTTACGATGCGGCAAGACCATGGCTGAAGCACCAAACCTGTGGTTCAAGAGGTCCATGTCGTAGTTGCGCCCGCTCTGGAATCCAGGCTGAAGCTTCCAAGACATTAGTATGTCCATGAAATTCTGCAGCTCGAGCGGATTGGGTTCAATCAACATAAGTAAGCTCGTGAGTGGTCGCTYCCTGGCAGGTCCGTCGGTCCAGTACGCTCGCGGCATAGCTATTGGTGTCGATGGGAGCAGGAACAACTCGTCCAGGTTTTTGAGTAACGTTATGTCGCTATCCAGATGTAACACCCGATCGTACTCGTACAGCTCAAAGGCACGAAGTTTAGTAATCGACGTGTCCCATGTGCTGGGAGCATTCAGGGTTCCTGGCTCTGCTTTGCCGTCAGGGCTCAGCACAGTGACTGGCTTCAGCTTCACCTTGTAGAGTTTCTGCGCGCGGATCAAAAGCTGGCTGTTTCGATCTTGCGGAGACTCGTCCTGCAAATCCCATTGCTCTGGATATAGCAGAACGCGGTCTGCCTTGCTGCCAAGACGTTCTAGTGATTCGAAGACCATGTATGCTGGGAAAAGAGTCAGTTGTGTGGTAGTAGCTGTTTGACTTGGCCCGGCATACCATTGCATAGGTTGTGATTATCCGTGACATATCTATGCAATCTGTCAGTATGGTCATCGTTGCGGAGGTGTGTCTCACAGGAAGACGTGCTGTACATATGCGAAGCTCTTCCAGTCCACCGGACGTGGCCTTGGCTCACCAGTGTTCCAGTAAAATAACAAACAGAGTGCAAAGAGGACAGTTCCGATGAGAGAGCGGTAGCGGCGGAAGAGGTTGGCGCATATTGAGCGGATGGAATTGATGAGTCCGACAAGTCCAGGCTCTCGTTGGACCGGGTAGGAAGGCGGCAGGATTGGGTTTCCCCAGTCATCATACTGTGAGCCCATTCTGCGCCGAACGCTACTCATTTGATGAGGTCGATGTCGTCGAGATGGAAATCGGGCATGTATTGAAACCGGGACCTCCTTCCCGGTCGGTGATGATCGTTGATGRCAAAGTCGGCGGGAGGCGATTATTAGATCTACCTTAGCTTGACGACGCGTGGAAACGCGACTTTGATGCTCCAATCTCACACATTGATTGCTCCATCACGTCAACATTTCCAAAACGTGGCATTAGGCATTGAGCCTTCACTCGGCCCACGGAAGCGACCGATACAATAAGTCCGTCTAGCTATGCTAATGTAGAGAACGACCTTTTCACACCCTCCTTCTCTGTTGACTTCGAATGAAGTTGTTTCGGTGAGGTGCTCGATGGCGTGGCTAAACGAGCCATATTTGCTCGAAAAGCAGACAATCACATCTCTCGGTTGGTATTGTCAACACCCATTGACGCGTGGAGAGTCTCTTCAGCAATCCACGAAAAGACTGTGCTAGTAAGACAGGCTCCAGCGTCATTGAAAGCAACAACTGCTTCGAAAGAGTGCCCTTGTCATCCGAAACAACAAAGAGAAGGGAATTCTGTAAGCACACGGATAAGGTAGATCGAATCGTTCGCGATCAATGGTGGGTTCATATTCGTCAACCCTTGCCATTTACCACATCCGACTCTTCGCTGCGAACTAAAGCAGAAAGTACTACAACTCATACCTAGAACTGTTGCCTCGCCGATGATACCCCCGGGCCCCATAGTACTCAACCAAGAGAAAAAAGCAAACCAACTCCGCGTTTACATGCAACGTAATATCTCATTCATAACAGAAAATCATAATTCAGATGCTGCTCGTTCCTCGGGTATCTCCGTGAAAATGTATGTTCGTGAAGTAAAGGRGCTTTGCAGCAAAACATGCATCCGCAATGTGTCCTTTGCAGCGTCATCAACAAATCGCAGTCGTGAAATCTCGTGTAGTCGTAATATCATTATCATAAGTGGATGTTTGTTGAGAGGAGTCGGAGCGGGCTTGATGTTATCGYTTCGAGTCGTTGGGGAAAATGATGTTCGGCTGGCGATTGCTGGGGCACTTTTGACCCATGCAGGCGGAAACGTGTCAGGACTTTCGATGTGAGAGTACGGTCGAAGATGTCCTCCCTCAACTCGTTCCCATATCATACTCCTTGACCAGAACGTGCAGGGCATCACGGCGCCGAGGGAGGACTCGAAGCCTCCCAAGAGGTCAACATGAGTCGGAGGAGCCCCTTCAAAGAATTCTCACCTTTCTTGAGGTGGCCAATTTGATTGGGGGCATTTTGACCTTTGTGCCGAATGTAGAAAGCTCTGGTCAAGGCGCTGTGATAGTGTTCGCCGAGTGATATCATCAGACTCCACCCCTCGAAGCGGAAGTGGTCGACAGCTGCCAGCTTCGCCTTTCATGTCCTAGGATTGGTGCTCTTCTCTCGTAGCAACAGCGACAAGAGCCTCGAGTTTGGTCAGTCCGTTGTTCGACTGACTGTAATTGGACTGGTTATATCGTCCTTCATGGCCAGCCTGGAGGGCATATGTTTGTGGTGGCTGGCCTTGGGCTTGGGGGTGGCGTGAATAGGTGTGGTACCCAGAGTCAGCTCGGGAAATCTTGCTCTCATCGCTGGCTGCATGTCCTGGTGGAAGAGCTTCTGATGTTCTACCAGGGTTGACTATGATAGGATTATACTCTGGGCCGTGGGGCATTGAGGGTGTTGGCGCGCCATCACTGCTGCCGGAGTCTTCCGGCGAGGGTCGGTGCGGCAACAAGATGTTGGGTGCACCAGGAAATATTGGTACCTGAGAGACTCCGTAGAAGCCCTCGCGCTTAATCCTGCGCGGCGTCACGGGCTGTTCGGGCATCGAATAATGCTTGTGATGTGTGTATCGTGCGGTGGAAGGCCCCTGGGAGCCGGATTGATAAGGCGATTGCTGATAGCTCTGCCACTGAGGCTCCGCGGGAGCGTTTGCTGCAGTGATATCCAGTCTGGTGAGACCCTGGTGCAAGACCGCATCGGCAGGTCGACCTGAGCTCGTAGGACGAGGAGTGGAGTCGATCATCATTGGACTTGGGTGCTGTCGGACGGTGGGAGGAGGAGCATGGTCAAAACTCTCAATTCCAGGAAGACGCGTCATCTGAGTGGCGGCGTGTTGCTGCGTAAAAGCAGGTCGCGGCTCATCAGGGGTTTGGTGATATGTCAAACCACTTGTAGCGGGCCGCTGAGAGTACTGCGAGATGGTGCTCGGATGCCATGTACGCCTCCGGAACTCCATGTCCGCGTCAGAGTCCCGCCGTCCGTGGGAGAACACAGAGCTGGTGGGACTACCATAGGCACTGCTGTTTTGAGAAAAGTTTGAGGACGGCGAAGGCTGCATAGAGCTGAAGAAAGGTGGCGGAGGAACGTAACTGTTCGGGCTTTGGAACGGGTTGTTTGCTGACGGCACAGACAACCTACGACTCTGCGTCCGAGCGCCGTTGTAGTGTGAGGAGCGATTCAAACTGGAGCTCGGCGATGCCACCATCGGTTGCATCGCAGGACTGTGGCCACCGAAAGAAAAGGCATTCGATGTCGGAGTACCGTATCCAGAGGAAGACTGCRTGTAGTTGGTGTATGGAGGCGGACTACTCGGTCCTCCACTGTAGGCATCAGAGGACGATGGCATGGTACGCGCATTGCCTTCATTGGCCATCGCGAGAGGCTGTGGTCTGCGTCGGGCATCATCGGGTGTGCCCATGCTTGAGGTGGTCGATCCGATGCTCGACGTGGAGAGATTGCGACTATGTCCGCGAGCATGCCCACTCTGACTTCCGAGGGTGGAGGCCCGCGAGCGACTTGTAGTCGGCCGTACTCGGTCAGTCCGGATCTGCCTTTGAAACCTCGTGCCTGTAGCCGCCAAGGAGTCTCCGGGAATCTCTTCGTTCACGTGCACAGTCTGAGCGTGCTGCCGGAGGTTATCGAGCCTTGAAAAACGCCGGTGGCAATGACACTGGAAAGGCCGCTCGCCGGTATGTTTTCTGGGATCACATCAGTCTTGACCTCGTCTCGTATGACATTGAGTAAGCCCACCGTATATGCCTGGCCAAATGCTCACTTCGGGTGAAACTTAGCTGGCATGGCGGAAATTCTGTACAAAAGAACCTCTGCCCCTTCTTCTTCTTTGACGGCCTCTGCGAATCACTGGTAACGCTCTCATTATCCGACCCGTCTTCTTCGTTCTCATCGTCGTCACCATCGCCCATCTCCACATCACGAGATTCCTGGTGGGGATCTCCCGCTGTGCGCAAGTGGAATTGGTCTCTCTTTGCTGGCGTCACCGGCTCTACAATATCGTGGACATGGCCTGCGCAAGGTAACTCATCTGGCAATGGTCGCTGCCCCAAGACGCCACCAAAGCTATATCTTGTCGGCGTCCTCGGTGACGACTCATCTACGTTTGGACTTCTGGACTGCAAGTCGACTCTGCTTTCGATCTGATCCGGTGTGTTGAGTGTTTGTTCGTCTCCTGTATGAGGTGTTTGCGGTGCAGAAGGACCGCCATTCACCGCAGAGAATGTTGCCATTTGGCCTGCCACAAACTGCACCACCAGCGACCAGCAAGGTCTCTCGCGCGACGTTCAAAGTTGGGGCGAATGGTCTCAGCAGGTCGTAGATATTGAAAAGCGTGGGTCGAGAGACCTCATTTACAATCGATCGAGGTATGTCGTCGCCGTGGGGGTGTCTGTGCGATCCAAGAATGCAGGAGTTACAGGGCTGGCGGGGATCGCGGAGAGTGGAGGTGTGTTCATCAAGAGCCAAGACTCGACCATGAGGGGGGTGGTAAGGATGTTTTGAGGACACAGAAGGACGGTGATGGCGTTCGTCTATCTGTCTACCATGCAGCGTACGACATATACGGGAGGAGGGTATGAATGATGATGGCACAGACGGTGCGCGGCTAGCGGTGCGATGACTGATAAGGCACCTCTCCTCGAGGGTTGGAGAGACGCTGACGTTGGCGAGGCACGGAGAAAGGATAGGCGGCGGGGAGAAGAGAACAAGAGATCCTGGCGCTCAGCTGCAGGACATGGGCACGAGCGTCGGTGCAAGAAAAGGCTGCCGCGAGGCTGCGTAGCTGGCGCTGGGAGCGTGGTGGGGCGCAGGAGTCGACCTGGCTGGCAAGGTTGTTGTCRATCCCCTGGTTTGGACCTTGGGCTGGTTCCATCCAGGGTTAACAAGTTACAACGGCCACTTACAACGCTCTCAAAAGAGGCTGGCTCGGCTGGTCATGCTCCTTGTTAGTTCCAACTTGCAACAAGACTCGAGCAGCGATGGAGGTAAAGATGCATCGTCGACCATCATGTCGGACGACTCTGGTCCCCGGAAGTGATCGGTTCGCAGACCCGTGTGGCGAAAGAAAGTAGTGAGAGTACGGGTACATACGATTCGAAGCAGCGCAAGCCAGCGAGCTTGTGTTTTCGACAAGGCTAGCCTCGTGATTGGCTGTGTGGCCGTGGCTGGAAACTCGCTTGGAGAGTCGCAGTCGCGCCCATTTCCAGGTACAGCGCGTGGGCATCTGCCATGTCGGCCTCTACATGGCACAACGTTTGGTGCTTGCGACCATCTAAGACATGCATCCATCGAATGGTGTGTGCTCGCGCGGCGGCTGCAGAGCCCCTCCGCGCGACTGTCACATGTACCAGGATGCAGCTTCTCCTAAAGCGTAAGCTTGAAGGCGGTGAATGGCATGTTGTTTACCTGGCGTGCGTGCGACGTCGCGTGTATTGGGTTTTGCCTTCCTGTGTTCCACACCTTCTTGAGCCTGTTCTATATCGCAGCCAATTGCGCAAAGTCGACGAGAGCTCGTCTGAGCACATGGTGGCATGCGCTAATGCAGCCATTGCTGCAGCCAGACAGGTACCTGAAAGTGTGAAGCAAGCGATTTCACGCCGATGCAATGAAGGTGGAGTCGATGTCGTGGCGACGTATCAGGGCGCCGCGGAATGGACTTGACGAGAGTGCGGCCTGACTATCTCTCACATTTTCCATCCCCTTGATTGGAGCCTGGCTACCGGGGACGCTGCTAAGAAGCCTGGTCAGCCAGACATCGCACTCTGCGTTGACGCGTCCACGCGATGCAACTGTGGTGTTGAGCACTTCATGACGGTACATTAATGCACGATTCTTTGGTACGATTTATGGCGAGCTGGATTGGATGCCTCTGGCACACCAAGCAAGTGGTTCCACGCAAGGACAGTCATCCTGGGCGAAGATCACGACAATAGAGATGCGAATTCCGGCACACTGCAGCTGATGATTAGTCGAGCGACCCGGATAAGATGGCCGACGACATCCGGCGAATCGATCTGGAAGTCGTAGACTGATTTGGCGTGATGAGTACATGTGTGTGCAGTAAGTAGGTGGTTGGACGCCGTCATGGATGAGTTGGAAAGGTGAAGTTGAAAAACCTTGCGTCGAGAAGCAGAAGCAGAAACAAACCTGAAGAATCGCAGACCGCCACTTCCCGAGTACACCACCGGTCGTACCTAACTAACCAGTGCTATCGAGCRGCACACTTTCACCTTCGAAGGAAAGAATACCCCTGCAAAGCATCCCGTCTGTTCCTGCGTGCTAGGGATCTCAAACCGAAACCACGGTTCCTTGGTTTTATGATCTTGTCACCCCTGCAGGCTCGAGAGCTGTCCTTTGGGGCACCATCCCCTTGAGCACCGTGCCTCCTTGAATAATAATTAATACTGTACATTCGAACATAATGACACTCAGACCTGTCCTGCACCCCATGGATGAAAACCTGGCTAACCAAGTCCATAGCGGAGCCAAATTGATCAAACGAGTGCATAATAGGATGACTGCGAATGGTGAAAGAAGGTCTAATTCAGGCTGCTTTTGTCAATCTTTGCCGTCGCCTTATTGGTGAATGGAAGGTGGGGTGGTTGGTACGGTGCGTTTCACTTAGCAGTCGTGGTCTTCCAACAAGTCATGAAGATCATGTGGAAACGAGTTCAAGATGGACACCTACCGAGGGGCAGAAGAAACTCAAGCTTGCCGGCTGTCCTCATACAGGTCGCATTGATCATTAAACCAAGCCGTGTTGTGGAGAGCAAACTACGTTGTCGAATGATGTCTTACCAATCGTGTCATTGTTTTTGTAGAGAGTACGACGTCTTTGATTGCAGCAGATAGGGCGGCAACCTTCACTTTCACTGGCCCTTGCACCACAATCGGCACATGTCGAGTCTCAACCTACTCCAGCTTCTTAGCAACAGACTTGAGAACCTCCGCGATGCCCATGCCAGCATTCTGCGGAGCTTTCCTGAATGCCTGCCAATGCTCTCCGTGTTTCGGTTCTGTAGCCACGCACTTCTCCACGAGGCCCTCCCTCTTCTCCTCAGTTCCATGCTGACAGAGGAACTTGTACCACCAAGCCCATGTATCTCCATGATCCGGATCCAACACCACCGCCTTTTGGAACCATGTATCCGCCTTGTCTAGCCTTCTTTCACTCCAGAAGATCCTCGCGGCCGTGATGAACAGGACGGGATCATTGTCGGCTTTCTGCATGGCCTCCAGGATTCTTGGTTTTCGTGACGTTCTCGCCTCCAAATTCCAGATGCGCTCGCTCCAGACGAGACCCGAACGAGGACATTCCTGCAGGGCCTGCGCCATCTTCTGGTTCGCAGCGGGGACGTTCTTGGCGCGCAGTTCGAGACGAACGGTCTCTGTCCAGAGGATAGCATTTTTAGGAACAGCAAGTCGAGCTTTCTCAAGAATGGAGCGCGCCTTCACCATTACGCCCATCTTCTCCTCCAGGCGACTGGCAAGTAGCCAGAGTGGAACGCTCTTTGGGCAATTTCTGGTACCCTGGCTGAACGCCTCTCGAGCTTGCGGTAGCATTTGTTTTGATTGATAGATCTGCCCCTTCATCATCCAAAGCTTATCGACTTTGGGGAAATTGTCCAGTCCCTCGTTCACAAGCTGCAGGGCTCGATCCACATCACCAGTCTGGCGTTCGAAAGCCACGCTGCGGATGAACACACGATCTGTGCGGGCTTCGGCGCGCGCTTGATCGAGCAGTCTCCGCGCTTGCTCAAATTTTCCATTATCAGCCTCGAGCTTGACGGCGGCGAGGTAAATGTCTTCATTTTCGGGATTTTTCGAGAAGGCTTCACCGAGAACCTTCCTGGCCGACTCGACATCGCCAGCCAGCAACTTCTCCCTCGCGAGCTGCAGCCACAATTCACCTGAGGTGGGAATGGAGCTGACGGCGCTCTCCAGGATGCTCCACAGATTCTCCTTTGTTCCATGATTTCGTTCCAGTTCTGCAGCGGAGAGCCAAACCCCTTTACGATGGTAGAACTCCTTCATTGCAACGGCATAAATAGACCTAGCCGTCTCAAAGCGGCTGCGAGTGATGCAGGACTTGGCATCGTCCAGCCATAGCTGCTTGCGATCGTCATCCTTCTCGAGACCCCATCCAATTGTTTCCTGGATTATGGCGCGGCAGGTGACCGGTGCACCCTCTTCTTCACACAATTCTGCTTGTGCTATCCATTCCTCACGCTTCAGCATAGCCGATTCTCGTGCAAGGGCCTTGACGGCACGATCCATGACCTTGTAGACCATTGCTGCATTTCCGGTCTGCTCTTGCAGACGTGCCGCGGCCACCCAGATCTCAAAGCTGGCCGGAATGGCTTTGCGTGCTTTGTTTAGCACAATCTGAGCATTTTCGGCAGTTTCCAGGCGTGCTAAGGCGAGCCAAAGCTCAACTGAGAGTGGTACAAGTTCTGTAGCTTTTACGAGCATTAGCTTTGCATCCTTGGGATCATCCTCCAACTGAACTGCTTCTTTCCAGATGGCCACAGACTGCGGTATGTGGTCTAGAGCCTTGCGCAACACCCGCTTTTTCGCAGTCGGCACATGTTCCAGTTTCGAGGCCTCAATCCACAGTCGCACCGAGCGGCTATTGTGCTCAATAGCCTTGGCCGCGATGATCTTCGCGTTGTGGTTGTCGTTCAATTGCATGCTCATCAGCCAGCAATCCTCGCTCTTAGGACACATTTCGCAGCCTCGTCGAATGACATTTCGCGCGGCAACGATCTTTCCAGCAATCTGTTCCAAACGGGCAGCGGCGAGCCATCCAGGTCCGTGACGAGGGTTKGTCTTGATAACAGATTCCAGCAGCACACGCGCACGTGCAATGTCTCCCACCTGCCACTCCGACGCATTGATCTCTGTTTTGCTCAGACTGGTGAGGTAGCCTTTGGGATCGATGCTCGTACTCGACCCGGAGGCATTGTCCGTGGCCGTACCTGCCGCAGCTTGGTCAAGACGCACCTTTAACACCTTGTCACGAGCTGCACCAATGTCCGCGAAATTCGTCATTGTTCCATCTGCCTGCTCGTTTGATGCAGTAGCCATGCCATCTTCCTGGACCTCGGTTCCCAGCTGCGTGCTGTCCCTCGCTCCGGCCAGAACACTATCGGGTACAGCGTAGAATCTCTGCCTCATGTTTTGCTTGTTGCGACGGTTCTTGCCGGTCAAATCGCCCACCTCGGGAATGCTGGCCCAGTCTTCATCGCTGACAGTCCCCAGAGCACGCTTGAGATCGGCGAATTGCTGCTGAATCTTGGGATTCTTACGTTCAAAGTCTTCGCGCTCAACGCGCTCTCGTTCTTCCCTATTAAACATTACGTTGGCATGCTGCTGAGATTGTGGTGAACAAGGGTTGTCAAAGACACGCTGGGAGGTGAGTACTAACCTGGATATTTTAMGTCGCTTGGCCATTCGTTCATCGACGTCCTGGTAAACTCGGTCCGCTTCATCGTCGTCGCGATCATAGTTTCCTGTCGCGAAGAGACCTTCTTCATTCTCGGCATCGCGGAATTGCTCTTCTGCATCTTCCTGCTCATTCTCCTTGTCCTTTTTCACGCCGTATGCCGTTGGCGGCGCATTTCCCAGGGCCGCAGCGCGTTTCGCGAGCGCTTCCTTGATCTGCTCCTCACTCGGGCCCTCTCTCGCTGGTCCCAGGTCGGAGCGTGTGGTGAAGCCCGTGGCTCCGCGACCCAGACCAGCAACATAATTCTCCGGCGCCTGTTGCGACAGGAAGTCCTTGCGTCCGGACATGGTACCGGTCGTGGTGGTGGTGGCGATGTGGAATTGTTGATGTCTTGGAAAAGAAGCAGTTGAACTTCGCGAGCATCCGTGAAGATCTGCGYTGACTGATGACTGGTTTGGGAATCTACCTAGAACCAAAGTACCGAGTACTAACTAATCGGTTTCCACTTCGTCTGGTCYACCTGAGATTATCGATGCCAGAACAATGTATTCGCGCAGTTACAGGCCTCACTTCGACCCGAACACGTGTACACTTACCTACACTGACTTGAAGGCTGCGGTGTATCAAACAGAACGTTAATTGACGATCAAGGCGTTGGATACTAGGCATAATTCAAACAGATGCCAGATATGCATGCTCATGACAAGTCGTCGCCGATGCGTCTACCGTAGTTTGCACTCGCTCGCCGAACTGTCCATCGACCACGACGTATCATCACATGCAATATAAACGGTGAAAATAGGTACATTGAGAAAGATCGAAAATGTACACACGGTGAACCGAAACGTTGCCTTCCACTCTGTCCGTCAGGGTCTCCCCACTTGGCATGCCCGCGGGATACCTTACCTCCAATACTCTGAGCTGTCCATTTCGGATAACACGAGTTAAACAGCTTCGTGGTCTTGATACCAGCAAGAGTCATCAGGCGATTTGCAGAGCTGCATAGTCATCGACAGCGTCTGCCATTCGTGTGACATCGAGACTCCTCCGCCAACATCCCCGACGGCATTCCGCGTGCGCTTCGAGCTCACCAGTCGTCCAACAATTTGGATCCTCCCAAACACCACCTTACCACCCCTTCTCGGACAATTCGCGCTTTCCGAACTCTCTTCCGCCAGACAACCACGCCTCTGTTGACAGCCTAGTTCCGCCTATCTTACCCTTGCTCCTCGACTCAGCACACCGCATCGGAGACATCAAACACAGAGACCATTGGAAGAGGCATGGCGAGTCCACAACAACCATACGAGGATGGCGGGCCCGAGGGTGCCGCCTACGGACAGCAGCAACAAGCACCCGCGCCCGCAAACAAGAAGAAGAATCGCTATGCTGGTCAGGCCTACGAGTTCGGCGCCGGAGCCAATTCGCAGCAGCCGGGAGGTCCACCACCCCCAGGTGGAGCATATCCCGGCCAAGCAGGACCTGCACAGCCCGCCTATGGCTACCAACCGCAGCCTATGGGAGGTCAAGCACCTTATGGTATGCCTCAACAGCCAGCGTACGGCGATCCCGCGACCCAGAGCCCCGCTCCTCAAATGGGAGGCTTCCAGCAGCCCCAGTACGGCGCCCCCACGGGCTACGAGGCTCCGGCACCTGGCTACCCAACACCCGTAGTGCCCGGGATGCAGCAGCCGCAGGGCGTTGCCGGCATGACACAGCAATTTGGGCAGATGGGCATGGGCGGACAGCAGCCAGCACAACCTCCGCAGCAGCAAGGGCAAGGCGTACCAATGCGCCTGAACCCCCTGCAACCCGTGGATATCAGCCTTCAGGGCCAACCTTTCCACGTCAGCGATCTCGACCAGGCGCCGCCACCAATCATRCTCCCTCCGAACGTGAGTGTGAATCCATACAGATTGGAAATCACAATTGCATGTGCTGATACCATTGATAGTCCTCGGTTACACCTTCCCCGTTCGCTAACTGCTCGCCCAAATACGTGCGATCGACCCTCAACGCCATGCCCGCTACCAACTCTCTCCTCAAAAAGAGCAAGCTTCCATTCGCCTTGATCATTCAGCCATATGCTGCGCTCCACGACGCGGAAGATGATGTTCCCGTTCAGCACGATCAAGTGATCGCACGATGCAGGAGATGCCGGACATATATGAACCCATTCGCAAGCTTTCTGGACCACTCACATAGATGGCGGTGCAACATGTGCAATCTTACAAACGATGTCCCACAGAGCTTTGATTGGGACAGTATCAAACAGCAGTCCGTGGATAGATGGCAGCGACCGGAGTTGAACTATGCCGTGAGCGAGTTTGTAGCTCCTCAGGAGTACATGGTACGCGCTCCGCAACCATTGATTTACCTCTTCCTGTTCGACGTGAGCTACGCTGGCGTAACGAGTGGACTCCTTGCGACCGCGGCGAGATGCATTCTTGAAAGCTTGGACAGGATACCAAACACCGACCGCAGGACACGGCTTGGATTCATGGCAGTCGACAGCTCCCTTCACTACTTCAGCATTCCGCACGATGGTGGCGAGAACAATGAAGCCAAGATGCTGGTAGTCAGCGACTTGGACGAGCCTTTTCTGCCTACCCCCGAGGACCTTCTCGTCAACATGTCAGAATGCCGTGCAAACATTGAGAATTTCCTTACAAAGTTGCAGGGCATGTTTGCCAACACACAAAACGCCAGCTCTGCCATGGGCTCGGCGCTCCGAGCCGGGCACAAGCTCATAAGCCACGTCGGTGGCAAGATGGTGGTTCTCTCGGCGACACTTCCAAACATTGGCTTCGGCAAGCTGGAGATGCGAGAGGACAAGAAGCTCCTTGGGACTTCAAAAGAGAATGCGCTCCTGCAGACGGCAAACAGCTTTTACAAAAGCTTCGCGGTCGAGTGCAGCAAAACGCAAGTTTCGATCGATATGTTCCTGTTCAGCGCACAATATCAGGATGTGGCCAGTTTGAGCAATCTGCCAAGATACACGGGTGGTCAGACTTATTTCTACCCGGCCTGGAACGCTGCGAGGACAGAGGACGCCATCAAGTTTGCGACAGAATTCAGCGATTACCTGTCGTCTGAGATTGGACTGGAGGCCGTACTCCGTGTGCGCACAACAACCGGCCTGCGTCCGAGCGCTTTCTATGGCAACTTCTTCAACCGCTCTAGCGATTTGTGCGCGTTCCCTGCCATGCCCAGAGATCAAGCATACGTTGTCGAGATTGCAATTGACGAGAGCATCACAAAGGCTTTTGCATGCTTGCAAGTTGGTGTGCTACACACAACTTGTAATGGCGAGCGGAGAATCCGCGTTATGACGCTCAGCATTCCTGTTACTCAAAACATGGCAGATGTGTATGCTTCTGCCGACCAGCAAGCCATCACCGCCTACTTCTCGCACAAAGCTGTTGAGAGGGCTCTCAGCAGTGGGTTGGATGCTGCCAGAGATGCTCTGCAGGCGAAGATGATTGAGCTTCTCCAGACTTACAAGAAAGAGCTTGGTGGTGGCAACATGGGTGGTGGCGGGCTACAATTCCCAGCAAATCTGCGAGCACTGCCTATGCTGTTTCTTGGATTGATGAAAAATGTGAGTAGAGAAACGCTTACCATCACATGCAAAGTCCCTACTAATGAACGAACAGCTCGGCCTGCGCAAATCTGCCCAGATCCCTACCGATCTGCGGTCCGCTGCTCTGTGCCTCCTCTCCACACTTCCACTTCCCCTTTTAATCCAATACATATATCCTCGCCTTTACTCCCTGCACGATATGCCTGATGATGCTGGCCTCCCCAACCCGGAAACTGGAGCCATCACCATGCCCCCAGCGCTCAACCTCACCTCCGCCAACATCGTGCCTTTTGGGCTCTATCTCCTCGACGATGGCCAGACACAATTTCTGTGGCTTGGTCGCGATGCCGTTCCGGCATTAATCAACGACGTCTTCGGTATTGAGGACAAGAACCAACTGAAGCAGGGAAAGACCAGTCTACCGGTACTGGAGAGTGAAATGAACGAGCGAGTCAGGGCTGTGGTGGCGAAGAGCAGAGATCATGCCGGGAAGGGCTGCGGTAGCATCTGCGTTCCGCCACTTTATCTGATCCGCGAGGACGGAGAGCCGAGTCTGAGGCTGTGGGCCCAGACACTTTTGGTGGAGGATCGTGCGGATCAGGGTGTTAGCGGAGGAATGTTCTTGGGAACTTTACGGGACAAGGTCGTCACTTAGATCCTGCTGCTAGTTTACTGAAGATGAGCGAGGAGTCGGGGTCGATTGGCGGCTGGGCTTGGTAGTGTTTAAGACACGTGCACCAGGTCTGCACAAACGGTCTATCTTATGCATGAGAATGGAAAAGCAGATTGAAACATTTGACGTGGACAGACGCTGTCCAAAACTTGAAGGTAAGGATGGACTGTTCACGCAGTGCACACCGGTGAAGGCAATGCAGACACAGCAGCCCGGTCGGAATGCATACAACATCACAAAGAAATCATTCGGACGACTGATGCGAACGATTTTATCCACTCAAATCATCCGACTGTCCCTTCGGCATGCTGGAGTCGGGGGCATGGGGGAGTTTCCGAGGGCTCGTGCCATGTATGGTATATGCCCCTATCCTGTTGCATTCTTAGGGCTTACATACGCCCACACCGACCGAAGTTTGCACGAAAGCATGCGAATAGTCCGGGAYCTTCATGCTTGCTATACAGCCTCACAGTCAATGGGGCCATGATCGGTAACACTCTGGGGTCGAGCGTGAGTTCTATAAGCAGCAATTCTATACTTGTTATAAATGCTCTCCCTCGGGTGTTCACCATCAACTCTGACCGTCTCACCGATTCTATCTTTCTGTCCTTCGAGAAACAACAAAAATGGTCTCCGCCAACTTCCTCTCTCAAGCCCTCTTCGCAGGTGCAGCTCTGGCAAGCGGCCTCCACCTGCGTAGAGACCAGGTAAATTAACCTTTGAGCCTACTCCCACGTCAAGGTATATACTAACGATATTCCAATGCAGTGCACCTCTGATGATGCTTGTGAAGGAGCCTGCCGTGCWGTTGATGTCAAGTGCGAAGGCGCGAACGTCACGCCCACCGAGGCCGTCATAGCAGAAGCACGACGCCGCTACCAAGACTATCATTGCGTAAACTCGCAATGCCAGTGTGCCGTATGTCGCCCGAAAGCCAGGCGGAAGTAGTGAGAGATCAGTGCTGATATGTCGACCGATATAGGTGACTAGCGATGACCAGGCGCAGGATTTCTGCCAATACCTGGTAGAGAATGACAAGGCTTTCAAAGGGTTTAAATATGATGATGGCCATTTCGACTTTGACACAAACACGATTACCTGTGTTATCGTCCCTGCATAGACGTGCTGCTGTGTTTTTGGCGCGGTTCCGGAGCGTCTCAACGCACATGGACGAATTACAATTTGGTGATCTGCGTGGGTTCATCGCGGCTTCTGAATGGGGCCACAGCCAGTCGTTAGACCGTGGTATTGGCTGCATTTGTGTTCGGTATATCGCCAGTATGYTGCATATCAGCTTTAGCCTTAGTGTGTCGTCTCACAGTGAGTGCATACTCTTTGAAATGTCGGGCAAATTAGTGGGTGGCACTTGGCCACTCGCTCCGAATGAAGCTCTCCGTCCTAGGGGCGGCGCTCAGCTCGAGGGTGACCTTGCGAGTGGCTCAGCCGATTGACCTGATGACGGGAGGAGAGCCACCTTATACTTGCTTGGTGTGCAAGACTCCGCCACGTGGACATGCTTTGCTATGCGTTCAAGTCGACATCGCAAGATGATGGGATTGGTCTGCAGTCATGTTGCAGCACCGGTATTTCCTCTCATGACAACCAATTTCCAGAAGAACCACTTCCCTGACAGTTCATCGCGCCTCCAGGACAGTATACCAATGCCTGGAAGCTTCACTCCGAGTGGCGCACCCTCCTGCTCGGTGTCGACGAACACCGTCGCAGTCTTACATGAAGAATCGAGCTCGGCCTGAACGTTGACAAGGCGAGTTGAGAAGTGAGGGAACTTCTGGAGATACTGCACCTGCCTTTGGACATATGTCTGCAAGTCGATGTCCGCTGCCGTGCGGTTCGCAGTCCCGGCTGAAAAGTAGGGGGCGACCCAATCTGCATCGAGCAGAGTCGTGATGGACGTGGAGTTGTGGAGCTCGATGAATTGACGGCCGTAGTCCATTAGCAAAGCTTTCGTAGCTTCCGGTCCGGCGTCTTCAACCTCCATGGCGCCAGGGCCTTTCGTCTTGTCGTGTGTGAAGCTCTTGCGAAGGTATGTTGTACTCATATCCTCTTGCCTTGGGTCTTTCGGGGGTCCCTCCATGGCACCCCGGGCGGCGTCTAATCCCGKCCCTCGCATGGCTGATGCAGACGTTACCTTCCATTCTCCGCGGATCTTTCGCAAGGTAAGCAAGGTAGTGCCTGGAATCGATACACCACCCTCGCTCATGGTCCCGTTTACAAATGTGCTCGCGCGTTCTGCACTCTCAAACGTAGTTGTGATTTCGGTGGCATGTATCCTACGATCGGGGTGGTTTTTGCAATGCTCTTCAAACAAGCTGACGTGATTGTCGAGGCTGTCTTCACTCGAACCATCGAGGCGGTATTCGAAGTTTCCGGTCGCAACGGGTGCGATGTAGGAGGCGCTCCGCAGACGCGAAAAATCTCGATTGTTGATGTAGGAGTAGTACTCGTGCACAATGCTCTCGATGTAGAGCCTGTCTTGTTCGCCTGTGTCAGGCATCTCGAGACAGGAGGTTCCCGACGTGACGCGCGAGGCTTGAATGGTCGACGACAATTGGAGGACGTGGGTCTCTTGGTACACCAAAAGAAGGTTGTGTCTGGTGGGGCAAGAGGCGCCCCTCTCTGCCGGGACCTTCCATCTCAACGTTAAGGTAACTTACCTAAGTTCCGATCACCTGAAGAACCTTAAGGTACCTTATCATGTGAATCATCCTCCCCTCCCCTCCCTTGGGTCACGGGTGGGAGCCGCAGCTGACCGCTCCTCAAACATGGAAGCTGCACCTGCTATCGCTGCAGAGCGTCATGTGCTCCTGGCGACATGTTGACTTGCTCTGCGTTAGCCATCTGAGACCCATCTCGCTAGAAACATCCACTACCAGAGATCGATATCGCTCGCACCAATCTACCCGCAATAGCCAAAGTATGCGTTGGTAGCACCAGCTCGAGCTCCTCCCGGCAGCACTGCTCTCAGCACTCACACATCTCATACCATTTCCCAATTTCAGCTTTGCGAGCATATTCTCGGCACCCGTCTTCAACACTGCTACTGTCACACCCACGGCGGAAATGCCTTATCCATTGCCATCCTTACCCCCAACCCTCTTCCCTACATACTTGGTGCCATCTCTTCCGTTCCGCCGACGCAAGAGTAGTACGAATAGCACAGCATCTACCACTACAAACGAAGAAAGCAGCAGTGTGCCATCGACCGGTTCCTCATTTCTCGCAAATCACGAGGCGCATCTGCGTTGCGCGCGATGTCTCTCTGACATCGCACTGGCTTCACAAATTGTGTCCAAAGGCTTCACAGGCCGCCACGGACGTGCCTACCTTGTGGCCTCGTCAGAGCCAKCAGCTTCGACCCCAGCCAATCTTCTCCCCAACGCGAAGGCCAAGAATGACGCTCTCCCCAACCTGCCCAACACTTACACGCATAAGCCCACGCCGCGTCAACTGGTGACAGGAGCGCATACTGTGGGCGATATCAGCTGTGCACAATGCGGAAGTGTGTTAGGCTGGAAGTACATTGCCGCCGAAGAGGATAGCCAAAAGTACAAGATCGGAAAGTTCATTCTGGAGAYGAAAAGAGTGCTCAGGACCAGTCTTTGGGAATCTCGTGACGATGATCATGAGAGGAGTACAGGACCATTACCTCCAAGCGCGCTCACGTCCGTCGATACTGCCATCGAATTCGACAGTCAGGACGAGGACGAATGCGAGGACTTGTTCCTGGGAGTCTGGACTCCTCAATTGGCGAGAAAGCGCAGACGAGAGAAGCGTTTGACCGACTGAAGGTGTTAGAACCTCGATGTTGACGAATTTGCTTTGTTGTTTTGGTATGGTTGATGTTTCTTGGAGTTGAATTCTCCGGTTGGACTGCGTTGTCATAGTTTGATACCCATAATGCTGTTACGATGTCCTGCGAAGTACTGGGTAGTTTGAGGCATGACAATTCTTGTCAGAAAGATGATATCAGTCAATGGTTAGTCATGGAATGCACATATGTTGGCTTGTCGATATCGCCATAGGGTTAGGGTTGGGGGTAGGCATCCTTGCCATTCGAAATCTCTCCCCAAAGCCTTGTAGAGTCACGACACTCAGTAGTCCATGGTTCTGGACATGATGCACTACTCATAGCTAGCAATATGTAACAGGGCATGGTGCTGACAGTGCCTCAACACAGCACCGAGTGTCGTACAGAATCGTTGGTGGATTCAGCTGACCGTGTGTGGTGTGCATGGCAAGGTGTATCGCCGGCCTTACTCTGGAACGATACTGACGAACATTTCATGGATCAGAGCGAATCATAATACACCGCTTCACGCGGAAACTAACGGAAGTGAAATCTGAAATCTATATAATCGTGATCATATAAGATCTCACTCGATCTACCCAGATCCACTGACCAAACGTGTCCAAGTCGCTAAACAAAAGCCACCAATAGCCATCATTCTACTCATAACCTTCGCTCAAGCAAAAGTTCCCCAGACGGCCTCGACTTTGGAGCGAAGCCGCCCTCTCGAGTATGCACAGTCTTCCCCCTGAGCCAGGTCTGCTTCGCAAAGCCCCTGAGCCTCTTCCCTTCATACGGAGAGCACTTATTCCTAAAAAGCATAGTACTCGGCTCGACATCAAAGGTGCTTTGATCGTCAAATACACAAATGTCGCCGTCCATTCCGACCCTAAGGTCACCCTTTCTATGTTCCAGGCCTACTTGCTTGGCGGTGTTGGAGCAACACYACCTTGCGATGTTGACCAGTGTTTCGTCTACGTCCAGATTCCGGCGCATGGCTTCGGTCCATAGTATACTCAGTCCAAGGCCGACCGAACTGATGCCACCCCACGCGGTGAAAAAGTCGCCCTTGTTTGGACTTGAGCAACATCCGGCCTTCTTGTTTTCCCGTTCTGCGCCCAGTACATGAGACGGGAGAAGCTTCAAGTTCGGCGTGCACGGTGAATGGTCAGAAACTACAGTCTTGATCACACTATCCTGGATGTCGAGCACTTCGTTCCAAAGGCCGTCTTGGTTTGACTCTGATCGGATGGGAGGACAGCATTTGTGTCGTGTGTCGCCATCTTGTATATTCTCGGCAGCCAAGCTGAGATAATGGAAGCAGGTCTCAGCCGTGATGTTGACGCCCTTTGCCCGCGCTTCCCGGAGCATGGGTATAGCCTCGACAGCAGAAAGGTGGACGATGTGAAGTGGTAGTTTGGGTGCAAGATGTGCCAGGGCTAGAATCTCCATGATAGCTTGTACTTCAAAGGACGACGGCCGGGAATCGAGAAATGTCTGGTACTTTTCCAGAGGGCCGGTTGGCTCGAGAGAAGACATCGACTCGGCACCAGAGGTCGGAACCATCTCCGCGTGGAACATGACCGTAGTGGACTCATCTGCGAGCTCTTCAAACACCTTGGAAATATCCTCAGCAGAGACGGCAGGAAATTCCTCCACACCGCTGTCGATGAGGAAGCCCTTGAAACCTCGTACTCCTGCTTGCACCAGGGGCTTCAGTTCTGCAACATTGCCGGGCACTATACCGCCGTAGAATCCAACATCTATCCAACATTTGCCTTGTGCAGCAGCAACCTTCTCTTTCAAGCCATTCAGTGTTGTCGTTGGTGGAATCGCATTCAAAGGCATGTCTACCACAGTTGTGACTCCCCCAAAAGCCGCAGCCTGCGTTCCCGTCCAGAAGCCCTCCCATTCTGTTCGTCCTGGTTCGTTGAGATGCACATGCGCATCTACAAGTCCTGGTAGAAGCACATGAGGACTGTGGTTCGTATAAGGTGTGCCGGGAGGGAAAGATGCAGGAGGTAACACCGAATCGAAGACGGACACAATTTTGCCTGTAATTGTTGATATGACTATCGTTGCGGGAGTAAGCTGCCCTTCTACCACTGCTCGTGACGAGGCAAGCACAGTGATTTCAGAAGCCTTGACGTCTGCAACTGATAACGCGTCGTCGATCGTGTGTGGGGTATCGGTTCCAGTAGCGAAAGGAGCCATGCCTGGGGAGATCTTGTCTTCTATGTATCTTAATCCGCTGCCTGCTGCAGATGCCCAAGGGGTGGTCTAGGAGGATAATCTAACGCTGGGATATCAGTGGTGGTGTGAAGGACTGAAATGTCGAAGAGCTTAGGAAAGAGGACAGGATCGCTCTAAAGAAAGACAGTCTGACTCCGAAATCTGCATGTGAAAGAAGAGTCCCGCGATGAGGGGTGAGATGCATAGATAAGAGGATTGCCCATGGGGTTCCCCCGGCCGGGAGTTTTGCAGTGAAATGCCGCATGTTGAAGAAGCCGCTTGCAACGGGCTGTGAAAGGGAACAAAGCTGCCTCGTTCGGTGGGAAGCAGACATCGCCGCCGAGTGTAGCGTACGATGGCGTTTGCCCATCCGACACTTGTTACTCGATAGTTACTCGATAGAATGATAATCAGCCTATCAGGAGCCAAGGGTGTTCAGTACGGACGGGCGATAAGGATGAGGTCTGGAAGTGGAAGAAATGCAAGAGCGGAAATCGCCGGCATCGGCACAGGGATGGGATGATGCAAAGATCGGGCGACGCGACGCGCCGATGCTGTACTTACCTGCCTTAGTCACCTCACTCGAACGCATCTGTCTCGACTCTCGACAATGCTCTGTTCACTCACCATCCCTTTCATTCAACATCCACCAAGAAGCAGTCCAGTTCCTCCACGGGATTTGGATCTCCTGGAAACGGAAACCACGGCCAAGAGCGCCTTGAAGCCATTGAGTAAACGTGAGGTAATGATTACTCGATCGCAACGAGAAACTCTCCATCYGAAGGCTATTCTAGCCCGGCCGAGTTGAAATCCAAGTAGCCACACGCCTAACAAGCCCAGGACTGGACTGGAATGGACCGAGAAAAGGCGGACAGTCTCCTTTTTGCGTCGCGGAAACCTGACCTGCCGATGTAGACGAGTGCATTCTCATCAACTTATTGCATGCCCCGAAGCGGAATATGTGCCATTCAGGATAGTACGCGCCAGTGTGAGACTGGCGCAGGTGCAATCCATGCCTTTCGCATGCTCTGTCGATATGATCAAAGCGTGATACGTATTTCACTGGACGCGTCTTTCGAGTGACCCTGACGGTGAGGGTATTTTTTCTTTCTTCTACAAACCGGCCATCGTACCGAGAGACTATCTTAACTTGCTCGCATTGACAGAACTCCGCAGACAGTGCTTCGCACTGCCCGGAGGCCGCTTTGATCTTCCTCCACATATACAGGCACCAAGAGGATCGCGAGCAGACGCGAACATGGAACGCGGAGACTCCATCCGGCTCAGACCATCAGGGCACCAAGTTGAACGAGAATAATGCTTTGATTATGCACCAGTACGCCTAACGGAATTTACTACCCTCCACCACGCATCGAGATCGAAGAATACCCGGGTGGCGCCAAGGGATTCTGAGACCAAAACAGCATGCAGCTTGATATGTATCTCGTATCTTTCTTGCTAGTAGGTCGTATGGTAGGCCGTATATCATACCGGCCAGAGATTTACTTGTCTCTGCTGGCAGGTTGCATTCCGTCAGACAGCTCACGCTACCCAATAAGCCTTGCCACTGCCCCTATTTGCGACCCTACCTCGCTGCAGGCAAAGACTGAGAGGCATCTGGCGCGCGGTGACACTACGCTGGTCTTCATCAAAGTGGTGTGCTGTAGTGCACGCCTTTGTGTAATCAGCCATGATATGTTTGGGGGGTGCGTAGCGATGCGATCATTTTGTCTCCCTTGCTTCGAGGCGTTTCTCAGCGTTGGTCTCTGCACCGCAAACGATCGCACTTTGATTCTTAAAAGCATGCTCCGCGGTCAAGAACAGACACCACCCAAGTCGAGGAACTTTTACCGTCATCATGCTGGTCTGCTATCTACTTCTTGTATCGGGACTTGCCTTCGCCGGAATCATCTCAAAAGCGCCAAGCATTGGGCCAGTCGAACATTCCGATCGGTTGTTGTCACTCCGGCGTCGGGTGGACACTGATTCCGATTCATCGGTTGCAGTCACCGGTATCTCGATAAGTGGATTTGCACCTCAAGCGCGACTGGAGATCCGACAGCTGGAAAGTAAAAGGGATGTCTGGAACATCTATCTGCTTGGGTTAGTAAGATCTCGATTTCATTACGATTACGGCAGCTACATGTCTTGCTGTCTTTGCCACGGGCATACAGATTTGCAAATGGMACGGCTGACAGATTCCCAGGCTGAGGAGGTTTCAGGCGGTCAACCAAACCGACAGGCTGTCGTATTACCGAATCGCCGGTACGTTTGGACCCGCTGGCGATGCGAAGCATTACTAAAGTGGATTGCCAGCGATACACGGAAGGCCTTACAGAGCATGGGACAACGTGCAAGGCGTCTATAATGAAGCGGGATACTGTGCTCACCTTTCCAGCCTTTTCCTGCCTTGGCACCGGCCCTACCTTGCACTATATGAACAAGTTCTTTTTGAGCATATTATTGACGCAGTGAACGAGTTCCCCACAGGTCCTGTCCGTCGAAGATATGCATCTGCGGCGCTGAGCTGGCGAATGCCTTACTGGGACTGGGCGGCGCAGCCAGAAGATGGCCAGAGCGTATACCCGAGTAGCCTGGGTAACCGGACTGTCGTAGTCACCATGCCGAACGGGACGCGGACAATCGACAATCCACTCTACTCGTACAAGTTTCATCGACTTGTGAGAGCCGACATGTACTTTGATCCGGTGGGTGTGTCGTACCACTTCGCTCAAAGGTTACTGACGAGGTGGTAGTTCGCCGAGTGGAATGAGACGAAGCGCTACCCTACAGGCTGGGTCCGAAGTGCTCTTAGCCAGGAACATCTGATAGGACCCGTTCTCGACAACAACCGGGTTTCAATCATGAACCGCTTGTACAATTTGTTCACGTACTACTCGAACTACACTCTATTTGCCACTGAAGCGTGGCAAGGCGAGACTTATGCGAATGCAGACAGCATCGAATCGCTTCACGACACAATTCGTAAGTCCCCTGGAATGAGACGCGGACTTTGTTGACCAGTGACCACAGACAGCTTGACAGGAAACAATGGGCACATGACTTTTCTAGACTACTCTGCGTATGACCCGTACGTACCCTACAAGCTTACCATCTCAGAAGATATCTTGCTGATGCCTTTGGYTCTGTGAAGTATCTTCTGGCTGCATCACGCGAACATGGATCGTATCTTCGCCATGTGGCAAATACTGTACCCTAATTTGTACGTGGAAAGAATGCGAGCCGTGTCACAGACATTCACAGTCTCTGTCGGAGATGTGCTGGACGTTGATACGCGTGAGTAATCATCTTGCGGATGATTCGTCAACTACCCCTGACCAACGTAGCACTTGAGCCGTTCTCCAGCGACACACGAGGCACCAAATTTACGTCGAAAGATGTGAGGTCTACCCTGCGATTTGGATATGCGTATCCCGAGACTTCCGGGAACGCCAGCATTGCTCAGGTTAAAAGGGCTATCAATCAGCTTTATGGAAGCAGTGCAGGCGCAGGCGGGCCCGTCAAGCGAGCAGAACAGTCCACAGGGCATGGAAGTCCTTCCTTACAAGCGCCGGTCGAGAGTTCCGAGCGCTACTACGTTGCCAACATCGTCTCCCCAAAATTCGCCATGAACGGATCCTACGCAGTGTACATCTTCCTAGGAGACTTTGAGGATACATCATCCATGTGGCCGCTCTCGAAGAATCTCGCCGGCACGCATGCGGTCGCTACCAACATGATATCAGAACACACCGCAAACATGCGCTCTGCGACTCTTTCGAATATAAAGGTCACGGGTGCAGTGCCGCTTACCGGCTTACTTCGGTCGAAAGTTCAATCGGGCGAGTTGGCCTCCCTGGACTCCAGCGTCGTCGAATTTTACCTATCGAGTAATCTGAAATGGCGGGTAACAACAGTAAGTCACCCAACTACCGTACGTGCTCATGAGCTCGGCGCTGATTGCCTCCCAGTTCAACTCGACGGCGATTGCATGTGAAGACTTCACGGATCTTTCGGTGACCGTTGTCAGTAGTAAAGTGCTGTCGTCCGTCGCAGAAGACGAGTTTCCTCAATGGGGAAACTTCACCAAATTGAACGTCTCGCAGGAAGGACAGTGTGGTTGTAAATGAGTTGCGGCTTTCTGCAGGGCCAATGGAGCTAATAAGTAAGCTATGTAGCAGGCTATCAATAAAGTCGATTCGGTCGGGAGAGTACATCTTTWTATATGAGACACCGACAGAGCGATGAACAGCTTGCTTCTTATAGTGGGTTTACGTTACGCGAGACTGCCCGGACGTTTGCTACATGCTGCTCTCTAACGTACAAACAACTACGATACTGTTGGGTAACTTGCGTCTGTCATGTATTCATTGCGCGAACCTGGACATTTGCCATACACTGCTCTCTAGCGTATGTACAGTCACTATGCCCCTGAGGTTCACGGCAAGCTACTGAAATGACAACTAGATGGTGAGAGCGTCGAGTGAAGTAGTCCATTTTCCACCAGCGGGTCGGGTAGTGAATGAATTACGAATGTGCGGACGCGTCGCTGCCCTCGAGGCTGCTCAGACGACTTCATGACCAGGATGGATTTGGGATGGATCCGAAACAGATCATTGACGTTGTGATGACGACTGGACGACACCATCCGCGAGATATTGAGAGCGAGCCTCGTCGTAATACATCTGTTCTTCTCATGGTCGATTAAATACAGTCGCACCACACACTCCCACTCCAATGTGATGCTAGCATCCTGTGCCTCACACCAAGAGCCATTACAATTCGCCCTAGCCGCTGCAGTCGTTGCATCGTAATATCGTCCCAAAAACGCAATGACAATTACTTGTACACACGACGTTACCCGCAAGGGTAGCCACCGACACGCTCCACGCTGTTCGGGAAGGCCTGCCAGAAACCGCAATCYCCCGAACCAAAAGATACAGAGGATGTTTGCCAATGCGTCTACGCCATCATACCTACCCAGCGGTCTGTGACTTCAGCCTCTTCAGCTCGTCGAGCTGTGATGTGAGACCTCCGAGAATATCTGACATCGGACATGCCTGTTCTAGCATGCCATTCGCAAATGGCCGAATCATGTTCCGAATAGCAAGTGTGGATATGCACGTCTGTAAGGCACAAGGTTAGCTTGGAGATCTTGCCGCGTCTGGACCAGGCACCCATCTGTCAACCTTACCTCAATTCTACTAACTTGATGCTCCACAAAGTTGAGCAAGAATCGATCCGTTATTTCACCTCCACCATGCTTGATCTTTTCCAGCAGTGCCGTCTMAGGCGGCTTGAGTGTCCGAATGCCAGTGTTTTCCAGAGTGCTGCAGAGCATCTCCAGCCGGAGACTGACGTTCCAAAGATCCCAAACGGTATCAGTGTCAATCGTAAGCTGACTGTTGCGAGTCTTCTTCGCCTCGTTCTCGCTTGCAATGTTTGCACGCGTTTCAGCATCTGCCTTTTGCTGTTGCACGACCAAACGAGAAGCTAGCGAGTGCGGGTACATGAGATAAATGTACTCTGGAWTTTCAAGACCCTTGAGCGTTCGCTGGCCCAAGTCCTTCACTTCAAAACCTTGACTGCTCAGCGATCTGAGCTCACGACGGATGGTTTGACTCAAGATGTCGTCCCCGATCGTGTCCTCAGAGCCGGTCGAGGTGCTTCGATCTGATTCAATATGACTCTCAAGCATTCTCTGCACTTCTTGGATGAAGTCGGATGAGACACAGATCTGACCACCGTCTGCGACACTTTCAATTCGGGCCGCGCGATTGACCATTGGCCCGAAGTAATCCATGCGCTTGGTGACGGGATCAATCTCACAGACAGGACGTCCCCAGTGGATGCCCATCCGCACACTCAGGCCGCGGAAGATGACGTTGCCGTCACCATCTTGCATCTCCTCGCCGTGCACGCTGTTCAGAATCTCCTGTGGCCATTGCACTTCAAGCAGCTGGCTCTGAATCGTGAAGCACCACAGAAGTGCGCTGGTGACTGTTGGGAATGCTACCATAAAAGCATCACCTTCCGTCTTCACTTCATAGCCGCCAATGATCCTCAAGTGCCTTCGCATCACTTCGTTGTGCATCTTGATACCTGACTGCATCGCGATGGGATATGTCTCCCACAGGATTGTGCTGTTCTTGATATCCGTGAACACCAGTGTCACCTCACCTGTCGGTGCATCGACTTCCTGGTCCAAGCGTGCGAGCTTTGAATCGCCCACAGCGTCTCGTCCACGCTTGGCCTTTCGCACAGTCGTGAAGTAGTCATCGGGCGAACCTGAAGGACCCATGCTCATAGAGTGTGTCCGGAACCGTGCTTTCTCCCGTTTGCGGAGATCGCTCACACCCACCATCATTACCATTATCTTGCCGGTCGCCCCAAATGCAATTGCAAGGTCCCGGAGCTTTTGGGCAGCTCGCATGAGATCATTGCGCTCTTGTCGGGCAACATCGACAGCGAAGTCGGGTGTGAGATAATCCCAGAGCTCTCGTGAAGCCAAGAGTATCATCTCATCGGAGTCTTTGATATCCACCTTGCTCACATGCGGCGCTGCGATCATGCATGGAGCAAGTTGGACGTATCCGAAGGCGCGGGAGACATCAAGCTGGTCGTTGAGCTTTCCCTGTCTCGACACAAAGCCACCAGCCTCTCTAATGCGTTGTCGCTCAGTTGCTTCGGCCGGGTCGTGCTTTCGACTGATTATTTTGTGGCCACCTTCGGAGTGGATGAGCAGGGCTTGAGCATCCCCAACGTTCGAGATGTAAAGTTCCATGCCATGCAGGTACATGACAGTTGCTGTGCTGCCCGAGACAAGGTCGTCCTCGCCGAGTTGAGGGCTGACCACGCTACCGCGGTGAACGATAGAGCTACTGGGATGCTCGCGAGAATCAATCGCTTGGGTGGCGGCAGTCGCCAATTCCTTGTTCAGGCCAAGATAGGTACGTCGAAGCGCATCCATTGCCGTCTCATCGTGCTTGATCTTTTCCAGTTCCTCGATAAAGTGGTGCTTGAACTTCTCGTGCAAGAACTTTGCCACCTTGCTGCCGCCAGAAGAGAGTGACTGGCCATCAAAGAGACCTATAAGTGCCTCATCTTCGTGCCCTCGGAAACGAGGAACCACCATGTCAAGCGTGGACAAGTGCTCGTTGCGCCCTAGCGTGTCGGCCATTCCATACGGCATCGACGTTCCAATCGTAGATCCCGCGAGTCGAACGCGCCTGTCTGGCGCCTGGTCCGGCACTGACGGAATAGTGAGTGTAACATCCATCAAGCCCAGTATTCGCAAGTTGAGCAGCGAGGAAAAGTCGGTCAAATCGCGCTGCTCTCTACCATTTGCCACTTGCGCGCTGGGTTTGATCTCCAGCCGCTTATTGCCAGACAGGTTCAAGTATCGTAGTTGACGGTTCCAGTTCCAATTCCAATCGTACGGCCAGTTTGAAACGTTGTACTTGAGCATGTTGCTGCCGACGTCAAGAATCGCAAGTCGCTGGATCTTGCCGAGCTCTGCTGGGAGAACCTGAAACTTGTTGTTGTTGATGTGCAGCACTTTCAAAGAAGAGCCTTCCTCAAGGTCCTCCGATGGTATGGACGTCAGATCGTTACCGGAAAGGTATAGCTCGGTGAGGTGTGTCCACTTCCTGATGGTGCGGGTAGGAACATCGTAGATTTGATTGTAGGACAAGTTGAGGATGCGCAATTCCGGAAGGAGAACCAATTCGTTAAACACATCGTCTTCAAGACGATTGTCCGCCAGAAACAGGTGCCTCAACGACCCTGCAAAAGTCGCCGCAAGTCTACTCGAAATACTCGAGTCCTTGCGGGCTCCTCCACCTGGGGTAATTGTGCCAATACTGCTGGCGGTGCTCGCTCTATTGAGTATTCCCTTGCCTGAGTGATATGACACCACAGAGCCTTTGCGAGACGCAGTCCCAGGAGAGCTAGAAACTGTGAGTCCAGCAGATGCTTGACTTGGTCTGCGGAGCTGGAAATCCTCTAGCTTCCCAAGTTCCTCAAAGTCAGGACTACCGCCTGAGGCTGGATTCAGGAGGGCAGGCGTTACCGACATGGAAGCATTCGCCGGTTCTGGCATCGGCGCACCAGGTTTCGGGAAGTCGGTGAGCACATTCGACGACACGTTCAGAGTCTCCAATCGTTTGGCATACCATATCTCCGACGGAAGCACACTGAGGTTGTTCTCTCGCACATCAAGGTACCTTAGCTCATGCAATCGTCCGATCTCTGACGGTATCCTGCTGAGCTGATTCTTTGCGATGCTGAGATATTCGAGCTTTGACAGGAGGCCAAAATGGGGCGAAAGCGAGACAAAGTGGTTCTTACTTATTGTCAGCTTTGTGAGACCCGCCATTTTCATGAAAAGAGCATCCGGGAGCTGAGCGAGCTTGGCAGAAGCCAGATTGAGAACAGAAAGAGTCGGAACGGGAGAGTTGAGGTCGAAGTTGGTGACTGGATTGTGATTGAGGAAGAGAACTTTGAGACAATGGAAGGAGCCCTCAAACTGGGACACGGAGTTGTGGCCAAGCATGAGTGCTTCCAGATTCGGCAGTTGCGACACGATGTCGATGTTGGAGATTGCGTTGAAGCGGGCGTCAATCTCGCGGAGACTGATTAGGTGGCTGAAGGACTTGCCAAAGGGGCCAGATAGTCTGTTGTTCGTTGCCCACAGTCGCTCTAAATTGACGAGGGTGGAAACGTCTCCCATGTCGGAAATTGAGTTGAAACTGATATCCAAGTCAACCAAGGTCGTGAGTTCGCGTAGCGCGTCAGGGAAGTCGTTAAGTGAGTTGGAAGACAGATTGAGACTTCGAAGGGCTCGATACTGTCCAAAATAAGGCGGGACAGTCGTGAGCTTGTTGTTCGATAGCTTCAGACTCAGCAAACCTTGCAGTTTGTTCAGTTCGGCATGGTCCAATTGTTCGAGCCGATTGTTTGATATGTCCAGGGTAGTGAGTCTGGTCGCAAGCGACAAGCTGGCTGGAACTTTCCATGCTTCGTTGCTCGTGTATTTGATTTCGCGGAGCGAGGTGCAGCTTTGGATGAAGTCCTTGGGAATGTCCAGTGTCAAGTTGCGTGAGAGGTTCAGAGTGATTATTTCGGTGGCTCTGTGGTATAGGCCAATGGGTATAGTGATCAGATTCCGACCAGAAAGGTMAATATGATTGAAACGCTGCATCTTGCTGAACCCAGGATCGCGGTCCAGACTAGAGTATCCGCCCATTTTGGATGGCATGAAGGTGAAGCGGCAGAGGTACCCATGATCCTCGCGTCCAAGATCTTCCAGATGGTCCTGTTCCTGGTAGCCAGCCATTTCCAGCAACCGTTTCTGAATTACAAGAGGTCGTTCCCCAGGCGCAAGCTGTCGACTCGTATCCTGTTTACGCATGATGATCTGATACTTGTCCAATTCGTCTTGTAAGAACGTCTTCTTGGCCATCATCGAAATGAGCTCTGCTGCCGTGGTATTTAGGCTTGCAGATATGACCGCAAAAGTGCTATCCGCACGGAAAATGCGCATGAAATACATTGGGCCAGGGTCATCGTCCTTGATAACATTGCCGTCGTCGTCAAGCTCAGTCAGTCTGCGTAGGTTGTCATCGGCTATTTTGTTGACTGCCCAGCTGTCCGGAGCGTCCCACGCGCCCTGTTGATCAGGCTGTGGCTCGAGAGGAATTTCCTGCTCGGGAGGCCAGCCAGCATAGATTTCTCCTTGAGGCGGTGTCGTCAACAACGGCTGCGTGTGGTCCACGATGCCCTCCATGTGCGACATGTCCGTGTCTAAATGCCACAATGCATCACCAGCCTCAGCGTGCTTCTCATTGGGATCTTTGACCTGCTTGCTGCCCTCCAAGACGCTGGTGTCAGTGCGTTTACTTTTAAACGGCAGACGATGCTCCTTTCTCTGTCCAGCACTGCCACCCGCACCATCTGCCTTGGCTTTCGGTGGCTTTGCGACAGCCTTACTATCCACACGCTCTGTTCGGCCCTTGCTCGCAGCTGGTTGCATGGCAGGCAGTGAGATGACCGAGTTGGACTGCTGGGGCATTTCTGACCCACTGCGATCACCCTTGTGTCGCCCAGTGACACGATCAAATAGCGACCGCTTTTGGGGCTGCGCATTGCTTGCTGTCCGCTGAGAGACGTGAGAGCTATGAGCGCTATGAGAGCTGGGCGAAGGACTGATAGACCGAGCATGCTTGAGACCACCGGCGGGAGGTCCGGTATCCCGTCGCATGTTATTACTGAAGGACTGTTCGCGGCTCGTGGTAGGTCTCAGCGGGAAGCCAAGGCCGGCGGACTGCTTGTCGTCGGTGCTACGATTATGTCTATGACCGGGAAGATGGAGCCGAGTCTTTTTGCTGGAGTCGGGAAAGATAGACTCAGATGCTCCTCGTGCTTTCTGCAATCATGTCAGCCGCCGTTGCCATCACATGTATCCATCCCCTTTCAGCCACTTGCAACAACATACCCCAGGATCTTGAAAAACCCACGGCGTGATCTCGCTGCTCGGCCCTACAGGAACAGGCGTTCGAGGTCGTGAATTTGAGGGACTGGGCGGACCGCTGCCTGGCATGGAGTTGTGGCGATCCCTCAATCCTCCCATGCCTGGCGCGAACGGTGGCAGCGAGGCAACCCCGTTCTGCATAAGACTCGCCTCCGAATTCTGCCGGCTGCTAGTATCTTGTATGACACCAGGGAGGGCGACATCGTCCCCAAAGAAGCCTTGAAGTTTCCTGTGCACTCTTCCCTGCACACTGGTCTTTGAGCCGGTCGACGAAACTGTCGTGGCGCTCGCAATTGACGGTCGTCTGTCCTCGCCATCGCCTGGAAATCCCATGACGCCTCCTGAAGGTGTAAAGCCTGGTGAAATCTGGCCAATGTTCTCATTCGAGTCATTATGGAAGAAGCTTCCACTGAATACGGATGGAACCTGCGCGTTACCGTCGGTATTCCAGGAAGGCATCGGATGCGCAGAGGGAGGCTGCCTGCTGATTGCCGGCAAGTTGCCGGGATGGTTCTCGAGCTGCGCGTCCGACGGCGGCGTGTTTTCCCATGGCGCAATCTCGCCACGGGCATGAGGAGGTGTCGGCTTGTGGGGGAGGATGGTGCTGGGTGAGACCTCGGAGTCCTGTCGTTCGAGTCTGAGGAGAACTAACATTAGCACTTTTTCTGTCTGGCGCGCAGCCACTTCCACTGCAGCAGCACCAACACCCTTTACGACGATCCCGGATAGTTGCAGACACACACGCCCCTCCACCCATGCGAAACCATCTCTTTACCACCATGCGCCGAACAAAGAGCATGAGCTCCGGCTTCTGATCTCGCGGTTTCGAGGCGGCGCAGTCTTGTAAACATTCAGGAAGAGGCAATACATACTGTCGCTTCGTATGTAGTTTCAACGGCATACTCCTCACGGCGGCGAAACTAAAAGGTCCTTTGACTGTCTCAGTCGAGCGAGCTGATTCGGCACCCGTGGAGCCATGGCGCTTTCCGTCCGAGTTGCTGCTGCTGCGAAGGGTCATCCTCCTCGCGCGCCTGCTACATCAGTCCATGGAGAAGGCGTACAAGGTACAGGCAGCGTGAGTGCGTCAGAAGCCCGAGACTCAGTACCTATGCGCTCGCTGCCAAGGACTCGAAGATGCCTCGCGACGACGCGCAAGATGAGGCGAGGAATGATGCAGCAGGACAGGCGATACGACGATGACTAAGAAGGTCGCAATCTGGCCGATCATGCCAACGTCCTTTTAGTTCATGATCGGGTTCGCGGGGCCCGTTTCGATTGATCTTGTCTCGCACAAGGTGTCTTGATGATGATGACAATGGTCGAAGGAATGACGATGGGCTCTCGAGAAGCAAGCGGTAATTCGTCCGAAAAACTAGGGCATCGCTAACACAGCTCTTATCCATGGGAACAAAGGAACTCTCGGAAGCAACGCAACTCCACTTTGGCATAATAAGATTCTGGACTTGCGGGGAGCCTCTAGAATCACCTCACGTCAAGTCGCTGGGTATCGAACATGCCACCGCGTCCACTGAAAGCCAAATCTTTGACGTCCTGTATTGGCCTGCATTGCAGTAACGTCGTATTGCACAAGCGAGACCCTTGACCACCGAACCCAGTTGAGATGTTCCCCGAGCAGACGCTGGAGCCGGGATCCCACGCACAACATCCGTCTTCATCATTGACATGAAGGACGTAGGTGGCAGCCCTTGACATGTCGCAGAACGCTCCTTGCAGACCAGGTCTCGCAACACAACTTCCCAGGCTCGCGAAGAGAATGCCCAAACATTGGCAAGGATTCAATCTCCGATGCAGTCCAGGCGCTGGAATAAGCGCGCTCCACACCAAGCAGCCTGCCGAGATCGAGCGGCTGCGGGCATCCCTGAGATCTGGGGAGTGGAGAACACAGCCGGTCCTCGCATGACATGCACCTTCGCGCCTATTGAGGGCACCCTGCTGAACTCCTTGTGCATGTGATTTGTACCCGAACGGTGAACCCAACTCGGCTCTCATACGGCCCTTTCCTCTCCCCGAAACCTTGTCAAACAGCTGCCGAGAGAAACGGACACGCCTCCCGCATCTCGCCTTCGGCAGAGTTCCGTGCTTTTCCGGGGCGGCAATCTTGCTGCCAGTGAAGGCACAGAGATTTGAACAGTAAAGAAGCCCATTACATAACTTGGTGTTTATGTACTATGGACGTGTGTGTGGGAGACGGGGTAGCTTATGTCTTAAGATCACGCTCTACTAATTTAATGTTCTGTTCATTAATACATTGGCTCATTACTACACTGCTACCTAAAAAGGCTTCACTTTCAAATGGCTCGCATAAAGTTTCGTAGTGAAATAAGTATTGGCATCAAACCTGGCTGGCTTCTTTGCATTTGCCCTCCTCGGCCAAAACACTTTCGAGGGCACAAACCCAAACCATGGAGCCCCAAAAGTCGGCTGAAGGTGTTGCTTTGAATCTGCGAGGATGCTGTTGAGGAAAGAATTCATGGGCCAGGGWGATGTGACCGTAGGTATGCCCTGGTCATGAAACAAATTCGCCAGAGCACTTTCCTGGAGGAGCTTCCGCATGCAATAGTACCCTCTGTACCATCCACAAGCCTGTACAGTAAACATATATCCAGATATAGAGTCAATGGAACTGACGTCGTGCATAGAACAGGATCGAGTCATGAAGGTTCAACTTGTACCACATGGTAAGCGAGTCAAGAAGATTTCATGCTGTCGTTTGCCTGGTCGAAAGGTACTGCACGCCAAGAGCACTGCCCGTGTTGCCTGCACCGCTGATGGTACAATACAGAGCTCGAGTTCGACGCAGAGCTGGAAGTACATCCGCCGAGAATCTGTCGAACATGACGTTGTGGTGCGCGCATGACTCCGACTGGCAAAGCTACGATTGTGGGCAGCGAGCAGTGTGATCAGTCCACCGACAGAGTCACTCCAAGAATTGAAGAACGAGTCTGCCAGTCAGGAGCTTGTCAACATCTTGACAGACGTCTGACACATCGGGAGATGATTCGAGAAGTCCTCCGACCTCACACCCGCTTGAGCTATCCACGTACTGACAGTCTGAGGAATGGAACTCACGGCATGCGTTGTCCTGTAACTCATAAGTTGCGTGACACCGCATAGCACCGGGCTAAGTCACGATACGTTTTAGGAAGACTGGCACCGCTCGCACATGCCGTCGCCTCAGAAGCTTGACCCCACGRGCATGCTACATCCCGGGTGAGATTTCTCCAACTGGCTGCTTATCATTCAATGCCKGTAAATCCCCGACTCGCTCGCGAAGCGTGGAATGGGTATCGTCGCAAAAGGAGCAAAAGCAAAATTTCGTGATCGGTCATCATGATTACCATCATCAGTATAGTTTCGGCTTCCCAGCAACGTCAACGGCAGGCGGCGGTCCCTCAACATCAGGGTATGGAAGCTGCCGTCCCAACTCTCCCATGTTCATGAAAGTTCTCGGAGCTGGTGGGCCTCCTGAGCTTGGATAGGGGAGAGCTTCCCCTTGTACAGGGGTCTTCGGTGGAACCGGAGGTGGTGTCTCTCTAGGTGGTGAGGAGCCTGGTTGCTGTTGCGGATAAGCATGGTCTTGGCTCTGCCGCTGTGAGTTATTCTGAAAGTTGCGACTGTTCCGCGGYGATGCTGCGTCCGTATTGCTGTTGAGTCTGGCGGAATGGGAATTATCTGTGGAGGGTCGCGCTGATACGGAATTGGGGCTCTGAAATTCATAACCCTCTCCTTCTACAGTGTACTTCTGGTCTGGAATGCTGGGCCTTTGCTGAGAGTAGTAACCATCTGGGCCGAAATGCTGCACCGGACGGAACGAATCATCTCCAGCGAGTTCCACAGCATCAGGATGGGGAGCGTGTGGCGCTGGGAAACGAGGAATTTCCCAGGGGTTGTGATGTTCACCGATACTCCCTACACCATCAGTACCGGCCGATCTCCTGGCCTCTGCCCGATCATATCGCAGCTTCGCAAAATGAATTTTCGCAATCTTCGTGGATGCACCGGAGCACGAGGCTTGTACCTCGTTCTTCTGCAGGTACATGCGGGTGTTTGTGCTGATTTCGGCCAGGCGGTACCATTCATTCATCTTCAATTCTCCGAGGCCGATTTCGACATTGAGTCGGTAGTAATTATCCGCATTGACGCCGCGGCGCGCAAGATGCTCACGCAACATGTACCTGTGGGATTCTTCGCAGCCTTCCATCTTTGCTGCTAATCGCCGTCGCGCTTCAGCAAAGTCGCCCATGCTGCCGCCGAGAACATCTTCCCACCACTCGTGCCCATGCTTATTACTCGCGGCGCCGGAAGGCCGCTTCCCAGTACCAATGCTAACAAATACGCCGACCTCTCTTCCTGGCCATTCGTTCTGCACTGCCTCGTCGAGGATTTGCGGAGCGGGATTATATCTGCCTGCGCCATCGTCTAGATACACGGACTGGCCGATCTGGATCGGCTTGAACGCCATCTGCGTGGCCGACGTTGCGCGACCAGCTTGCCAGATGGTACAATTCACGTCGGGCGCCGTCTCCTTCCTTGAATCGTACGAGCGAAGCAGCGCGATGACTGGGGTTCCTTTCATAACTGCGGTGACTGCCACCTTGGTCCGATTTTCTCTGGTATCATAGAGCAGGGCATCGGGATCGCCGAGTCTTGAAGTGGCCCACGACACGCCCCTACTCGACGTGTTCTTTCCCATCTGGCTATACTGGCTGCCTTGACTCTGCGACCGCTGCGGTAAAGGGGAGCCAACACTATTCCGCGAGGTCGGTGTCATGGGCGTAGCGTTCGCAAGTGCATCGTTGCCCTCGTCGGCAAATACGGTATGTTCGCGCACACATTGGCGAATTGCTTCTTCCAACATGCTCGCCTTGAACATTGTGCTCCGCAACGGCATGCCAAAGAAGGTCTTATCCGTCTCAAACACCCTCCGCGTCATCCTCACATACACATCTTTGCACGTGTCCAGGTCCAGGCGTAGCCGTCCTAGCATAATCGCAATCAAACCACCCGTTCCCGTGCCTGCTATGAGGTCAAAGTGGTCGCATGGTCGCGGAATTTCATCTCTTTTGGGAGCGCGTCCTTCAATCTCCACAAAAGTGCGGTGCATCAGCTCTTGCAAGATGATCAACATGGAGAAGCCGCGGACGCCGCCTCCATCGAGAGACAAGATCCGCAGCGGCGGGCCCTTGGTGGTATCCTTGCGTCTCACTCTGCTGTCGTCCATGGTGTAGTACTCGGCGGCTTCACAGCCGCGGTCCGTAGGGTTCTTTCAGCGCGGAGCAGTCTATCGTGGGCGGGCGCAGAGAGCGTTGGGGCTGAACAGTTGCGCTGCTCCAAAGGCTGACTGTGTCGGAGTGGGAAACTTGGCCGTGTCGATTCTGCTCCGCCGTCACTTCCAAATTGCCTGGGGTTTGTGTTTGCGATTGAAGACTGCTGTGCTCTGTGCGGTGAATACGACGCGATGATTTGATTCGCGGAATTTGCGATGTCATGCGACGAAGCTGAGCCACTCGAGCGCGTGCAACCACGGATGCCTTGTGAAACTGCAAATGTCTCACAACACGATGACATCGATCCCCGCCCTCAGGCTTCCCGCGACGGCGACGGTCCGCCATCTCCCGCACCTGGGTRCCTTATCTGGTCCCCAGCATTGGGACATCGTCGGCTAGATCGCCGAGAGACGCAAGATTCAAGCAGGAGCATTTTCCAAGGTCGGATAACAGTCTTCTCCAACAGCATTCAAACATTGATCAAGAGCAAATCAATGTTCACCCGATCGGATATGTGCCAACGTAGAGGCCCCCAAATCACGCACTTTGCTTCTTCGGTGCCTTGAGAGATTGCATGGGGAGAGATACTGCGTTGTAACACAAGCCAGAAAAACATCATTGGAGCACCTTGATTGCACCTCGTCGGTTACCGGTGCTGGAAAACGGATTTGCCTGCTGCTGTCAACGGCATTCCAGCCCAGCGTCCGTTGATGAGCAAACAGAGCGTCTCCTCCTTGAAGACTTTGTAGGTACGATCCTCCAACATGGCCTGCTCTCCAGCCCCAAAGCAAGACAAATCCACAAAAGGCCATCCACAATCCACATCCATGTGGTAATGCAATCTGGGCCTTCATCGAGCTCGTGTCCCCACAGGCTATTATTACGATTCCGAAATTCAGCTCCTGGATCCTCCATCCTTCGACGATTCGGCCTATGACATTCACTCGCTTGCCGCCCACCACGTGCCAGCACATCATCGCCGCGGGGATCCTCAATCGCCACGCGGCAGCCATGGAACGTTGCATTGCATTAGTGCATATTTGTTGGTGTTGGTTTTATCACTCATAGTCAAAATGGCTTTCTGCGTAGTCGCAAGGATTCAGGGGTCGCTCGTAGTCTGGATGCTGCGAAGAACAGCTACAGACATCGGCCCTTCCGTCGAGTGGAACGGCGTCTTCAAACATTCCAAGACCTCGGCCTTGCTCTCTGTATGGTTAACGGGTCTGGAGCTGCCAAAACCCTTCCTCCAGCACAGCACAGCAGTGTCTCGTCAATTGGTGGAGAGCAGGCGCCCCTCTAGGTGATCGTTTTTGACATCGTCATGTCTGGTCATTTCTTTGCCTGGACCTGACCATAGTCGTATCGATCAAGACACCATTGCAAATTGTCAGCAAGCATGGGTTGCGGCCGCTCCACTGGTATCAACGACCTGGATGTTCACGAATGTGCAATATGTTCCGCTGCCTATCCAACGCAATATGTGCTCTTACTCCTCAACCACTGACCATATCTCCACAAGAGCACCGGCGCCGCCATACCAAGGGTGAGGGCAATAAATGCCAGAATACTGTTCCCCCAACCCACTCCAAACTTGTCATACATCGTAGGCGCGAAAAGTGGAAAGCTGAAGCCGGCCATGGTACGAACGAAGGCTGCCGCGCCGGTTGCAGATGCTGCGTATGTCTACGACGTTCCATCATCAGCAAAGTGCACCGTGCTCCGCTGCATGATACTCACGGTATAAGTGTCCACAACATAGCCCTGTGCGCAGTTGAAGCAAACAATGAGTCCGATCGATAAGATGCACAAGCCCAAATTTGGTGCAAACCAATGAACGTTCTATTAGGCCCAGTCAGCATAGATCCGGTATGTCCATGTCATTTGAGGCGAAACCCACGTATTCAGCCGTCCATCCATAGAGGAAGAGGCCGATGGGGAGTAGAAGAGAAAATGGCAGCACAAGAGGCAGTCTGTACTCCGGTAGGCCTCTCGTCGGATCAAAATTCGATCTGGTCGACCCTCTTCGACGCACAGAAGCCTCTTCCTGTGGCACTGGCTTCCTTGGTATGGTGTGCTGCGACGAGCGAGGCGAACGATCATCGCTTCCCAACGGCAGAACACGTTGTTGTTCGTTCTCCGCGTCTTCATTACGGTATACTTTCAGGTACTGTCTTGTCTTCTTCAAGGACGATGGATCGACCGCGTGCTCTTTGCACCACTTGTAAATCTAGAGACAAGCTCAGTCATCATGATCATACGGTTTGAGCTCTTGTTTTACCTTGTCCTGCATGCGACCAGATATCTGGAGACCGATTACGAAGCCAATGCCCAATGAGAGATAGTTCAAGCTAGCTCGTCCGACGTCTTGATCATACGATCCCTCGAAGACGCTTAAGCCATGGCTGTCAGTAAGTTTTCGATACCATATCCTAACACGACGGAAGCGTACCGTGGAATTGTGGAGAAGACCAGGTACATGATACCATACTGGAAGCCGCGGAAAAGTGACATGGCTTGGAGTGCCGGCTGTGTGGTGAGCATTATGAAAGGCCGGACAAGACTCTTCATCAGGATTTTCTTCATGGAATGATCAGGGCCTTCCCATTTGGTGTGTAGGTCAGAGTTGCCTGTGCTTTTCCTCAATGCCATGGCCTTCTTCTTGAGGATGGTCGGATGATGCGTCTCTCTCAGAAGGACGAATGAGACAACCTGGACAACTCCGTCGAAGATACTTGTGGTCCAGAAGACCCATCGCCAAGAGATGTATTGAGTCATGTATCCTCCCATGATGGGAGCGAGAGCAGGTGATAGGAAAGGCATCAAAGAGTAGATAGCAGTTGCAAGGCCTCGTTCTCCGGCCCTGAAGCAGTCGCTGAGGATGCCTCCTCCTATCTTCACTTTGTTAGTGCTCACGACTCCTGCTTGTAGATACCTGACTTACTGCCTGGGCCGCACTGCCGCCAATACCTGATAAGAACCTGAATGCCATCATCTGCTCCTTTGTCTTTGCGAATCCGCACACGGTATTGAAGAGAAGGAATATCATATTGGCGCTTTGCATCACCCGAACTCGTCCAAAGACTTCAGACAGCGGACCTGTGTATGATGAGTCTCCACATGGCCCGGCAACGGAAGCATGAACTTACCCCACAGAAATGGTCCAATTGCAAAGGCGAGTAGGAATATCGACATTACCAGAAACTCATCGACGCTCGTTTGAAGATTGAATTCATCGCTGATAGTGCCGAGGGCTGGAGCCACCATCGTGGAGGCCATCGGTGCTATGAATGCATACATGGCTATTATGATAGTCGAGATCCATCTCCGGTGAGCAGGCCAATCTGTAGCTAGTGTCAATACTACTTCCATCGATCTCAGCTTGAAAACGTACTGTGAGGGAAATCTGGATCTTGCTCCTCCCAAGTTACCAAATCAGGGTCTAATATAGGCTCAATGGTTGGCTGCTTCTCCAAGGCGCTTTGATCTGTAGAAGGTAGCCTGGTCGAACAGCCGTACGCTGTGGCCAATGGTCGATCCACAAAAGTTTCCCTTATCGCGTGTGCATTCTGGGCAAGTGCAGGGCGAGTGTACTCTTGAGTGCATACTGGGACGGATGCCATGTTATATCCGGCGTGAAACAGTGTGATCGTTGTCGAGCAGTCATCATCTTCATCACTGTTGTAGACCTCGAGCTGGCTTTGTCGAAATGTTTCGGCGTCCTCTACAGCGTCAAGTTCTTGCTCCCGGGCCAGACCCGAACCAAAGTCGTCATCGTCCCGAGAGCTTCGAGACGCGACCAAGGATTCACGGCATTGGAGACTTTCGCGGTCCTCGTGGTACAGTGTCATAGTTGGAGCGCGGTGTACCATCATAAACACGGAGAGATGTATCAAAAATGCTGCTTCCGCATCTTCTGCGGGCGGGTAGATGAATATAACATCACCGTCACGCAGGCAAACATTGGCCTGATCAGCTCAAGCTGAAGCAGTAAACTAGCACTTGGCATCCATCCAGAAGAGTGACGATTGGTATAGCCAGCCATGCCGCAGTTGGACGCATTTCGTTATTTTTACACACATGCAGTGGCGCAGTGTGATGCAAAAGAAAGGGACGCGGTTTGGATATGGTCACTTCGCAACCGGCTCTGTAGCACTGTAGAGCCAGCCAAGGAATGATACACTGCGCCTCCACGGTGATGTTGACCTAATCAGCCTCATTGCTCGGCGTCCAAGGACCAAGATGGATGCTTCGGAGTGGCCACCAGACTCTGACCGCTACCACAAACCGTTGTAGCGATCAGTGTAGCACAGTTTAGCTTCCATGGCGCCTTGGAGTGTGCTCTCACAAGGCAATGTAGCGGTCAAAATACTCGCCTAGCCTATGATTTTCAAAAGAGGCGCTCGCCCAAGCAGCATTCACCTTAGCAATCCTTTGAAGACCGGGCAATCTCGTTCCTCATACATCAAAAGCCGAGACCGTCTGTTGAGTGCTGTTGTCCACGATTTGCGTAAACCGACAGAGCCAAGGGGAAAGACGCGGGGAGCCAAGAAAGCCTGCATGTGACGCTTGGTAACTTTCGAGATCCTTGGCGGGGAGACTCACTGGTGTTTCCGCCGCTATTATCTGCGACTTCATTGGTGTCCAGAATTTTGACTCAGGGTCATCGCACTGTTCCTATGCTCGAAGACACGTCAGAATCGTCAGTGGTACCTTTTAGCCCGTGATAATCATTGAGATCTTTCATTGATCTCCTTTTAAACTTGCACTAAAGGGCTTGTGTAGTGCCATTTTCGTCCATTTCCAAGCCAGCAAGCATATTGAGGCAGGGAATCTGGAAGMCACAGCACCGTATTTCAACACCTACGTCGGGGGCGAAGCACCTACTCGCGTGCCTCACCTCCCGTTTTGCAACGAGAATAGGCTCTCAGCTGAGGTGCGATGCTATTTCGATCAAGTCCTGATAACCCAGACACACAATGGCTATGCGTTTGATTGAGATGGGGTACCGGTGCACGTTGAGACGCAGTTGTGCTGCGCAATGCCCGCGAGAATAAACGGTCGAGCCCATTCGTGCTGGATCTCGCTTAGCTCATGATGCGGATTGTTCTGAGACCTTTAATCATATAAGGATGACCAGAGCTCACCACGAGCATCTGTCTCACCAGCATCAGCATCTCTTTTCCCAATCATAGCTTCTAGTCGCCACAGTACAGTTCGCCTCACCCGCCCCGCAGCTTTCAGAGCAGTTCGAGTAATCCTCGCCATGGGATTTGGCACCAACGTGACCGAGCAACTCATTGGCACTATGAGCAAGCAACAGGGTAAGCAATGTCGTCGGTCGTATTCGTCAACTCAAGTAAGGCATCTGACTTTGTTCGACTGAAGGTCCCCGCGTTCTAGTGTGTCCGTCAGGGTTCAAGGAGAGCTTAAATCCGGTGGCAGTCGCTGACTGCATTGAGGCGGGCATTCTCCGCGCCTTGCCAGAAGCCATCATAACCAAGTGTCCCCTGGTAGACGGGGGCGAGGGCTTCACAAAGTCCATCGTTGGGGCGACGGCGGGCGGTGAAGTGCACCATCTCGATGTTGTCGGTCCTGTTCGTCGGCCGGTCTGGTCACATTTCGGGATTCTGGGCCCTACGACTACAAGGACAGCGATCATCGAGATGGCAGCAGCAGCAGGCCTCAGTCTGGTCCCCAACGACCAGAGAAACCCAATGCACACCACGTCGTTTGGCGTTGGACAACTCATCAAGGCCGCACTCGACAGCGGTGTCACCGGCATTTTGCTGGGCTGCGGAGACTCCGGAACGTGTGATGGAGGCTTGGGCATGGTGCAGGCTCTTGGTGGGCGCTTTTACACGACTGCTGGAGATGAGATTCCCCCAGCGATGGGAGGCGTGTCGTTGGAAAATCTAGCGGCAGCAGACCTATCCGGCCTTCATCCCCGACTGAAGGAGGTCAAAATAGACGTCGCCTGCAACTGGTACAACGTTCTTTGTGGCCCACAGGGCGTGGCTCGGGTCTTCGGTCCGCAAAAAGGAGCCACGCCCGCCGAAGTTGAACGCCTGGGAGAAGCCATGGACCGGGTGGCAGCAGTCGTGGGCTCGGCACTGGGCAAGGACATCTCCACCGCACCCGGCAGCGGAGCCTCGGGCGGCATGGGAGCGGGCCTGATGCTCATCGGAGCGGAACTGCATCCGCGCTTTGATGTGATTGGGGAGTTTCTCAACATCAGCACGCTCGTCCAGCAGACCGACATTTGCTTCACGGCCGAGGGAGGCATCGACGAGCAAACCCCGCGAGGCAAGATTCCCGCGCACGTTGCGCGGCTCGCAAAAGAAAGCGGCGTCCCGGTGATAGCTCTGGCGGGAACCGTGGGGGCAGGAGCGCGCACGAATTACGAGGCGGGCATTGATGCATACGCCAGCATTCTTCAAGGTCCCTCGACGCTGCAAATGGCGATACAAGATGCCGAAAGACTCCTCACCGACGCGGCCGAGAGCGCGATGAGGATGGTCATGGTAGGAAGGGCGCTTCAGCGGGTGCTGGGTCCCGCTGTGTTGCCGGGAGGCGCCGGTGCAGACGTCCAAAAGGTCATGCGCCGGACCAGGAGTGCAATCGCAGAGTCGTCATGGAGCCTACCTGAATGTCTTTTGGAGACGGTGGATCGGAATGTCTATTAGTCACCGTTGATGGTACAGTATACATACAGGCGTGGATAGTAATAATAGTAATACAATCGATAGCTACCTGAAAGTCGTTCACGGAAGTCTTGTCTTGGCAGCAAGGTTGTCCGGAGCCAATGCCGTCAAATTGAAGTTTGCCGCTCCGCTCCTGCGATATAGGTACCTTAGAGACGTATGTATTTCTTTCAACACCGACGATATGACTAGGAGGAAGACATCCTTCGGTGGATGAAGCTCTCCGTAAGCATGCTTGCTCTTGTGAGCGTGACAACCCATTCTTGAGCGTGAGCGTCGATTAACTGCCAGCAGAGGCGGCAATCTTCAATTTCACCGGCCCTTGTTCCCCGTTCAAAAGGTTGATGCCCCGCAGTGGATCGACGTCAGCGGGCAAGCGGGCAATCGCAAAGTGAAGGGAGGGAGGAAGGAAGGAAGGAACATATACAAGCTCCGTCCATCCCTTCAGCCGTCTTTGGAACTCTTCGGCCTAAGTCACCATGAAGATTGAAAAGATCTACTGCTATCCCATAAAGGCCCTCCGAGCCGTGGAGCTAGAATCGGTAGAAGTCACAAAACATGGCTTCCCGTTCGACAGACGCTACATGCTCCTCCACGTCTCCAAAGAGAAAGACGGCTCGACCAAGAACATCAACATTCATGTGGCCCATTATCCACAGAGTGTACTGTTCTTCCCAAGCATAGACGAGGCCGCAGGCTTGTTGACGATCACGTACAAACCAGGCCAGGACTCCTTGGGCGAGCACAAGACCATTGATATTCCCTTGAAACCGTACACCGGTGACCTGGAAACTGTGGATGTAGTAATGCACAAATCTCCTACGAAAGCCTACAAAATGGGGAAACAATACAACGACTGGTTCTCTTCTTGCTATGGAATTGACGTCGTTCTTGTACACCTTGGCGAACATCTCCGCCCCGTGCGAATGTCATCTCCTCAATCACAATCACAATCGCACTCCGACACCACCCATAAGAATGGCAACGGCTCTAGCTGGCTATCCAACATCACCAACACAGCTGCTTCCCTCCTGCCATCAGCAATAGTCGGAACAAACTCCTCGCCAGAGGCAGAAATCACATTCGCGGACTGTGCACCCTACCTCATCGCCTCGCAAACGTCCGTCGAAGACATCCATCCTCGTCTTCAAGGCGAACAAATGGACATTTCGAAATTTCGCCCCAATATCATCGTCTCGGGTGCTGAGAAACCATGGGACGAGGACTATTGGGGTGAGCTCACCATTGCGGGAAATACAAAAGTGGATTGCGTGCATAATTGTGGGCGTTGCAAATCCGTCAATATCTCATATGAGACGGGAGCACCAGGAACGGGTGCGCAGGGCGAAGTTCTGAAGGTTCTGCAGAAAGATCGAAGAGTCGATCCTGGGATGAAGTACAATCCCATCTTTGGTCGATATAGCTTCTTACAGGAGGCATCGGAGGGTCATGTTGTGAAAGTTGGAGATGCAGTAGAAGTTAGCAAGAGAAATCAGGACRGAACCGTCTTCGGTAAGCTCGTGTCTACAAGTTTTGAGAGAGCGCGGGTGCTGACAAGATTCCAACAGATTGGGAGGGTCTCTCTACCGCTTAGCTGCAGAAGGCCTGTGATCAATCTCGTGGGGGTCGAATCTTGTTCTCTGCAACAGCAGTTGAAAGAAGAGATGTCGATAAAAGTGTCTCCTTTTGACAGCCATGACGAAGCGCCAGCAGACAAAGGTCCATCGTTCTTCCAAGATGCGATGCTTTAGCGGAGTATCTTCTTGCAATCCCGTCCATGTCCCATCTTTACTCGTGGCTACACTCGTTGCGTAGTGCCGTTAGCGCAGACAACAATGGGGAATCAATCCGTCATGCGGCTCGTCGCGGCTTTCATTGAACGCACGTTCGTGCCTTCCTGCAAAGAAAAGAGCTGAGGCTGCCGCAGAGTCGACGGGGCCATGGAGCGACCGCATGACAGACGTAGCATATTCCACTCAGCGACATTCTCTTGTATTCGATCAATCGGCCGCAGTTCATGACCACATCAACGGACTGGTTTTTCTGATCACGGCGTTCGATGGCCCAATGACTACCGCAGCGTGGTCGGATGCGAAATGCTTAAACTCGACAAGTCAGCACATGTGCAACGCTGACTCCAGCCAGATTCCACGCACCTCATGACAAGCATCTCGCCTGGATCTTCACGTGTCCTCCGAATTTCTTCCAAGGAGGGGAATAGGCACTTTCCTGTGCAATGCGTCTCGTAGCGTTGCGTGGGCACAGGTTTGCCACCCCGCTCAAGCCAAGCAGTCTGCGTCACGTCATCTGTCGACGGCAACCATTAGCACTACTGGCATTCATCCTCTTTGATATCAACAAGTGCYCACCCTCTGACCAAGAGATTATCTGTGCCTGCAGACTCGACCACTCATATGTAGCTAGCTTCTGAATATCATCTGCCGTTTCGTGACTGGATGAAAGTTTTAGCCCTTGCGTTTCAATTTCTTTGGTGGGGCCTTCTTCTCTCACAGTTGCTTGTACGGCTCCGCCGTTGGTGGTTGCAGCGGGGTTGTCCGATGTACGTCTCATGTATTGACTTGAATTGGGGAGCTGTGGCCCGGCGTGCCATATCCCTTCTTGTCGCGGGTTGCGCGAAAGCAGAGTGAACGCCGATTGGCGAATTGAGGGGTTACGACAGCGTGAGATGGCCATCCAGAGGGGATCTGTCACCCATAGAGAGAAAGACAGGTAGGGCGTTCCGGAGTTTGGACCAGAGAGAGTTGGAAGAGGAGGGCATGAAAAGGATGCGAGGACCTCTCTAGCCAAATCGACAATCGCCCTAAACTCAGACTCGTAGGCATCGTACGCCACGGGACCGGCAGATTGGTCCACAGACGATAGCATGGTGCCGACGAGGTGATTTGCCTTCAACACCATCGCTCGTTTCAGATCCATATTCGACATGAAATCGCGCTGGTCCGAGAGATATGTTGTAAAGGCAGCTTCCCACTGAGTGAACCATGGCGCATATCGGAGGTACTTTTCGGCCATGGTGACGGCGATATGATCGCGAGGTGCGGTCGGATGGAAGCCTTGCATGAAACGCATGACGCTGTTKAGTGCAGTGTGGAGTGTGTTGTGCGCATGCTCAAGACTGTAGATGTAGTCGACCTGTGGGAGCAACGGTGTCTGGCCGGAGGTATCAATCTCCGGGCGTCTTCCCTTGTCGAGCAGCGCCGTGGCCTGCACTTCCAAACGTTCGACCAACGGACGCATCTGCTCGATGTCATCGTCGTCAGGCGGTGACATGCTGGTGATGTTTGCACGGCCTGTAGACTGTAGCAAGCGTCTCCCCTGCAGAGCATGGTTCACGGCGCTATCGCAACGGCCTTGCATGGCTTCGAAGCAGGTGAACAGGACACACGTAGTAAGAGCCAGTCTCGAACTTGGTATTCGGCGCCTATTCGGATCGTAGCCACTGGCCGCATCATTGGTAAGACAGGCAATGGCTTTGTTACACTGGCTGAGAGCGAACTCCATGGCCTTGGACTTCTGCTTATCGTCGGCAAACGCACGTTGCATGATGCACTCATGTAGCGCCCCGATGGCAGTGATTGCGTGTCGGATGGCGGGCTCATGGTATGAAGTTTGTATCACCATGCGTTGCCAGAAGGCGGAGTCGAAAAATCCTGCCATTTGTGGTGCGCTGAAATTGACAAAGAAGTTCAGACAGTGTCGTTCTCGCCAGCTCCGWCGCCATTTGAGGTCTGGTCGGAAAGTCGTGAGGCTGGCTTGCGTGAAGAATCCAATGTCGTCGTCGTTGAACCGGCCCCCGTCGTTCAAGGCCCAGTCATCGGACAGCACACGCTTGCAGCCTGGATTGCTTGGGTCACATCGGATGCCCTTGATGCTGAACATTTCGGTTAGGATGGCCTCGCTATGACACATGTACACGATTTGACCTACAGGCATGGAATGCAGCCAGTCTGCATCTTCGTCCGAGGTATTTCCTCCACATCATCCTCTCCCGCCAGCGTCGTCGACGAGCCATTCGAAGAGAATGTAGTTGGAACGCCTAATTCTGGCGTGACACTGGAGTCCAAAGCATGATCCGTCCAAACGGTCGGGTCACCATGCTCTTGTACCGGCGTAGCAGCCCGCTCCTCCCAGGTGCGTTTCCGACTGGACCCATTGCTGCTGGACGTCGGCGGCGGGGTCGTCCGCCATTCCAGATCAATTCCCGTATACCAACTGCTCTCCGACCCGCCGTTCTTGTCGCTCATCTCACGCCCAATCATGCCCAAGCTTTTGTGGATGTTTCTGAGATCAATTTGGCATGACCTTCGCGCAGTAGCCTAGGTTCACCGGTCTCGATCTCGGCGAGCTTGAATAAGGTTGAAGTGAGGATGAGAGGCGGTCTCGTCGGCGGTCTCCCGGGCGCTGTGCAGAGACCTTGTATGCTAAGGGCCGGAACCAGAACGGAGAGCTCCGCCCTGTAGTCAATGTGCTATCCTTGTACCAACAGCAGAACCAACACTCGAAGCTGTTGGTGTGATCTAATCCGAGATGGAGCTAGGGAAGAGGAGCTTAAAAGTAAATCGCACAGACAAGTTCGGGGGCCGTTGCGAATCTCGAGTAGTTCGGATGCTTGTGTGGATGTTTAGGAGTATAGATGGGTGGTAATGTCACTAATGTGTTCATCATGGCTGATAAATCCGCAGATTGGCTCGATGGCCGATTGTTAAGCTACGTGAATGGAGCCCTCGCCAGGACTTCCTCGCCAGGCGGATTCGATCGTCTCTACTAACTACCCTGCCAGACCTGCATACGACGCCTCGAAGGATTCGCCCGTTCAGACCATGCACACGCTGCTTTCTGGCCCCCAATGAACTCAATCGGGACCACCAGACCACCATATCCGAGTGGGGTTGGTATTTGTCGCCGGTGACTGGTACGTTACCGACGTAATTGCCGACACCACTAATCTAGGTACCTTGGGATCTCGCAATGCCAAGAGCAATGCCGATAGCCAAATACATGCCTAGTGAGGCCTCTGACTGGCTTCAAAGCGTCGGGCCGTCTTTGACCGGTAAGGTATTGCAGGATTCGGTGATGTTGGCAGCATAACTTTTGAGCAATCATTGCCAACACTGCTCCATCTTCTCTTTCGGGCAACGTTGCCAACAACACACCTACATCCTACATCCGAGCACTCTAAAAACGGCTCCAAGATTCCTCCGGGGGCGGATATGTCCGAGTTGGTTTGGCTCTGTCAATCCTTCTCCGAGGTCTGCGGCGGTGGGTCCGGCTCAAGTCCACACACTGTTGGTGTCCCTGTGGCTGTGGCTGATGTGTGGATGTTAATGGAGAATCAATGTCTCCATCATCGACTCAGACTCTCAGAGTACCTAATGTCCAGAACACGCGCTGATGCAACGAAGCTCTGCATCGCGGGGACTGGCAATGCGACCTTGCCAAACCCGTTTATTGAAGCGAGCTGCATCGCCGTTCTTTTGCCCATCCCGTGTACATCGTAGACACTTTGCTGCCGAGTCGTCGACTCAAAACATTGGAGTGCTGGGGGCGGGGATCACCGGATTGGCCGCTGCATACTACATCACCCGCAACAATCCCCAGGCCAAGGTCACCCTCTATGAGGCGTCGGACCGCGTCGGCGGTTGGCTGTCGTCGAAGCGCGTCGATGTTCACGATGGCTCCATTCTGTTCGAAGCTGGTCCGCGGACCCTCCGTCCTCAGGGCAATGGAGTGTTGACAGCACGATTGGTACAGCGCTACTTGCAACGCCTCATCGTTCACGACCGCTGATGGACGATAGATGCAAGATCTCGACTTGGCAAAGGATGCCATCTTCACTCAACGGACGTCGCCTGCCGCTCGCAATCGCTATGTCTATTACCCTGACCACCTCGTGCGAATGCCGCATCCGCATTATGGAATATCGGACAATCTTTSGAGTCTCCTCACCGAGCCCGTCTTCAAGACGGTACTGTGGAGTGGCATGAGGGAGTTGTGGAAGGAACCACGCGATGCGAGTGTGCAGGATGAAAGCGTTGGGGACTTCATCTCACGTAGATTCAGCAAGGAGGTCGTGAACCGTCTACTGAGTGCTGTAATCCACGGCATCTATGCTGGCGACGTCTGGCAACTATCCGCAAAGAGCTTGTTTCCGACGTTGTGGAGGGACGAGGGCGAGCATGACAGCGTGGTCCACGGCATGATCAAATCTCGGAGTGAGGGTGTGCAAATCAGCAGGCGGGAGATGGACTTCCTCGAGGATATGAAGAACTTTGCTTGGGATCCGCTCTTGAAGGCTACCTTGAAAGACAACTCCGTCTTCACATTCAAAGAAGGCCTAGGCATGCTGTCCGAGAGGCTCCATGCGAGACTCTTCGAAACTGGCCAGGTTGAATTCAAGACTGGCACACCTGTTGCATCTGTTACACCTGCCGAGGGTAACGATGGTGTCGACGTGACAGCTCTCGGATCAAAGGAACCGGCGAGGCACACGCATGTCATCTCTGCCCTCTCACCGGAGCACCTGAACCAGGTGTGTCGCGCGGGAAGCACGAGCCCTCCCTTGATTGAGAGCATCCCGACAGTTACCGTGATGACTGTCAACTTGTACTTTCGAACACCGGACCTCCACGAGCCTGGATTTGGCTACCTAATACCGCAGGCCACACCATTCGAAAACAACCCAGAACGCGCGCTGGGAGTGGTGTTTGATACCGCTTACGCACCATCCCCATCTCACGTGGAGCAAATCGGCAATCAGGTCGAAATTGATGGGCTTCAGAAAGCTCGCGAATTGGGACAGATGATCAATGTCAACAACTTTGCGTGGTACAACATGCCCGAAAGACCCAACCTCCAAGACCACGTCAAGGCAAGAGGCACGAAGGTCACAGTCATGCTTGGTGGGCACTGGTGGAACGGATGGCCTTCGTTCCCAGACGAGCAGGAAGGTGTGGCTATGGCATGCTCGGTGCTGAAACGACACCTAGGAATCAAAGAGGAGCCGGAAGCTTGGCAAGTTAATCTGGAGAAGGATTGCATCCCCCAGTACACGGTCGGTCACGAACAACGCCTGAAACAGGCTCACAACACCATCTCCCGTGAGTACAAAGGCAGATTACGAGTCGCAGGCAATTGGATGTCTGGTGTCGGCGTCAACGACTGTCTGCGCAGCGCGTATGAGGCGGCCAAGAATTTGTCGAGGAACGACGCAACAGGTCTTGAGCATGTCGGTGAAGCCACCAACCTTCGATTGAAGCCGCCCGCGCCTGGGCAGAAGCCCAACGACAAAGAATGAGCTGCGACATGTACATGTAGACACAATGCAGGTATCGTTCATCACTAGAGCTTGTGTACAAGAGCTAAAGTACGGTTGCCTCACGCCTCGCAGTGCAACTCGTTGCAAGAGGACCGCCCTTTGGGTGTTGCTCTCGACTRAGCAGGCCGAGGATCTTGCTAGGCTGTAGTGATTTTGAGCTGCGCACCCCCTCTGAAGCGTCGAGATGCTGTACATATACTTCACATTCGTCATACCGTATACGGCGTCTTGACCGCAACGAAGCTTGCTGAATGATGCTGGTATTCGAGATTGCAAGGTAGCCAGTCAAGTTTCGCGAAATGAAGCGGCGAGAAGGGACCTCTGATGCGGGGAGACGCGGTAAGTGAATCAAAGTTCTGCAGTGCTCGTGCTTGTTTCACTTGCACTTGCTTCATCTTCATTCAAGTCTCAACTTCCTTGAAATCGAGCTCACTTTCGCTGCATCAGCACTTGGCAAGAGGTTCAGATCCGACTCTCGGGCCAAGACACATGTCATACGTCGCCCAACGTCTGACTCGTTGCACCGCGGTCGGTGCGGCCTTGATCCTGGACAGTCGACAAACATTCACGAAGACATCCCAGTTTCCCACCAATGGGAACTGCAAATAATTCACGAGGCTGAATCACTGCGACCCGATCACCTCACAACCTCCAGCGACGCCTTCCACTCTCACCCCGCGCGTTACGCTCCGTGCCAAAGATCTGGTCTGCGGTGACGTGCCATCTCTTCAGATCACACTCCGGGACGAAACTCGGACGTAGATCTGACCAGGATTGACCCTACACAATCTCGACCTCAGACTACCCAACTCCCGCCACTGAATTTAATTGAAGACGTATCAAGGGCCGTTTCAAACCCAGCACTCGCGCCAACCACAATTTCAATCTATTTCGACTGGAACAGAATCGCGCGGTCTCTATATCTCATCAGCCATGCCCTCCCGCCGCGGAACGCATGGTGCGCCATCTCTCCATCGATCAACGCGGTCTTGGACAGATCACGACGGTAATCACTTTACCATCAACAGCTCCTCGAGTGGCACTGGATTGTCATTCGAAGCCATGACTGGCACTTCAGGCGACCCGTTTGCGAGGACCATGCCCGCACCCGCTGCACCCCGGCGGGCTTCCATGTTCTCAAATGCCTTTTCTATGGTGGAGGATATGATTGCCCTACAGCAGCAACAGCGTGCGGCTTTTGAGAGTGGCGCACAACTTCGCCAATCCAGGACGCACGGCTTCCCTGTCGACGGCGGCAGCGAGACGGAGGGTGAGGATGATGGCCTTGCTTATGGTCAGCACGACGGCCGCAGGAAGTCTGTCCTCTCTAGGATCAAGGAGAGATTGCTCGATGGGAAGAAAAGTCCGAGGAAAGATGACGGCTCGAGCAGCAGTCGCGAGGAGTCACCCGCTCCGAGTCCCAAAATAGGTCGAAGGGCGAGTGCATATGGACCTGATCCCGCGGATCCAGTATGGTCACAGCAGCGGTCTCGRCCATCTCCTTTCCACATTGTAGTAGAACACGACGACGAGGATTCCGAAGAGCCAGGCTCATATGAGCTACCCAGGAAAGCACCGAGTCCCAAGAGGAACAACAAGCTCCAGGCGCTTATTGACGCCGTCGATAACGAGCGACAGGCTTTGCGGGCCTGTAAGAAGAAGCTAGAAAAAGCGTCGCGGCAATCCAATGTTACATCCGCTGTTCTGCAGCAGGTGATTGACGAAATGAAACTCCACGAGCGGTCCTTGGCAGATGCGACCAATCGTTTCAACATGGCCAGGCTGGAGCAGAGAGGAAGTCGGGCGCCGGGAGCCCGAGCACCACCACGGCCACGGCCGCAGACATACCATCCCCGACGTTCCCAGTGGGGACCTCACGCGCCAGCCATGGACGACCACTACTTTCCTACATTTCCGGGGTTCGAGACCGAGCCTCTCCCCTCTCACAGCCAACATAGGCATGCCAAGTTTGGCGCCCATGAACACCCTGATCCTTACGACCAGCTTCCAAGACCACAAAGCTTTGCGGACTTTGCAAATTTCTTCCAGCATGTGCCGCATCCGATGGCGGATGACGCTCGTTTCCACCTGTTCGACGTGCCGGAGATGAACCCGCGAAATTCCCAGCAAAACAGGACGCGGTACAGTCATATTCCACCCCCCTCCCATCGTCAGAGCCATCAGTTCCGAGCTTTTACTCCACCACCTACCCCGCCCTCTCCAGAGCCACCGTCGTCTCTTTTGGTCCCTGCCGAAGCTCAGAGGCTCTTCCAATCGTACAACAGTCGGTGGAAGGCCCTGCTCCCAACAGACCCTGCCATCCCATATCCAGCCCGCGGCTTACAAGCGTCCTCGCTGAGCGCTCGGGATTCGCTCTGGGCACCACGTATCAGGACCGACGTATCGAAATGGAATGAGGAAACGATCATGCAAGCCAACGCTCAGGCTTTCTACTTGGGCGTGGTGGGGTTGAAGCCAGAGTACTCCGAGACAGCAGGTAACGGACAGATTGAGTGTGGTTTCCAGAAGAGTTCGGCTAGTCCTGAACAGATCAAGCAGTTGGTGGAAATGTTGAAGAAAGAAAAGCCCAGATGGCATTCTGACCGGCTGGGGCGACGTAATGGAGGAGTGATGGGTGGAATGCTGAATGAAACACTACAGAAGGATGTCAGAGCCAGGGCTGTTTTTCATGCTGTTTGCGAGTTGATGGATCGGGCGCAGGAGTAAAGGATGGGTGGGCGCAGCGTACATCAAGTTCGGTACGGCATTCGGAGTAACGGATTATTGAAGTGAAGCAAGCGCTGCTTAGGGCATTTCGGAGGTGTGAATACTGGACAATGGGTACAGCAGGCCATCTATCAAGAGACTGCATTGGTGTAAAAGAGTATTCAAGCAGCGGTTGGAGATGAGATTTTTCGGTCAAGGTATCTCTCAGGTCGTGATATCGTCTCTATGAATCTGGTATCTCAACATGACGGTCTATATCTATCATCGTAGCTTCGAATGTGCGCTTATATCGTTCATGCAAGACACCAGAAAGCAATGGCAATAACAAAGAACGATGACCCTGCGAAACGTGCGWCTTGAGAGGCACTGCCCTTGGGAACATTGCCCGTGGCCGCTTGGCCAAGATACCAGGCGCCTATATCAGTCAGCTCGCCCTTTTGCGTGAGCATAGCCGCATCGGGCCCGACATTAGACACATCTGATCGGAAGGCGCCAAAGTACGAATACTTGTCGACATATCTGCGTGATAAATCAGTAAGTAAGTGGTAGCATACCAAGCTGGACAGAGACTCACTCGTGCYGATCGAGAAAGGCAATCGACTGATTGAAATTCATCTGGGCATCCTCAAGATCTTCCGGATCGGGCTGCGCCCATTCCGTTACCCAGAAGGATGTCATGTTTGGATATGTTGCGTTGACTTGCCCAATATGATCCGCCAGCCCTTGGAATGCTCCATAGTAGTGTATAGGGAGGAAGTCGGGATGGCATTGTCCCGCACAGGCGGTAAAGAAGTTTTGTAGCCAGTTGAACCCATCTGGAGCGCTTGTGACGGCAGGACCTCCAAGCGAGACGCCATGTTCCCGCAAAGGTTCCATTTGCGCAATCCAAATTTCCGCAGCTGTTGTGGCGTCCAAGCAACTTGCACCATACACGCCAGAGCACCCGTCAGGCTCGTTGAAGCCCAGGACCCATGTAATGTTTAATCCGTCGTCTATCATCTTCTTGACTGTGGTGTAGAAGTTCTCGCTACCGCCGGAACCCCATAGCATTGGAACAAATTGGAGGTTCTTGTTGAGGTCGGAGCTGGGGTTTGGAGCCCAGTTGTAGTACCAGGTGAGGTCCGAGTCGCTGGAGTCAAAGAGTCTGTTATCGCTTGCTTGGATATCGTCACCGACATGTGCGAGGCCGCGCTTTGGACTTGTTGTTGCTTGCTGGGCTGTGGCCAGAGGRACAGCCAGCAAGGCTGTAATCGTGGTGAAGGATCGCATGGTCGTAAAAGAAGTATTTCGCAGTCGTCGTAAATGGTGGATATCGTATAARCTGTCTACAGTGCGGTCGTCGTATCAATTAGAATGCGCAATCCTTGCTCTTTCGCCTGCTTCCGGCTCTTTTCACGATTGATGATGCTTATGAATGTATACGAAGAAGCGAAAGAGGATGAAAGAGAGGAAACCACTTGCCTCTACGAACGCGTATGCCCGAGCGTATGCTAAGAACTCTCCAAGAGGCTACAGATTGTACTGGCGTGAGTGAAAGTCTCGCAAAAGGCTTCTTCATCACCACGGCTGCTCAGGTTCCGGCTTAGAGGAAAAACAGCTCGCCCAAAGGGGATAGGGGCTGATCAATTTGGGGGACTAGCAAGGTTAGTGCAGCTTTTTCGGTGGTAACGGTTGTTTGGTGCATGATCCTCAGAGTATTGTTAGACATGTTGTGGCGTGTCTGCGGATGTGCTTCCGGGCTTGTTGGAGCTTTCACACATGGAAGTTGCTACTGCTGCAAGCACTGAAGCATGTGGTGACAAGTAAAGTGTGGTGAAGAAGGAGAGTGGAGTATCCACTGACGTTGTTCGAATTTTGTGATCCCCACTCCAGTGCTACCTTCTTATCTCATGGTTCTTGTTTCAGGTTTCAAGGACGCCAAGCTACCAACCTCACGTCGGTAAACAGACAGGCGACTTGGACGTTCGTCTCAGCGGGATGCAATCCAGACGGTCGTTACAAAGCGCATGGTGAGGACGGCCGGATGACATATTTAAGCGATGGCTACAAAGTCCACCACGCCGTGTCCTTTGCCATCCTTTTCGAAGCAGAAACCCGCGAGAATGAACCCAGCGAGGCGGAAAGCAGCAAAAGCGAAAGAAGCCGCGAATGAACCCCAGCCAGTGAAAGTTGAATGCTCTGCTGCTCAAGCTCTCAGCACCGACTCAGACACTACCAAGGCCGTCTCGTCACAGACCAGAGTCCGTCAGACTGCGGAGTCGAGGGGAAGTGGCAATCCAAAGGCGGCAGCAGCGTCTGAGAAAAAGATCCAATCCAAGCGTACATTTCAGACCCAGTCACACAAAGCCGGTACATGCCACACAGAGAGGAGCTCGTTGAGCAATCCGGCTTTCGTCACAGGTGGTCTGATGGGGTGCGTGGCTGGCGGTGCGATTCTTCTCGGAGCTGGACTATGCAGTCGCGTTGTGGGTGTTGAATCCGCAGTTCATGCCGCCCAAACGTCAAAGGCGGTCGTAGACAACCTGATTGACGATACTGTGATTGGCCTGAAGGCTGGAATTTTTAATGCGCCTGAAGCAATCGACCTGCTTCGAAGGACATCACTGGCATACGCCAGTGCACTCCCCGGGGGTATAGCCTTTGTGGAACACTTATTCCGTGAAGTTGATGTCGTTCGCAGGCAGCGTGGAGAAGAGATTGACCGAGTTCTGGCTGATGCTTGWGGTCAGCTCGCAGACGCTCGCAAGAGGAGAGCAAGCACCATTGAAATGCATGCGACTGTACTGAAACAGATGGCTAGGCTTTCTGATGTTGCCGGCAGCGCAACTCAGGATATGGTTGCTCGCAATCCAGCTTTGAATAGCATTTCGACGGGAGTAAAACGAAAAGTGCCTACGATCAAGCTCAACATGGCCGTCCGGCAAAAGGGCGCAGCCACTGCAGCATCGCACAACCCTCTTCCTTAGCGTGTGGGGACTTGTGTGACGTCTTATCACCGTCTACACCTGACGTGCATTTGCCATCTACAAGACAGCCCGACTGGCGGCGACGAATTGATCCAGTCATGTTTGGTACTGGAATGTAGTTCGACYCTTTACTAAAAGCCAAGAGTGGCTTCCAGAGTCATGAGATAGCGGATGGAATACTCATGCTTGGTGCGTGAAAGGGCCATAGCATTTTAGGCCCGTGCTGTGTAGAATACCTCCCCTTTCATCATTATTCTAGCCGTACGATGAAGTAAAGCACTCTTGATCTCGCCATTCTCGARGACACTTCCTACTTCAATCTTACCACTGGCGTGTGCAATGGTCAAGGAGTCCCTCCCATTGGCATTGAGAGCAGTCAAATTCGGAATCGTTCCTGGAATTCGACAAGCAGCGCCTAGTGAAATTTGTAAATTTGATCTGTACTTGAGTGAATGCCTGAACTGACCTAAATTCAGCGCTAGAGTCAAAGGCACTGCTTTATGCGGCTGCTGCATGGACAGTGCTCGACACACAATGTGCGTTCCCTGCTTTGCTGCATCCTTGTCAGGCTTGGAGACAATAACAATCTTTGGGATACTCTGTGTGTTGGGTTCGAGTCCCATCATGCTTGCGCCTTTCCGCCTAATCATTTCCAAACGGGCCATGGTATCAGTCATAGAATCAAGAGACGAAGGCATGATATCACCTGGAATGTCCAAGTCTGTAGCTCGCACAAAGACTCCCGGATTAGCTACATCAACCAAACTCGCTTGAATACACTCTCCGTTCTCCAGCTCCAGATCATCTATCGGATTGCCTGTAGGAAGAGTCTTGCCTGTCTTTGCTCCCGCGGGATCCAAAAAAGACATGGTGATGCGGCTTCCGAAGCCAGGAACGCCATCGATACTGTACTCGCCGAACGCATCGTATAAGCCGTCCTTCGTTACGCTAAACGTTGCATGGATGRTCTTGGAGGTGTTGGTGTTGAACAGACGGACAGTGATCGTTCGGTGTCCCGTACTATCCTCCATTTCGTGAATGTTATGCAGGAGTTCCTCGTGGAGGCCAAACGGACCGACGGCAGATGACATGTTACCACAGTTTCCGGCCATGTCGAGAGAGCCATCCTTGATGCCCACTTGCACAAACGTATAGTCAAGATCAGCTTCAATCCGACTGGATTTCTCAACGATGCAGATCTTGCTTGTTGATGAAAGGCCAGAGCCCATGCCGTCCAGCTGCCGATTGTATGAGTCCGGAGACCCCATTGCGGCCGATAGAATGGGCCGCCAGGCTGATACATCTTCCGGTAGATCTCGACGATGTATCAATAACCCATTCGACGTGCCGCCTACTCAGTGGTGCAGATGTTGTAAGTCACTCAAGGCTTACATTACACACTTGTGCTGAGAACTGCATTCGACTTACCTCTGACAAAGCAGGCTGGAAAGCTCGCGACAGTCATATTCGAGACTCGAAAAGAAGATGATGAGCTATATGCTCTGGATGACGAGCATTGGGTCAAAGGTCTAGCTGACCATGCCCTGTTCTGGAGCCGTCCGAGGATTGGTGGATTCATCAGTGTTGCTAGATCATGCTCGGTGGCTTTTGTTTTTTCAACCGATTTTGATGATTTCGTCTAGCGTTTTAATCAGCTTCATGTTGTTGGTGAAACAAGCTCTGATGAATTCGCGTCGGTGAAGTGAAGCCAATGGCCATCGAAGTCCAGCAGCCCCACATCGTCTCTTAAGGTACACCAGTGCAGCGGCTACATCATCATCATCCTTGCGTCAAGCACGGCAACATTGCAACATCACCGCGAAGTCGCATATGCAGAGCACACCAAAAGCATCTCGTGTCATATTCCACAACTTAGCCCGACATCGATTGAGCCCGTCGCTGCATACACGAGCAGCTCCTGCTCCTTATACAGCGCTGACTTCAAGCCATTGTATACTACACCAATCTCGCGTATCTCAGCATACCCTCGTTCAAACTGTGGTCCGGACGGCCGCGATGTCGTCCTCAACTCTCTCCTTCCCACCTGCCGAGCTCCTCGATAWCCTTGTCGAGGTGACAACGTTGTTGAAGTCTCGCAAGGAAACGGTGTCCATCGCAGAGACTGCAGCGGGTGGCCTCATATCTGCAGCTCTACTCTCCCAGCCCGGCGCATCCGGCTATTATAAAGGAGGTTTGACGCTTTATACACTGCCTTCACGCATCGCATATGCAGGATGGACACAGGAGAGCATTCAGAACTACAAAGGCCCAACCACAGACATTGTCAGTGGACTGGCGCAGCACGTTCGGAAGGATCTTGACAGCACATATACACTTTCCGAGAGCGGAACGGCGGGCCCGACTGGGGGCTCGACACCGAATCGAACTCCTGGATACGTGGCTCTCGCCGTGGACACGGAGAAGGGAACTTATGTGAAAGAGCTAAGTACGGGAAGTGGTGACAGAGTTGCGAACATGGTGCAGTTTGCAAAGGAAGGACTGACGCTGTTGAGGGACGTTATCAAAGGGGATGCAAAGCTGTGAGTTAGAGCCCCAACCATGAAAAGCGAGCACACTAGATGATGAACCGCGCGCAAAGTGTGTTTCACCGTTCTGCGCTGGGTGACTTCATGTTCCCCATACTACGGAGATGGGATCTGTGTTGAAACGTTGTTTCATGATACGGGTGCTCTTTAGAAGGTATCTCCTCCACCTCACTATTCTATATATTCATCAATCTCTTCGACGAACATGGGCTGAGTGGGGAGTCCGGATTTATCTGAACAGAGGCGAACATCTTTCGTGGAAGAACGCAGTCGCGCAAATCACCTGCCCTAGCCAGATCCCAGTCTTCGAGCATGTCGAATTCCAGTATATATGCGCTCGCTGGCGTGCGTGCAAGCATGACCTCGTCTCAGAGGCGAAACCATTCATCTCAACATTCTAGCACGTGGCCACTGGCCAGTGGTTTGTTCCTCAGCACTCATCCACGGCCATGCTCCCACGCTTGCCCACCGCTTTTTTGCTACTCCGTGCTCTTTCTKCTAGGAATATCCTAGTGCCCAACGCGTGACATCCGAATCGTGGCGGCAACCTCTTGACGAGCCCAGCGCATGCCATCTGACGCATGCAGCATCATGATCGGACTAAGAGGCGGTCCCGTGGCGTGGTGTGTGGAAACGGCCTTTTGCAAGTTGATGTCTTGTCGAACCAAAGCGCATCAGGTCGGATTAAGAAACAACCCGCCGACAACGGACCGAGTCGAGCGAGTCATTTCCCGGGTGCGCCGGACAGCGGAGGAAGACCCTTGATCCGACGTTGAAATTCTGGCGCACATGCCCGGGCTCCAGGGCACTACCTTATGGAGGTCTCCAACAGCTTTTAGGGGGCCAATCGAGGCATGTCCCCGTCCTGTTGATATGGCCGAGGGGTTTTATTGGGGGGATGAAGCGCGGAGGATTCATCAACCAAACGTCCTCTGCAGCTGTCCCATCTCGTGCGGTCAGCGCCAAGGGAGTTGGCAGTTGTCTTCGAAACCTAAATGTTTCCATCGATGCGAACTCACGACGCACCAGACGATCATCGCGGAGTGACGAGATGGCAATTGCGAAGGCCAAGGWACGAGACAGACACGGCAATGTTTACTTGTGATTCTTATCGCACCCACCAGCGCGAATGAAGCAGTGAGCTGCCTTGGGATTTTCGTGGGACCAGGAAGTGGACCTATCACAAGCGAAGGTTCTTATCAGCTTACCTTAAACTTAGTCCAAAGTTAGGTATGCTAAATTGTAAGCCCCAGAGATAACACCCACTCGGTGGCATTTCACGCGTACGCCGGACGACGCCCTGCAGGCAGCTTCGTTCCCTAGCGATACTGGCTCGAGGCGAGATGTTGGCAATTCTTGGTTGTACGAGCATCGCCGCATCGGTGGCGGAAGTCGCGGGCGCATGGAAGTGTAGTCAGTTAATCTCGTTCGACCACCGCCCAGCAGGCGAGGATTGTCGGGTTCAGGGTCTCACCTGCAAAAGTTGGGAAGAGATCTCGGCTACGACGAGCATTGCCGTGGAAGCGGTGTGGAAACACCAACAGTTGTAAAATAGAACGAAAACAGTCCGTGAGGATTGAAACAGAAGGAAGCAGATTTATTACAATGCTGTGCGATCCATGCATGTTGGAGTTGGCCAAGGATTACAATCTTGCCAATCCGGTAGCATCCTGGGAAAGATCTCGGCAGCGCCCCAGAAGCAGTGAGTGCGATAAGATGATGCTAAGGTTCACTCCAAGAGGGTTGATGATCATTGCCATGCCCCGGGCACCCATAAGGAACCCGTTCCCATCCGCTGGCACCTCGCGGAGCTCTGGTTTAACCACTGTCGCGCCTCATAATCACCCCATTTTTCTTCATTCTTTGTTTCCCGTGGTCTGTTCCCCGACAACATCAGGTCATCATCCCTGGCACGACGCAGCACGTGCGGACCCGCAACTCAACATCGACTCTCCCTCTGAGAGCTCTGTAGCTCTCGACCAGCTTCAGCAATGTCATACTTCTTTGTCGGKCCTCCAGTGCCTTTCAATGGCACAAACGAGCACACCGGTGGTGACTCCAGTGCGTTCCACCACAAAACGCATGCAAACTCAAGAAACTTCGTCACTAACCGTCCAAACTTGCAGGCACCGAAAACTTGAACGGATGGTTCTCAGCAGGAGACCAGGCCTACATCATCGTGGCCTCTGCGATGGTCATGGTCATGATTCCAGGTCTTGGATTCCTATACTCCGGTCTTGCTCGTAGAAAGTCGGCCTTGACCATGATCATGGCCTGTTTGGGCTCTGCCTCGGTCATCACTTTCCAGTGGTACTTCTGGGGTTACTCGCTGGCATTCAGCCGATATGCGACCGACAACCYGTTCATTGGCGACTTGCAGCAATTCGGACTCATGAAGACTTTGGCAGTACCCAGCCAGGGTAGTCCACTGATTCCAGACCTGCTATATGCTTTTTACCAGGTATGTCATACTTAGCCCTGCGCCGCTTGACTAGAGCTAACTTGTTCAAGATGCAATTCTGTGCAGTGACTGCTGCCATCGTCATGGGTGCCATTGCTGAGCGTGGCCGTCTCATGCCAGCCATGGTCTTCATCTTCGCCTGGGCCACCATCGTGTACTGTCCGATCGCATACTGGGTGTGGAACGCCAACGGATGGGCATTCAAGTGGGGTGTCCTCGATTATGCTGGTGGTGGTCCTGTTGAGATCGGCTCCGGTTTGTCTGCTCTCGCGTACTCCATGGTTCTTGGCAGACGGCAAGAGAAGATGATGCTCAACTTCCGCCCACACAATGTCTCCCTCATCACGCTTGGAACGATCCTGCTCTGGTTTGGATGGCTTGGATTCAACGGAGGTTCCGCTTTTGGTGCCAACCTCCGCGCGGTCATGGCCTGCTGGAACTCCAACATTACCGCCATGTTCGCCGCCATGACTTGGGTTCTTCTCGATTGGCGCCTCGCGCGCAAGTGGTCCATGGTTGGATGGTGCTCTGGCACCATCTCCGGTCTCGTTGCTGCTACTCCTGCATCTGGATTCATCCCGCCGTGGGCCTCGGTCGTGCTTGGCATTACCACTGGCGTTGTCGCCAACTTTGCCACAAAGATCAAGTACTGGGTCAAGATCGATGACTCCATGGATGTCTTCGCTGAGCACGGAGTCGCCGGCATTGTTGGTCTCATCTTCAACGGTTTCTTTGCTGCCACCTATGTGATCGGGCTTGATGGCGTCAACACTGGTGCATTCGATGGTGGCTGGATCCACAAGAACTGGAAGCAGATGTACATGCAAATTGCTTTCATCGTCGCCGCCTCGGCTTGGGCGTTTGTCGTGAGCGCCATTCTCGCTTTTGGCATCAACTTGATCCCCGGCCTCAAGCTCCGCGCTTCAGAAGAGGCCGAACTCCTCGGCATGGATGACGACCAGCTTGGCGAGTTTGCATACGACTACGTTGAGGTGCGTCGTGACTACCTCGCCTGGACACCCGCAAAGACCGAGCAGGAAGGTGAGGGTCACAGCATTCCCCAGGGGGAGCGCTACGGCATTCAGCAGCACAGTGAGATGCTCGAGGGCAAGGATCCGGCGGGCAGCGAGGGCAGCAGTGGTCACGAGCACACTGGTATTGGTGGTGATCGTCATGGCGTTGCTTATGAAGAGATGGAAAAGAGTCGCCGTGAGGAGGCGGCTGGTGGTCACTGAGCGGTTGTAGCGAGCGTTGTCATTTTGCGATGAATATGGATTTTGTGATACCACAACAGCTACCTTTTGGGAATGTCTGTCACAGACAGTCTTTGTGCAATTATAGACCTGAACGATTGTCTTCTCGATACACGCAGTCCGCTTGATCGCGTCATCTATCGCCGCTCATGAGGCGATGCAGCGCTCCGGTTCCTAGTCTGCATACAGTAGCAGCATGTAACATTGGGGCGTTCAGGAAAATATGCTCCATGGGCAAGATCTTGAGGTTGAGGTTCATCATGTGGTGTGCTCGCACTGATGAGAACATGTGTCGTCGCACGATTATCACCCCATTCAAAAAGTGTCTTGGATAAAACCCTGAATCCTGCAAGAATCCCGTCTTCTGCAGGTCCCCGCACTTCGAAATTCAAGATGGTCATGAGTGGTGAGGTGAATAAGGTAGCTTGCGTACATACTAGGTACCATTTCGTAAGAAGGCCACACGACTCGCGTGTCGCGCTTGCCATGTGCAGAGCACCCGGCGTTCTACATCGGTCAGCCTAATCTCAACAACATGCTTGGCCAAGGCTCTGCCTGGTGTTTCGGAAGTCGTGACGGCTAGCGAAAGTGTGCACTGTTGTCCCTCTACCCCTTCGTATTTCAATGCTCCAACCCATACGGCTGGTCGCCCCTAAGTAGAGTAGTGCTAGAATGCACCTCCGAGTGCCAGGCACAGAACGCCCAAGTGGGTGGGGCCGTCTTCGCATTCTGCCAAATCACTTCAATACGTTGGAGCGAAACGGAAGGTGKGTGGATTAACAAGGCCGCCAGCGAAACGGAGCGAAGCGAAGCGAAATGGTTCGCTTCTCATCCTCAATCTCGCTCGGATGCATTAACGGGCCCTGGGCYCTGCAGTTACATGATCCGATGGTCAGGTAATGGTCGACTGCAGGACGGGCCAGTACCCTCGAAGCTTATTTGTCGTGGACCAAAGATCGGCAGGTGATACAGTACAGACCTTGCGCTGTGGCACCCCTTGGATTGAGTGTTCCACGAATGCACAAGCCGTTTGGCTGAGACGCTGGTTACAACCTGCTCCGAACGCCCACGTATGATCATCTCGTCACAAGTGACTGTGACTCCTGTGTGTCTCCGCGCGCAAGCAGGTGGACATGTCGAATCGCAGATGAGACTTCCAGAAATTCTTGTGGAGCTGGGTCCTGCCGAGCACCCCGTCCCATGGCATGCGAAATTAACCCTTTCGTCTTGTGTGTCCGCAACGGCAACCGTGAGTCGTGGCACCCGCCGACTTGAACCGATGTCCCGGTGTGGTTTCAAGCCAGACTTCGGAGTGCCGATCTTATAGTTGGCACCGCGGCCGGTCGATTAGATGCAGTTTGATGTTCGCGACGCATCGGCATGGCTGTCAAGGGCCATCTCGCCAACATCAAGTGACATGGGAAAAGTTGCGTGGTGATCATCTTTCTGGGGGATTCCCTGTCGCCCCTTTCGCGCTACGCCTACCAGAACAACCAAGAAATCAAGTTCTGATGATTGCGGGCGTTGGTACCAGACGGAGACCAAACAAGTAAACAAGTCGAAACACGATAAACATCGACAGCCCGCCGCCGGGCAGGACAGTCCGCACAGAACGTAGCCATGTCGTTCAGGTCAAAGGTGCGCGAGTATCCAGGGCGGCTGTCGTTGCTTTCTAGCCAGAAACCCAATGGACAGCCCCGCCCAAGCACCGCACCAGCTTCCAATTCTGGTAACGAAGTGCGCTACAGGAAGGACCAAGTGGACCGGAGCGACGAGATTTATGGTCCGGCACAGGTACATACACACGCGAGAGCAACGGAACAGGAAAAGATTCAGGCACAGGCACAACCCAAGCGGGACTCGCATCACAGTGAAGCGGGAACTGCTTCGCACCCCTCTCCCGCACCGTCCATCGTACCTACCATTGTTGTCGGTCACCATGACCATGAGCCACGCAACCGTAGCCGCTTCACCTCGAGACGAACGCACGAACATCCGCGAGTGCGCTCATCGCGGTCAATGYCGCCCGCTCAAATGCAGCGCGTAAGCAGCTTCAAGGGCATCCGCATGCCAACGGCCTCGGCCAGCATGGACGATCTGGACCTGGGCGATTTGGCCGGCGACAAAGTCGAGTTCTCGAAGCGCGGGAGCCTGTTGTTTGGCGGGAGAAAGATGCAGGACTTGATCGCTGCGCAAGGAGAGGGTACGCCGCGGACGAGGTCGCCAGCACCTTCGAACAGTCCGGTGAAGTCAATACAGGAGGTGGATGAGGAAGCAGAAACGGCCCCGACGGTGACACACCTTGCGGAGCCGCAGAAGCAAGGTCTCGTGTCGGGGAGGAGGACTCCTAGCATGCAAGTGCCAAGGGGCATCCACGTCGGCCGCGTGCTCTCCGCGGAAGAGGTGACCTTTTCCCTCAGGGTCAGAAGCCAGTATGAACACGGCGATGAGCGCGCCTCGCAATGGTTTGACTCCATCGGCACAAGCACRACAGGCAAAGACAGCATAAGAAGCACACCGACGCCGGACACCCCTTCAATTGGAGACTTGACCGTGTTGAAGAGCAGGCCACAAGACAGCGACCAGTGGCCATTGCAAGACGCCCGATCGAGTTACATCTCCGTCTCAAAGTACGCGAGGGAAGTGCACGAGCTAGCCGGCGGCATTGAAGACTGGGAGGACGTGGACGGTCGCGCMGTCGATCGGTATGGCTTCATTCGGCACAACCCTAGTGTCYCTCGCTTCTCGTCGGGCTCTTCGCAGCACGAAGATATACGCCCTCACGATGTGGGTATGCAACGCGTTGCCACATCCMTCCGCCTCGAGTCGCAGCATCCGCGAGGGTTTAGTCGCAGGCTGAAGCGAAAACCAAGCATACAATCATCGAGATCGATGCCTCCACGTCCAAGTGGTGATTGGACATTCAAAAAGGGACCAGTGTCGATCCACAGCGCGCACGCAGTATCTTCAAGATCCAATTTGCTCCGCACGAGAGAGCAGAGACTCCTTGCAAAAGCTTCYGATATGCTGACTCTCCCGCCCGGCCTCGCGGACATTCGTGAGCACGATGATGCTGGCAAGACTGCTTCCGCTTTCAAGAAGCGGGAGTGGTCGCGCGAGGAGAAATGGCAAGCAATGGCAAATCCCGTGCGACGACCGCACCAGGTCAAAGGCGGCGGTATGGCGTTCGAGTTCGACACCAGCGACCCCAAATTGATTAATCGGACATGGAAAGGGATTCCAGATCGTTGGCGCGCAACTGCATGGCATAGCTTTTTGTCAACGAGTGCCAAGAAGAGAAATATCCTGGTCACAGACGAGGATCTCATAGAGCAATTTCACAGACTGCAGGACATGAGCTCTGCGGACGATGTACAGATTGATGTCGATGTGCCAAGGACTGTCAACCTGCACATAATGTTTCGACGCAGGTATCGAGGCGGCCAGCGACTCCTGTTCCGCTTATTGCATGCTGTTAGTCTGTATTTTCCGGACATTGGCTATGTGCAAGGAATGGCCAGCATCGCAGYCACCTTGCTATGCTACTACGATGAGGAGAACGCTTTCGTTATGATGGTCCGTATGTGGCAACTTCGAGGCATCGAGGAAATGTACCAGCACGGCTTTGAAGGTTTGATGACTGCTCTCCGCGAGCTGGAGCACGACTGGGTGAGCGCCGATGTTGCAGCGCATCTGGAGGACCTTGGGGTCACGTCTACTTCATACGGTACACGATGGTACCTTACGCTTTTCAACATGAGCGTTCCCTTTCCAGCTCAGCTGCGCATATGGGACGTCTTCATGCTTCTCGGCGATGCACGCGGAAAAGACACTGGAGCATTTGCAGGCGCTGAGTTGGATGTGCTGCACGCTACCAGCGCAGCGCTGATCGATGCCACTCGCGAGATCATACTGGACAGCGACTTTGAGAACGCGATGAAGGTTTTGACGTCTTTCGTCCCTATCAAAGACGAAGACTTGCTTATGAACGTCGCCAAGATGGAGTGGAGGCAGAGAAAGAAGAGAGCCGGAGTTCGGGTATAGAACATCTGGAGACCCAAGGCGCACGCTTGACGACTGATTGGTGTTGGGTAATAATTTTGCACACTACATGCGAGGAGTGTGGGCGAGGTGAAGTCCGACGCACTGATGGCAGACGCCAACAACATATTTCTTTTGGGTAGTTGGAGTTTTTGTTCGCTCTGGTTGATGAGATACCCTGAATCGGTTACGCTGTGGATAGAAAATAATGTAATGTTGAAGAGGGATGCAATAGAACGCCGGTGTCTGGTCCCAGTCTTCCTCCTTGGCTCACACATTTGATAGACCACGCCGAAGTGCAGTCACATTGAAGGGTCATGAGGCGGGAAGGGTACCAAGCTCTCCATCTGCACGGCAAATCGTAGTCACAACACATTTCGCTGCAAAGTTGGAATCCCCCGCAACTGTCTTCACAGTCCTGTCGGATTCGACTTGATGATCGGGAGTCTCCAGAGATTTCGGCGATTTATCGGAGACCATGCGACGCAAGAAAGATCGACAGATGACCGTACTGGCGTCGCCTCAACCTTCCCTTCTGCCTCCTTGTCATGACCTGATCAACCCACCACATCCAAATTGAGCAAGATCATCGCAGCAAGCCACGAGCTCGACACGTGCTGCTGCCAGATACGACTGATCTGGAAGCGTCTGGACATGGTGGCGCCCTCAGTGGCTTGCTTCTGTGGCTACGCCTTACGGCCCATGGCCTTTTGTCTGCCATCAAACGATGAGACTCGTCAAGCGAGGCGGAGGGTACAGTGTCTCGACGTATTGGAGTAGAATCCGCGGCCCAAAGTATTACAGCTTTGCAAGGCTAGCAACATGCGAAATGCGAACTGCGTTATCAAATCTACTCTGGTGCATGAAGGAGCTGTACTGACCCGCTGTTGACCCACAAGCATTGGAGGCATCCTCCGTGGGCAAAGAGAAGCACTCTCAAATCTCGGGCCATGGAAAGGGAACTCCACTCAGAAAGTGCCAGGAGGGTTTCACCCCGATTGATTGGTCCACTGCAGGATAGTCGCAAGCTCAAGAGAGGCCACTCTGATATGGTGGTGTGACTGCTCTTCTTTCGCCCGACAAGTGATTCGAAAGCGGTGTGAAGGTGAAGACTCCAAGGCTGGTTTCACGCTGCTGCCGTGTCGCGATGGGTCACGGCTATCCCGTAGCACTTGCTGCTGCGACACCGTGAGGGAAGCCGGATTGGGCTTCCAAGGATGCCGAATTATTGTCGTAGTATTCCTCCGCATCAGCAAAAGATCTGCCATCAGTTTCATGTCGAGACRCGCAAGCATGGCCGCGGCTCGTTCCTTAACCTGCGTCGAATCTCGATGATGGAGCGAGCGGTCAAACAGGGAGTACAAACGGGTCCGAAACGTCCAACCTCGCGTGGTAAACACGCTGGTACTCCTACGGTCTATGCCACTCTCGGCAGCCTCTCGGTTGCGCGCCGCAAGAAAGCTCTACAACGTCTTTCCGCTTTGGGATTTGATGGACTTGGAAATGCAGAAGAACTGTCGGCAACTTCACTCAAGATTTGCGAGGGCCACTACAGTCTACAAGAAGAGATTTTGCGACTGTGACAGAAGGCCGTGTGATTGCAGGATTGCCGTGTCTGTTGTAGTTCTAGTCACAGCGACTACCGAGACCTCTCACTGACCTGATGAGATATGGCTTGCAACGGACTGTTTCAGACGGCGGTTCACAGACGCAAGCGGCCATCGCGCCGAAGCTTGTCCCCATACCGCTGCGTGTCATGCGTGCGCACCAATCAAATCCGGTCTAGCAGAGTTGGTTGCTGAAGCTGTACCCTTGTTGGCAAGCAACCCTCCTCCGCTTTCACATTCCATAAAGGCATCCCATAGCACTGCTTGTCCGCATCCATCTCAATTGCTGCCATGCAGTTGATCCATCGTGCGCTGATGCTGAGAGTGACGACGCACCGGAGGACCACGCAAGCAAAAGGACGCCCGCACGCCAGAATAGTCGCGACAACGATGGTTTGACCGGCCGTGCTGCGTAGCCACTCTGTTCGATCCGTCCGTCTAAAGTTTTCAGACTTTCACCGGGGCATAGGAACGTCATTTCCCACGTTGTACTTTAACCAACGCCCTCGCCTCGTTGCGTTGCCCTACAGTACTACTAGCATTTCCTCAGCTGATCCCTTTTGGGCTCCATCCAGCCACAGCACTCGCTCGACAGCTTGCATTGCCCAGCTGTGCGCCCTCACTAAAACTGGCCGGACTTGTCGCCTGCATTTGCCATGGATGCATGATCTACCGGACAATTACTGCATTCTCAGCACGAGCACACGGCTAGGGTCTAGGCCAACCAGCTCAGCTTCGCGTCTCCGCGACTGATTCGATCAAACAGGWTATTTGCCTTGCACTCGATCAAATTTCCCCATCAGGCTTCTRCACCTTTGAATGCGACCCCTCGATCGACCCCGCGGCACACCACGGGCATAGGCTGGGCGAATCATCGTCTCCATCATTTGATCGCCGTCCAGCTGTGCAGAGGGCCATTCGTCTAGATTCTTCTTGGCATCTGCTACGAGTCGTTGCAAGGCCGTTCAGATTTTGTATAACCATTGTATGTTTCCACCACATATGCCCCACCTTTTGCATTGGCCTGCTTCACTCTCGCCGCAACGGGATTACATGCACCAAGTCTTKCGCCAATGTCCATGTCGCTAATCATCACCGACCAGCCGTTCAAGAGCGAGTTTGTGAATAGATTTCCTCATGAGTTCAGCCCGAGGAGGTCCCTCGTCAAATCACAATCTTCTCCCAACACCCGGAGGCATACCCCAACACTGGAGAGCTCGCTGCAGGTCAGCGACCTTTCAGCCCACGAGAAGATGACCACTCCTCATGCTCATCGAGGTCTCCCTCCGATGACACTGCCAGACCTGAATCGACCCGGTCCAACATCTCTGAGTCAACCTTTGGGAGCTATGCCCGCACCTCCCTCCCAATGGCAGGGCCAAGAAGATTCCATGCGAAACTGGTTGCTGGCAAAGGCCGAGGAAGACAAGCGAAAACAGGAAGAGGAGCGGACGAGGCAAGAAAGCTTGAAGCTTGAGCAACGAAAAATCGAGCAGTCCATGTTGCGCGAATCCTTGCAGGGCGGCATTCCACCTACGATGGTTCCATTGATTTATGCGGGAATCGGAGGAGGAAACCTAGCGAATGTCAGTGTGGATTGGCTGCAGCAGTATACCGGGCAATTGCAACTGGCACATCAGCAACAAGTCCAGCAAGCTTCGCCTGACATGCACAGAGGGGAGGGGAGACTCATCGGACCTCCCACGCATCCTGGTCCATCTGTTTATCCCGCAGCGCAGCCCACCCCACAGCAGGTGCTGCAAAGTCACATGCCCGAGCAGCAACCCCCGCCACCTCCAGGTCCCATCCAGACAACGTTCTCTGCGTATCAACCAACTCCACTCCGCCAACCACCAACCTCGGATCCACGATCGGCGACACGCACACAACTGCCAAGGCTTACCACGAACGAAATGTACGTCCACCAGCCGCCACAACCCGTTGCGGCCAGCGTGCACCCACTTCAGCAAAGCCAGACGGTCCAGCAGCAGGCACAGCAAGCGACATCCTCGCCCTCAATCTATTTTCACCACTGGGTACCACCCAACGAAGCGAGGAATAACCCTCAACCTCAAACACCCGCGAGCAAAGCAGAGTCACAGCATTCAGCACACCCGAGCTCCTCCAATCATGGAGAAAGCGAGCACCGGGAATCACCCCGAAAGCGTAAAGCGCAAGGTGGACATCAGGCAAACCCGCCGCCCTCGGCCGGACCGCAGTACACCTCGCCCTCCTTCTCCACGACCAGCTCGGCATCCTATCGAAAGGGCGGTCAGCGATCACGAGCGTTCAGTAACGTGTCAGCCGCCGGACGAGAATCGGATAGTAGACACGGCAGCCGACCGCCGAGCAGCCATCGACGGGATGAAGTTCCAACGGCGAGGTCTTCKCAGCTTTCTGACCAGGGCCCGGTAAATCATCAGGTCAGCCGTGATGGTGCGGAGGATCAGCGGCAGGAAGAGGTCTTGCCGGAGGTAAAGCCACCGAGACCTGCTTCGTCTGATGGCAGGGAGTCCAGGGAGTATACTGAGCAACCGCAGACCGCGTCCAGCTGATGTATATAATGATACTGGGTGGAGGCGAACCCGGGTCTGATTTCGATCTGCATTTACACTGCATTGGGCGGGGGAGATGAGCGAAGCATCTTGCATGATCATCTTGCATCTGAACGACCCATGGAGTCGGGACTGTGATGTCCAGGTTTTGTCCTGGCGAAGAGAGATTGTTGCGTTTTAGCGTTGTAGATGGATGAACATATCAGCTCTCAAGTCTTTAAAAAGTGATTGATTCATCGTATTAGAAGTTCTCGGGACATTTTCGAGATGCGATTGTCGGGGTGAGGGTTGTTGTTACGACCATGGTTGATGTTTTGTGAAGGAGTGACCAATCCCCGGCCTCGGCTCCGTCATCCATCAAGGTTCTCGGATTTATACAGTACTTTACCTTCCTACTAGGTTCTCATCACCAACACTCCATCCCGTGAGCTTTCCTGATTGTCAATGCTTGCTGCGCGAGCATTCATCAGACGACTGCCCATCGCAGTCGCCCAGCGCGAGAAATGTGAGCCAAGTTTCTTGAATGGAACATGGACTGCGAATAAACCCATCACCACCACCACCACCACCACCACGCGATTCGCGTCCTCCYCCTCTTCGACGMGGTGGAAGACCCGCCAGACGAACGATTCCTACGCCCGCGAAGCAAAGGTCTCCGGTCTGAAATCTCGCGCAGCGTTCAAATTGCTAGAAATCAACGACAAGCATCGCATTTTCCGCCGTGGAGACACGGTCGTGGATTTGGGCTTTGCGCCAGGAAGCTGGAGTCAAGTCGCTGTCAGTAAAGTCAGTCCTGGAGGCCGCGTGGTGGGGATCGATGTAATTCCTGCACAACCCCCTCGAGGCGCGAATGCATTACAGGGTAATTTTTTGAGCGCGGAGATCCGGGAGGAGGTGAGGAAGTTTGTGTGTGATCCTCAGCAGGGGAGGGTGCGACAGAGGGGGATCACGGATGGTGGAGTTACCGAGGAAGAGTTGGCGAGATCTGGAGCGGGAATTCTGCAGCTTGAGAGGCAGAGTGCGTTGGAGGAGAGCCGGGAGAAGAGTCGTGGAGAGGGCGTTTTGAAGGAGGGCTTGACGATCAAGGAGCTGGATGCTTTGGAAGGGAGAGTGGTGGATGTGGTGCTGAGTGATATGTCAGAACCCTGGCCTTTGGTCAATTCCAAGTGGGTGAGATCTGTGTCTAATCCTTATTCCAGGATGCAAAATACCAGCGGTATGCCGTTTAGAGTGAGTTGATACAAAGCACATGGGAGACGATGTGGAAAGTTGACATGTACGATAGGATCACGCAGGATCGATGGTACGCCCCCGTGAATCAAGCGGATTGAGGCGATGATTGACAACAACTCTAGGACCTCTGCATGGCAGGTTTGACCTTTTGCTACGATACACTCGCAACGGGTGGTCACTATCTCTGCAAATTCTTTGCTGGAGCCGAAGATCACGCTTTGGAGATGAGACTCAAGAAGCTATTTGACAAAGTCCATCGCATCAAACCGGACTCTTCGCGGAAGGAGAGTAAGGAGGCCTACTTCATTGCTCTGAAGCGGAAAGCAGGTGTAAAGCGCGAGGATGTGCTGGATGAGCGTTGAAAGTCGTGACTGGACGAACGAGGGGCAACGGAATCTGAGCAGCAGTAAAGCATCACGATCGTCGCCAAAGCAGACAACCAGACATCGATTCTGGGACTGCCCAGATCGAACCATCGCACATGTGGGAATCAACCGCTTCATGTCGACCTTATCTTTCGACACACCACTGCCCAAGATGCATCACCGACTCAGCCAACTGGCAAGCGCGGATGCTGACAGTCACGGAGCTCACCATACACATCGCAGGCAAAGGTTTGAAAGAACTACGCCTCGGGCTCCCTCCGATTTACGGACCGGCTGAAGCAGAGATCAGGACACAATGGCGACGTAGCAGTGAGAGCCGAGACCACATCTCATGGTACGGAAGAATCGACACCGAGATGTGCGCGTACCAACTTCAACCTCAACCTCACCATTTCCCATCTCAATCGAGTGACACGTGCGACTCTTTGTATTACCAAGCGTCTCATCCGGAACAAATCATCTCGCTCCAGCGATCCGACACAGGAGGTTTCCAAAGACCGCCGTACCTGCTACGGCGGTCTTCTTTCCACGAAATCATGTCTCGCATACTGAAGGCGTCAGCGGACTCTGGATCATCAATAATGACTTGCAATGCAAAGAGACGCTGTAGGCCGATGTATGTTTCCTGGTTACCCGCCATGAGCAACGAATTCAAAGACAAGACAGTGAGAAGAAGCGTTATCCAACTATATTAACAATCACGCGTGCGTAAAATTCTCAATTATCTGCGTCTATCTGTATCAATCTCAACGCGCATACAAGCCATCGCTCCACTCAACGCACTCATCAACTCCCATACCGACTCGGCGGCTTCGCGACCCTGCCGCTCTTCCTAGTCGCCGCCTGCGCCACCGCCTGCTTAACTGCAGCCTTGACAGCAGCAGCTTTCCTAACGTGCTTCGTGCCCACACAACCCCTCATAGTGACTTCAGCAGAAGAAGCAGGAGACGATGAAGCTGGTGATCTCCTGATCGCAGTTGTCGGAGGCGATCTCCCAACGGAGGGCGACTTTGATGAGGATCTCATGGCCACAGGAGAAGGTGCTGAGTAGTCCGGTATTGATTCCTTCGGAATACGTCCTTGGGGAGAGACGGAGAGTGTATGACGGACTTGACGATTCGGGGTTTTCTTGCTCGCTACAGGAGGTTCGGGACGACCACATTCCCCACAAGATCTTCGGCCAGTTCTACGAGGGCTGGGAGGTTGGTGGCTTCTCGTAGGCGTATCTGGCAATCTTCTCGGCGGGGATATACGGTTGGTGTAACGCAATGGGTCCAGGATCGGAACGTGAGAAGGACGTCTGAGAATACCTCTGGGGCGAGAAGGGAGGCTTCTGGTGAAAAGGGACCTGGGCTTGGGGTTCCTTGCTTCGGAGGACTTGCCGCTGGATGCGATCATGGGTGATGTGGAAGAGGATCTCCTTGTGCGTGGTAGACCATCGGAAGTGGATGGACGTGCGTTGGGGATGATTGGCGCATATCTCGGGCCTGAGAATACCGAACTGCTTCTGCGACCAGCTGGCTTTGCTGCGCATGCAGGTGTATTTGGTGGTACGCGCGGCGCTGGTGCATCCGGTGTATATCTCGGACCGCTGTATGAAGAAGATGGACGTCTTCCTGGGGGACTAGGGGTGGTCGGGCCAGCAGGAGGAGGGAAGCGTGGAGATTTTGGTGAAGCCGCGCCAACATGGCCAGGGTTCTGCCCTCTGAAGAACAACTCCGATGCAGTAGGGCTAATTGCAGTTCGTGATATCGAAGAAGTGCGTCGGCTGGTCGACGAATTGCTTCTCTTGGTGGCATTCGATGCAGCGGGCGTAGTGTACTGAAAGCTCGAAGGAATCGGCGGATAGCTTGGACTGTATGGCTGGCGACCGTTCGACGACAGTGAACTCTTGCGTGGAGAGGATCCATCCTGAGGGCGGACGAGTGAATCTCGTCCGGGCCGGCGGGTCTGTATTACTGACGGAGATGGCTCGCTGGCATCATTCGCATCATCCCAGATTTCACCCAAGGCTGGAACCCACTCCTCCAACCAATCACTAGCCTCATACCCCTCGAGCTCGTTTTCGATTTCCTGGGCAGACCGGCCCTCGCTTTCGAGTTCTTGGCGGTAGCCTTTGAGATACTCTGGAGCAAAGCCTGCGCGGTAGAGGGTCCTSATGATCTCGCCCAGCTTCTTGTCGGCGGAGAGTTCTTTGACCAAAAGGTTCTCCTCARCATATGTATACTCATCATGGAGCTGCTTTTCGGTGATGCCGTAAGCACCGTTGATCAACTCTGCAATGGTTGCGTTTCCCCCTTGGACCCAAACCACAAATCGGACGAAACGCCATGCCATGTGCGCTGACCAGCCTTCCGCAGCGAGGACGGAGAAGACGGGTTTGTGTTTTGCGACGAACTCGTCATTCTTGTCCGCATGTTGTTCCACGAGACGATAATGTATATCATGGGGCTGGCCGGCATCATCGTCCTCATCGTAGTCCTCATCGTCGTCGTCTTGGCCGTCGTCTTGGTAATCCGAATCGGCTTCCGTACCCTCGTCATCGGAAGGCATATCATCAATCAGCATATCACTATCTGGATCGCTTTCCGACTCATCATCATGGCGGCGATAACAAATCGGACGTGGTGAAACGCTTGACTTTCGCGAAGAACTTGTCGGCGAAGATCTGATCGAAGACTYCCTCGGAGAAGCAGGAGCACCTCTCAGTTTGAGTTTCAGTCCCTTGTCTGGGTCTTCCAATTCCTGTCCACCTCCACTCCCTCCAGGAGGCGAAGGACTAGGACGTCCTGCAGCAACGGGAAGGTCAGTAACATTCGGTTTTGGAGGTCCGTATGATTCAGGGGAAGAGGTGTCGTCTCTTAAGAAGGCGATGCGCTGTTCGAGAGCGGTGATTGCATCTTCGTAGTAGTCGTCAATTGCTTGGTGACGTCGGTAGTCCTCCGGGTCGACGCTTCCCATTGATTCGGGGGAACCTCGGTTTACGTAGATGTCGAACAAGTTGGGACCAGAGTCTTCTTCTTCGAGAACATTAGGATCGGGGGATGTTTGAGGCTGAAGGGGACTGCTTTCGTAGTCCGGCAGTGAAGGAGGTGGGGAGTCTTCTTCCTCGACCATAGCCTCGTCATGAGCGACTGGGATCATATAGGAACTTCCATTCCGGTTGAACTGTTCCCGGTAGTCTCCGCTTTGGATCATGTCGTCCCGTTCGGTACACGTAACACGCACGAATCTCCTTCCTCCGGTGGGAGTCTCGACGAGCTCAAATCTGCCAGACGTAGGAGTTGGCTCTCGAACATCGTCGTCGGTGTCCTCGGAAAGATCGTCGTCGTCGGACTGCATTGAAACATCGTCGATCACATCATCGTCCGTCTCTTCATCCCCTGTCGTCTCCTCCCAGAGCAAGGCATCTCCCATTTCGATATCATCATCCTCATCTTCGTGAACATCCGCACGGTCGTCGCCATCATTGGGCGAGTAAATTTCCTCCAGACCAGGCACCAAATCCCACATGTACCGATCGAATTTGATAAACTGCTCCAAGCCATCCTTCAGGTCGATCGGGAAGATTCCGGGTTTATCTGCCATCCCAAACGCAAGAATCTGGACATAATCCTGATCATAGCCCTGGCTGGTCATCTCCCTCACAACGTCCTCCCACCCTGGCGGGGATTCTTCCACTACCATCGACCTCGAACGGAAAACATGTCTGCTCACTTCGACGGACTCAACAGCATTTGTCGCAGCGTCCTCGATTTGCTTGCGGGTAAGTCCGGACTTCACGAGACGTTGGATGTACGGCCAGGCGACTTTGGGATCCCAGTCCTTGCGGGCGAGGATACCAAAGGCCTCTTGGTGCTCGACGAGGAAGTCGTTGTTGGCCGAGGCCGTTTCCGCGACAGCTTCGGGGTGGAGTCTGAGTACGAGATCCCGGAGATTGGTGCGACGGGGTGGAGGGGTGGGGGTGCGGACTGGGCGGGGCGGTACGACACTTTTGGGGCCGTCCATAATGTTGAGGCGGAAGGCGACGTCTTGCCAGAGAGAGGAAGGAGACATTTCCACACAATCGAATTGGCTTGGACTTCCTCCCAGTCGTGTAAGTAAGACGAGGTAGACGAGGTTGAAGCAAGATGAGGAAATATGTGGTGATGTGGTGACGGGGGCAAGGATGGATGAATTGTAGTATTGTACACCTGCGTCGGACCTACCTACCTACCTACCATCCGTGTCGACGACACAAAGAAGTGCTGTGAACGTCGCATCATGTCAACGCCGGAAGCGGAATCATCAATGAATGCGACGTGGAAAGCTGGTGGTGGAGTGGTAGACGGACGTTTGCGACAAAGCAATTCTTCGCCCGCCTGGAATGTACCTGAAAATGCTCCCGTCTGCTCCCGCTCCGCGCTTTGTCTCCATCCCGCTCGTGGACACGACATGCTGGACTCGGCGCATCAAGAATTCATTGCATTCCGTCAGCGTGTGCGGTGCATGTGCCCCGTTAGCACATATTTGAGGAAATGGGAATTGTGAAGAGCGGCCAGATGGGCATGTTTGTTCTAACGTGGACGGAATCCTGTATATTAGCAAGCGAGCCGTTTTCCCGCGTATAATTGTGTACATCTGCAGTAAGGTATGCATGCATGCTATGTTGTCGCGATGGAGAGTGCTGATGCTGACGAGGTGGGTGAGGTGAGAAACTTGGGTGTTGCTAAAGTTAGTTTTAGGGTTAGGGTTGGGGTTGGGGTAGTGCACACCATCTTCTACACCGGTGATATGGCAATGAACATCTCACGAACAGTCCGCGTTGTCGTGCTGGTGGATACCATGTGGCAGGGATGTTTCTGCTGGAAATCCTCAGCGACATTCCCCGTAGTCTGTACAACTCAGCACTTTATGAGACACTTCACGCAGAACAGAAGAATAGCGTAGAGCGTGGGGTGTAGAATGCTTTCAAAAAACTCCTTAAATAAACATGAATCCTGCTCAGACGCCCTATTCCGCCTCAGACTCCACCTCCTCCTCCTCCTCCAACTCCTCCTCCTCCAACTCCTCCTCCTCCAACTCCTCCAGTGCCTGCCAGAACTGAGCATCGAGATCATCATCATCCTCTTCCTGCTCATCACCATTGTCATCATCATCACCATGCTCATCCTCCTCCACATCCTCTTCCTGCCCATTTGATTCAATCTCAGGCACCATCTCCTTCTGCAAAGGTTCCTCTCCCCACAACGACTCGTTTTCATCCTGCGAAGAGTCGTCTCCAAACAGGGAATTCGCTGGGGCGCCAAGCACATCTTCCGGATTCTCCAAAATCAACTCCCCGGAGTCTTCGGCTGCTTCACTGACTTCCCTCTCCGGTTCAACAGCGGGCTCGTCGTCGAAGTTAGGTAAAAACTCGCAGTGTTGCGGATGTTCATCAGAGGGCTCATACTGTTCCGACCGTTGCTCGGATGGGAGAGGTTCAGCTGGCTCTTCGGCTGGCGTCAAAAGACCTGTAGCCTCAGTGGGCTCTTCCGCCTGCAGAGTAGCAGCGGCTTTAGGCTTCCGTGCTCTGCGTTTCTTCCCAGGAGCTGGAACAGCGGGAGGACTTTCTAACGGCTCTTCCGGAGCAGCTCCTTCCGATGAGGCAGGACGAGCAAAGTTGATGCGTCCGTCAGGAAGCTGGTCGGAGTACTCTCGACGCGGCTGTTGACCATATTGCGGCCGGAGTTCTGGGTATAGTTGGACCCATGCTGCAGTCGTCCTGGCCTTTCCCTTTTTGTTTGGACGAGCGGGAGGCTGCTCGCTATTGTCCTCTGCAATGACATACGGAGACACCGCCGTCCCCGTAGCAGGGCTGTCGTCTGCWCCGAGGAAAGCTGTCTGCTTTGTTGCTTCAGCAGCATAGTCATCTGGAATGAGAAAAGCAGTTTGCACTGTGGTTCCCCCGGGAATCGGAGCATTCGAAGGACCGGACGCAGCTCTCGAGTGGACTCTCGAAGGGCTTGGTTGCGGGGAGGAAGTCGACGCAGTAGACCGGGACCCGCTATCAGAATCCCGACGAACGGGCTTTTCATGCGTCACGACGAAACACTTATTTTCCTCGACCTGCTTCACCCTGAAAAACTCCCCCGCATCGTACAATTCCTCCATCTTCTGCTCCAATCGCGACCTGTCGCAATCTCTCTTCCAGATCCCCTTTGTCCAATCTTTGCGGCCCCGCCTCAGAAAGTCTCTCATTTTTTTGATGGTAACGCCGCTCTCGTCGCTAAGTCCTCCCCTACACCAGGTGATGGCTTCTTTCAGGGAGAGCGCTTCATTGGCGGGGAGGAACGCTCGTCCCTTGCGGACCCTTTCAGCTGGCTCGGGGGCTGCTGCTGGGCTGGGTGAATGTTGACGAGGTTGTGGAGGAGAAGGAACGGCAGGAAGGGCGAGAGGAACGGTAGGAAGGGCGAGTCGAAAGGAAGGAAGGGCGAGAGGAACGGCCAGAGATGGGCGTTTGGGGGAGGGAGGAGTTGCGTTGAGACCTGCCTCCTCAGGGGTGCGCTTGGGTGGGAGCGCAAGGGCGGGTTGCGCGGGGAGAGAGCCGGCGACGGAAGGCTTTGCGGAGACCTGAGGCTGCTGCGCGGGGTTGTTGTGCGCAGCGCGCGGAGCCTGGTGAGAGAAGGGGGCCGCCTGGGGAAGGAATGCGAGCGCCTGGGCAGAGAAGGCGGCCGCCCGGGAGGGAGGGAGAGGCGCTCCCTGGTGCATGGCGGTGGGTTGTGCCGCGAGAGGGTAGTAGCCTGCCATGGGGGAGAATATGGCTCGGCGGGAGAACTGCTGCTGCTGCTGGTGGTAGGCGTACACTGTGATTGTGATTGTGTGTTGTGTGTGTGTAAGCGTGCTGTTCTGTTGTTGTGACGAAAAATGTTCTGCTGGTGAATATTTGTGATGGAAGGAGAGAGGGAAGTGTAGAACAGGACTATATGCTAATGGAATGCTCTGTCCTCAAAACCTTACCGTCCTCAAATGGTTCCGTGGTTGAGAATGGATGGATGGTCCTCGAAGCTTTTGCGGTTCCGGCAGGCGGGATATGTGAATTATAGGTATTGCTTTTTTTTATTTTAAAAAAAAAGTTAATTCTGATTGGAAGAATGGGTTACAATAGGAGCTCTTTTTTTTCCCCATGAGGAGGGACTAGGCGATTAGACAGAAGAGGCCGACAGATGATGAATCAAGACCAAGGATATGAGGGTCGGAGATGCTAGAGGGGAGGTGGAAGGCGTGGTGTGCATACATGGTATGCGACATGAACGACAACCACTAGAGTCCCAAGACATTTATTTGCCTTGGTGGCCCTAGACTGTCTCTCGTTCATGTCTGACGGATTCGAAGAGCGAAGAGTGGGAGTGGGACTGGGGGCTGAGATGTGGATTAGCCACGGCTTGAGTGAATTGTGGATAGGCGGGTGAGACAGTGTCAAGGTTGGTTTACTTGACCTACCCATAGATGTTCTACTATGCTCGGCTCGCGCGCGCATAGTCTAGGACTCGCATTCAGTACTCGAGCTCTGTCTGACCTTCAGTCTCCCCGAGTATCATCTTCATTCCCGACAATCATCTTCATCGGCCGGAGGGGCTCATGAATATCGAAATCTCCCCTGGATTCCTTCCTTACCCATCGGGCGACTAGAGGCTATATCGACCGCCATCACCCTCAGCAATCATAAGTCATAACACGGCCTTTCATCTCACTTCTTCTCCCCCTCCCCTCCTCCTGCTGCCTTCTTCTTGCCCTTCTTCCGCTTGCTCCGATCCCTCTTCTTCAAACTCTGCATTCCTGCCTTGCACACCTCGGCGTACTTCTGATAGAAACCGTCTAGTTCCTCCGGCTGCACCACGGTGCTAATCTTGACCTTCTTCTTCTTTTCCTTCCGGTCTTGGGATTGGGATTTCCCGTCTGTGGCTCGGATGAGGATTGGGAGTGGAGAGGCGGGATTGAGGTCTGCGAGTGGATTTTCGGAGGTGGGAAGCGGGGCAGGGGTGTTGTATGTCACTGTACAATCGAGGTTTAGTTGRGGAAGATCGAAGGGAGAGAGGGAGTTCTCACGCCGCTTCTGGACGAGGTAGATGGAGCCGTGACCTTTTTGTTGGGCTGAGGCGAGGAGCGTGGTGAGTTGAGCGAAGAACTGGAGGCCGTGTATCAGTCTCGAACATTGCGACGCAACAGAAGTGGAATGCGCACCTCATCGCTGCTCAAATGCCCCGCCATGGTGGATGTAAGGGAAGAGTTCACGGCGTGAGGTCTGATTTCAATGATCGCCGACGTGGGGGGTTGACATGGACGGCATGATCGGCATTTGCTAGTGGGAATTTATTTTAGTTACATGGATTCCTTACCTTACATGGAGAATATCCCACCTTCCCACTTGCTCCTCGATCCTCCACCGACATGGCTCGCTACAACGAATTCGCCGGCCCGAAGCTGCCGACACAGTTGTTGGAAAAGGTGTACGGCGGAAGAGTGGACAAGCACGGCAAGAAGGAATCCTCGCGCAAGGAAAAGCGCAAGGCCGAACGGGAGTCGAAGAAAAAAGTGCCGTTGAGAACGAAGAAGCCGGTAAAATGGCAGGCGGCGGCGGCGGCGAGGAAAGCAGAGGAGAGTGGGAGTGGGAGTGGGAGTGAGGAAGATGTCAAGGCCAAGAGTAAATCAGCGGTTCCAGCGAAGGATGCGAAACCGGTGAAGAGCATTCTGAAGAAGCGGGCGAGTCCCGAGCGGGTGGAGGTCACCAAGGCTAAGGTCCAAACCAAGGAGGAGATGGAARGCGAGGACGAAGAGGAGGAGGAGACGGACATTGATGTCGATTCCATTGGAGACGGCACTCTGGACGACGTGGACGACTTTACCGTCTCACGCGAAGCCGCGAAGGCGAAGCTGGCAGACGACGACCATATCATTGCGGCGCTGGAGAGGAAGTTGGGGATGAAGGGAAAGGGCAGCAAATCCATCACCGACGACGATTGGGACTTTCTCATGACCGGCGACGATGGAGTGGAGGGGGTGGAGGAGGAGGAGGAGGAGGAGGAGGAGGATGGTGATGCGGCGCTACTCACACCGAGCAAGGGTAAGAGGAAGCGAGGACAGGTCGAGGGAAAGAGTGCGGCGGATGAGGAATGGCTGGAGAGCAAGCGGAAAAAGGCCAGGAGCGCGGAGAAGGCAGGTACGGGCGCGAAAGCATCCCAGACTGGCAAAAAGGTGGCAGTTGAGGCAGAGGGTGGAAAGGAAGACGACGACGACGAGGACGACGAAGAAGAGGAAGAGGAAGGGTTGGCCGGCGATGACATGGACGGCCTGGAAAATCCCTTTTCCGCCGACGAAATGTCCGCCGACGACTTTGACGAGTACGAAGACAGCGAGGATGAGGATGAGAATGAAGAAGAAGGCAAGGAGACCACAGCGGCTCCCACGCGAAAACGGGAGAATCCATACGTCGCGCCCGTCGACTCGTCTTCTACGCCCATCCAAAAGTACATTCCTCCCTCCATGCGTCRAGCGTCCTCATCTGATGAACAAGTGCTCAAGAATCTCCGCCGACAAGTCCAAGGCCAGCTGAATCGCCTGTCGGAAGCCAACCTCGCCTCCATTCTCGCATCCATCCTTGACCTCTACTCCTCCAACGCCCGCCAACACGTCACCTCCGTCCTCGTCTCGCTCCTCACCAACCTCATCGCCGACCCTTCCGTTCTCACCGACACCTTTCTCATCCTCCACGCGGGATTCGCCACCGCCCTCTACCGCTCTCTCGGTCCCGACTTTGGTGCTCCCCTCCTGGAATCTCTCGTTCAATCCTTCGACACCCATCACTCCTCCTCAACAGCCTCCAAACAGCCCCTCAACCTCCTGGCCTTCCTCTCCACCCTCTAWACCCTCCAATCAATCTCCCATTCCATCATCTTCGACTACATACGCCTCCTCCTCTCCACCTTCTCCGAAGCCTCCACCGAGCTCCTCTTGCGAATCATCCGCATCTCCGGCCCTCAGCTCCGCCAAGATGATCCTTCTGCTTTGAAAGACATTGTCCTGATCCTCCAACGCGAAACCGCGAAAATGGGAGGGGAAGCAAACCTTTCCGTCCGCACAAAGTTCATGATGGAAACAATCATCAACTTGAAAAACAACCGCGTCAAAACGGGTGTGGCAGCCAAGGCTCTCAGTGCAGAACACATGCTACGCATGAAGAAGATTCTCGGAGGCATCAAAGGTGCCAAAACGACGGAACCTCTAAGAATCACCCTCGATGACATTCGAGATAGTGAGAAAAAGGGGAAATGGTGGCTTGTGGGAGCTAGTTGGAAAGATCCCGCAAAACATGACGTTTCCTCTTCTTCGTCTGCCGCTACTCATCTCCCACTCCCTCCCACCGCCGCAGTCTCTCAGGCCGACGAAGATGACGACGGTAGAGACCTCGAAGCACTAGCCCGCTCCCAGGGAATGAACACATCCATCCGCTCCGCCCTATTCATTGCCATAACCGGCGCCGTCGATCCTCATCATGCACAACTTCGCATCGGGAAACTGTCATTGAAGAACAAACAAATGGGAGAGATCCCGCGGGTGTTGGTGCATTGCGTTGCCATGGAAGGGGTTTACAATCATTTCTATACTTGTGTGGGGATGTTGTATGCTGGGGATGTCAAGATGAAGAGGGCATGGGGCGTTGTACTTTCGGATTTCTTGCGAAAGTTGGAAGGGGAGGAGGAGGAGGGAGAGGAAGTGCGAGTCAAAGAAGTATATGCGGTGGCGAAGATGTTTGGGACTCTGGTCGCCGAGGGGTTGTTGAGGGTTACCGTGTTGAAGATGATGGAATTCGGAGATCTTGCTCCGAAAGCAAAGATCTTCGTCCAAGTCTTCTTCAGCACTGTTTTTATAGCTTTGAGGAAACGAGCTGCAGGACAAGTTGGAAAGGGAAAAGGCGAGGAATGGAAATCTAGAAAGGAGGAGGTGTTTGAAGGGGCTGTCGGGGAGGTTTTTGAACAAGCTCATGCCGTGCCGGATATGGTTCTTGGGTTGAGATTTGTGGTGGAGAAGATTGTTAGGGCATGTGAGGTCGCGGGGAAGAAAGGGGGCAAGGAACAGAGGGCTGTCGAGGAAGGGTGTGATGTTGCTGTGAGGGTGCTCAGTGAGGCTCCCAAGAAGAGGGTCGAGTTTGAGGGCAAAGGTGAGGATGGTGCAGATAGTGACTGATCACACCCCACCAATCTCAACAATATTGTCATACAACGGCGACATCATCATCATCAAGTCATACGCATCCTCACATGCTCAAAACCTCCCTCTTCCCCCACTGATGCTGCTGCTCGATCAACACATCCTTTGACACGACCCTCCGCCTCTCCTCCCACAGCCTCTTCGTATAATACTTGTAGACATAATCCGAAGCCCCATTATACACCAACCCATGATCACTATCCGTAAAAGCCATAAAGTCCATCTTCTGGGGACTGACTCCCGCACCGACCAACAGATCGACGAGAGCCGCGGAATTCTGATAGTGCACATTGTCATCTCCGGTCCCGTGAGCGATGGCGAATCCGCCCCTCGCGTTTGCGAAACCAGTGGCGTCGCGAACCGCAGTCTCGTTGTAGCCTGCGGGGTTCTGCTCGTACGTTTTCATATATCGTTCCGTGTACATGGTATCGTAGAAGCGCCAGTCACTGACAGGGGCGCCGATCAAGCTGAAAACCATGAATTAGTAAAAAGTCAGCATGTGTCTAGGACATGTGGGCCAAAGGCAACACCCTCTACATTCCACTCTTCAATTTCACTCACCCAAACGAGAAGACGTCGGTGTTTGCTTCAAGAACCTTGGCTGTAAGGTATCCGCCAAAAGAGTGGCCATACATTCCAATCTTCTCGGCGTCGATGAAGCTGTTCATCTCCACGAGCTGGCGAGCAGCCCAGATTTGATCCACGGGTTCAAGGCGGCCGAGATGGGTGGTGACCGCGCTGCGGAACTCTCGGCCTTTGAATCCTGTGCCTCTGTTGTCGATTGTGTAAGTGATGTATTCCAACTCAGGGTCCGACGCGATGTAAGCTCTCCAAGTAAGAGTCGCGAAACGCTTGGAGACTTCCTGAGCGCCCGGTCCACCGTACGGAGTGAACAAGACGGGGTACTTGGCGGACTCGTTGAAGTTGGGTGGGAGACGCTGCATGACGTTCAAGCTGAAACCGTCCGGGTGCTCGAGTTCGAAGTAAGTGATGTTGGGCAGGTTGAGTTTTGTGATGTTGTTGTACAAAGCCTCGTTGGAGCTCAGAACGGAGAGAGCCTTTGTGGTGGAGTTGATGCTGAAGACTTCCTGGTATGGAACGTCCGGACCCCCGTAAGAGAGAATGTAGTATTCGCCACGGCTGGAGAAGGATGCTGTCCAGTAGGCTGCGACGTCATCGTCGACGAGAGCGGTCTTTTCACCAGTGGCGTAGTTGACGGAGTAGACGTGAGATTCCGTGCTGTGGTGCTCGGTGGAAGCGTAGTAGACCAATTGACGGACCGCGTCGACTTTCAGGATTGCACGCACTTCCCATTCGCCAGAGGTGAGGGCGATTGGGTCGCCACCAGAGATCGAGTGCAGGTAGATGTGATTCCAACCGCTCTCGTCGCTCAGATCAACGTACCGCTCTGTACCGTTGAGCTCTCCGACGTATGAAATGGCCATGTTGTTGTCGAGCCATCCGTCAGTTCCATCACGTTCGCGGATCGCTGTGGAGGTGCCAGCGGTTGGGTCCACGAGTACAACGACCTCTTGGTCTTGGACTCTATTGTACGCTCTGTAGAGGACGCTGGCATGATCCTCCGTCACCCAAGACACCTCTCCGATAACAGTGTCATTTGGCGGGAAAGCTGTGATCGGAATGTTCGCAACATCCATCGTAGCCAGGTTGAGAATGTTGAACTCAATCGTAGGGTTCGTAGTTGAGACCTTTGGGTAACGTAGTTCCAGCTCGCGAGGATATGGTGGCGCAACCTCCATATCATCCATGTAGTATGGGATTCTGAAGGTACCAACCCCAGTCTCATTGGCACTCAAGAAAGCCAAAAACTGCCCATCCGGCGAGAACCACATGGTAGAACGACCTCCAAAGATCTCCTCTTCGTACACCCAGTCGGGGACCCCGTTGAACTTATCTCGACCTCCATCCTCGGTGACTTGTATAATTTCACTCTCATTGGTGTGGATGAAGATGTTGTTCCCTCTGACAAAGGCGATGGCTCCACCGACAGGAGCAAATTCCGCATATTGAATGTCACCGACTTGATCCTCTACCAGAGGTGTCGTCTCTCCAGTCGCGACATCCTGGATGAGGTAGTCTGCAAAGTAGGAATGGCGGTATTGCTTGGTGTAGTTCACCGCCCACAGCACTCTTTCCTGATCTGGGGAGATCCATGATTCGTGCTTGTCCTCGGGGATCTTGTCCGCAGCGATAAAGACATTGCTGTCGCCCGTGGCGATGTTCTCCACAACGAGCGCTCCATCAGCATCTTCAGTAATGTACTGTCCATCCTCTTCTCCCGACGTCCAAGCTACCGTCTGCGTCACCGGTCGGTAAAGGGCAGTGGGCGTGGTGACGTTGTAGGTGAGGCGCGTCTCTCCATTTCCCAGAGGTTGTCGCGGTTGGCGGGCGGGTTCAATGGCCGCCACCAAAGCGCTCAGTGAGAGCAGGCTTATGAGAGCCATTGCACAAATCAAATCGAACAGAACAGACTAGACTAGAGATGAGAAGTGGTATCCCTACCTTGTTATACCGTAGGTTTTGCCTTTGGATGTCCTGCATACAGATGATCCATGCGACATCGTTCTTGGCAGATAGATAACCTGCTACGACCTTCTGCATTGGGGTCTTGGTCGTTGCGCAAACGTCGAATCGTCTGCCGCAGCCAAGCAAATGCCATCGTCCGTCTCGGCTTCACAACACGGCCGCCTGCGCCCTTTCAGTTAGATGCTCTTGGCTATCTGGCCGGGGTGTTGTGGTCCTGCCTTGACGCCGCCTAAACTGCGGCTAAACGCCAAACTCTTTCCAGCACTCTACAGATTGAAAAACTTTCAACGGCGCGCTGCAAAGATAAATGAAGATGTCAATTCAAATTAAACCAAAGAATTGTCTTTGGGGCCCCTCCCAGAGCATCACAGCCACAGCGTCTTTTCGCATCGGAGTGGTAAAACGCTAGAAGACGGCAGCTAATAAACCTGGTTCCTACTGCTTCCGAGTATTGCTATTGGCGACATACGCTATTCGAGGCTGCTAGGATTGTAGCGTTCTACCACTCCGATGCGACAAGACGCTGAACATGATCAAATTGAGTCTCTGTTATAATGTCTTCCTATCCAGGTCTGCATCCCATTTATCCTATGAAATGAAGTCGTCGATTCCGCACGATACACGTACGACGATCCAGTGCACCGAGTCGGTGCTTTCTGGTTTTGTTCCTAGACCACGCACGAGCGACGGGTCTTCGGCAGGAATACTAGCCTCAAGTAGGCCAATGAATGTYGGAGGCCATTGGCCGTCGATGGTGGTTGTTGTCTTCAGCGAGAGGATGTGTTTGCGGATGTGCAGGCTTCTCCACCGAGCGGAAAGGCAACTCATCACACTGGTAGGCTGAGCCATACGGTCTTCCCGAACTGCAATAACTGACGCTTGGGCGGCGGCCCTTAGGCTTAAGGAGACCAGAATCGTGAACTTCACATTCGAATACGTGTCGAGGCTGAATGACGACTGTTTCATTGAAGCGTCGCAATCCAGATGCTTTGATATGGTGGTACTCTTCAAGAATCTCGCTGAATGTTCCAGCTCCGATGCCATGCTGAACTACTTGTGTGTCTTCGCAGCTCCACGCAAAGGGGTCCTTGATGCACATAATCTACGCGCGACTCGGGTAGTACCATGGTCATTCAAATCTCGTTGTGTTTTGGAGTGTACATCCTTCGTCCCGCATCTGGTGGGTGGTATGAAGATGGCCGTTGGTGCGAGGGAGTGCCATTGAGGCTCGCGGAATGTGTATGCCACGCAGAACACCACATACCACATCCCGGTAAGCTCCCAATATCTCGCAGGCCTAGGGTTAGACGACATGCGTTGTCATTGAGTACCAGCAATATGTGGATCCTCTGAGTAGGCATCCTTTGACCTTTCAATCCGCAGTCTTCTCTCACAAACAAGATATCAACAACAACAACATTACCTCATTCGCCGGTGGAATCCTCTCCGCAGTAGCAACGGAGCTTTGCTTTGAATCCATGAAGGCATACAACGATGCACACCTCCGCGTACCAGCATCAGAATGAGACGATTTGGGATTCGCCAGACCTGCAGGGGACAATAGTGCTGAGAACATTCAAGCTGTTCTCGAAACCCACCTCGCAAAAGTGGATCGAGTGCTTGGAACAGGTGGGACGGATCCATTCGGGTCCAATCGACTGTATCCTACGGGGTTTGTTCTTGTTGATCGCGAGGATTGGAGGGAGAAGGAAGAGATGGCGGTTCATTGTGATGAAGATGAGGAGAATGGCGAATGGAAGGTGCGTCAATGTCGCTTCAAGGTGGAGATCCTCGGGTTCGTCTTGACGACTGTACTGGGTATAGATGACACCTTTCAGCAGGTTGCAGAGATCTATGGTGTGGATGATTGTTTACTTGAAGATGAACTTTCTGTTTACATCCGACATCGCACGTCGGATACGGCGCGTTTTTAAGAACAACTCTGCAACAATCCTTTTAGGCGATAGTGCGACGCTAGTATTATAGGGTATTAGAACCTCGGTAATTAAAGGTGTATTCCGTATAATAAGTAACAAGTAGCGTAATTTAATGTGCGCGTATAATGTCCTCGCTTTCCTTCTTTAAAGTAATTTTATTTAAGTCTACGATACCTAAGTAATAATAGTAAGGATAAAGTAAAGGTATAATAGTATTACGCGGGTAGCTATATAACTCTTTATATAAGTAAGTAAGATCTCTAAAAAAGTAGTAGGATAAAGACCTACTACTCTTTTAGCGACTCTTATTAATACCTAAATACTAATATTAATACCTACTACTCCTACTACTATACTACCCTTTTACTACTTACCTATATTCTTCTCCCTTCTCTATACTACCCGTATAAAAGCTTAAGAAGGCGAAGAAGCCTAAATTACTATACTTATAGCTAGGTTATATCGATACTACGAAATACTAGAGGGCTAGAA